AAATGTAATTGGCACACTTTTAAGATTATGGGGATAAAAAAAGTGCAAAAAAAATTAGTAAATATATAATAAAGCTACACATGGCAAGTGATTTGTGCTTGTAGGCTTGGGGAAAAATAAAATTCAAAATAAAATTTTATCATGAAATAATTTTCAATTCTTGATTTTGATCTATATAATGTCTGTAATTAGCGATTGGCAGGTGATGAAATGCCCTGAGAACACGGGAATACAGACAGGTACATGATGAAATGTAAGAACTCACAAAAACATGGAATATATTTATATAAATTCCTTTTTAAGAGAATCCTTGAGAATATTTTTAGCATTGCATTATTTAAATATTTTTTATAGTATTTCATACCACATGGATTGAGTTTGGATGTCACCTCCAAATCCCAAAAGAACTTTGAGTTCAAATCCACTTACAGGTTAGGGTTTTTGTTGTCCTCAATTGTGCCCCTTTGGCTCCTCTCCTCTCAAACCAGCAGCAATGCTATGAGGTTACAGTGCCATAAGTGATCAAGTGTGTCAATGCGTCTCTTGTAGCCCAAGTGAGTCAGTCAGGTGAGTCAGGTCAAGGGGCCAGGCATCCATCATCCTCAGCATCCAGATGGTTGGGAGAAAGCTCCTTTGCATGGGACAGTGGGATGGGAAGCATTCCAATTCCAAAGTAGGGATGACAGTGGATTATTACAGCAGTGTGCCATTGCTGCGTATGCATGTGAGTGAGTGAACCAACCGTGTCAAGGACTCCAATGGAAGATATCTTGCTAGAAGAAGATGAAAATGATGAAGAAGAGAAGGATGAAGGCATTTGACAACAGGTTAATGCTGTCCGAAGGAAGGCCATTCATGGGATTAAAAGGAAGGCACCACATCGAAATGCCAAGTACACAAAAGCTGATTTCAAGCGGAAGCTGAATGAATTTGCAAGTTTGGCACCATTGCAACTTTGTGAGAAGGATGTAAATGGCATTGCGAGGTGGACATGAAAGTTTTGTGGGTATCATGGCTCCAATTCAGCAACGAGAGTGCAAACTCATATCATCTGCCTGCGATGTAGAGGTACCATGTTATGCTCACACTGTTTGTCTTTATGGAGGAATGCAAAAGCAATCCTAGAGAGGATTGACCATGTCTATACTGCAAAGAGGGACCATTTTTGGGTAGCAAAGGAACACAAGACAGAAATGAAATAGGATAGAGCTTCTCATGCTCATGAAATGGATGAGGCAGATGAAATAATGTCCAGTCTATTTTGTACACCTCCGTGATCCTTAGTGGCAGCAGAAGAGTTGACAACACTAGTTACTTGGCCTGAGCATACAAGGAGGCACTCCCAGAATTCTGCAGCAGACTAGACTCTCGTTGCATATGCTAGATGTTCTGCCAGTTTTGATTTGATCATGGCTAGACAGTTCTACTCCTGATTGCAATATTGCTATTACGAGTGGACTCAATGGCTGAAGAATGAGCACCCTAGGGAGATGTGACCACATTCCACACCCCCAACCCAGTACCAAAAACGCCTTGAGCCATCAAATGGTAGCCGCCAACCGCTCCATCAGCAATCGAGAGCAAGAAACAGGAACAAAGAAAGGAAAAATAACAAGCCATAAACCTGCACTCTGATACCATAAAGATAAAAAACAAGTATATATTCATGAGTCTTTCATGCTCTATATACAAGCTATTTCTGATTGTTGCGTGATTCCTGGAGATCTGAGCAGATCAACAATTGCTAGCTTCCAGTGTATTGCTTCATCTATTGATACTCCACTCGGTATCTTTTGACAATGTCAACACACCCTCCTGTGCCATGAACCTCTGCTCCATCAGCTTCCAGCCCTTGATTGCCCTTGAGGTCTTGAACCTGTTCTTCTTCTCGTTGTTTTTCTGCTCCATCAGATTCCAGTCCTTTTGCTTCCAGCCCTTGATCGCCCTCGAGGCCTTCAACCTGTTCTTCTTCTTGTTGCAACAGGCCTTCAACCTGTTCTTCTTCTTGTTGCAACAGGCCTTCAACGTGTTCTACCCGTTGCTCCAGGCCCAGTCCCTGTTCTTCTCGTTCCTCTAATCCCCTCTTCCCATCTCGTTCTTCTAATCCCTGCTCGGGGTCTGATCTTGAGGGAAGCAAACGACAGCAAGCTAACGTACCTCTTATAGCTTTGCAAATTCTCTTGCGGCAAAGTGGAGCGATGCTCCAAATCCAACGCTCCTAAAAATTCCAACGCTGAGAATTCAAATTCCCATTATACCTTGGGAAATTAAACATTGATTGTCATCCGAGTGATATTTCAAACTCGATCGAGCAAATCCCTTGTTCCAATCCATCCAATCTCACACACTGCTCGCATTTCCATCGCAGCAATGGAAAGACTTCGACAAGCAGGCCGCAGAGCGCCGCAAGGAGGACGAATGGCGAGGAAAGAGGAAGAGCGATGGAAGAGAAGAATCCCTGACGTGGAAGCGAGCGCCCAATCCGCGTAGCTCACATTGCCCATGCTGGGATTGCTCCATCCCCCGACGTGGCGACTTACAACCAGCTCTGATCGATGGCTTGTGCGATCTCGAGCAGGCCCGGCGCTTCATGGCGACATGAGCGCGTTGTCACCTACAGCATCAACGGCGGCTCGAGGTGTTACAAATATACCAGGCTAGTCATGACGTTGATGTTCAATAAAAACTTGACAAAGGTCACGCATCGCCACTAATAGAGCCAGTGATGCCGTTTCTCTCGTGCGAAAGAAATGCGACGAGCAAGTCGAACAGCACCCAGAAGCATTCGTAGCCTGGCTTCAGCGCCAGCAGTCCCCAGTTCGCCACAGCTTGGCTGCAGTGAATCACGATCTCTTCGACTTGACGAACTCCAAGTAAATCCTTGAGAACCATCACGTTGGGCGGTGTGGGATCTTACGTAGAGATGAACAGTCACATCCTTGACACCTCCAGGCACGAATGACTGCAACACAGATCGATCAGCAAGAAAGAAAAGGAAAAAACCGGAGAGTCTCTAGGTTGCCAAACAAATTAGATAAGAGGTCATCTTGTGTTCGCTGTTAAAACGGTGGAGGGCGAGCATCGGGACCAGAGGTGAGAACTGAGAGAGCTTGGCAATGGCTTCCAGTGTCCAATTAGCGCCATCTTACGAAGATTGTCGCATCGCTTGTCAACAACACAAGAGTTGTAAAAGTAAGCTGTGCTCAAATCCTCGGAACGCAGCCGGATGCTCACTGGAAAATGTTGTCCAGCGTCCCTCAGCTCCTCTACTCACCTCGAAGTCAGAGTGGAGGCGAGAGACAGCCCAGCGCAGCTCCCGCCATCACTTGCACACCAGCGAGCACTGGACGAGCTGCCGCGATCGCCTACTCTGCTCAAGATGTCCACCAGGGAGCCCTTGCTAATCAAATGAGAAAATGGGCGCGCGTTGCAAATCTTTTGCTAAACATTAAACACTGGTTAGTTAGCCCAGAGCCATCAATTTCTAAAGCATTACTATTTTGAAAGCAGTTGGTTCCAAGACAAGGTGCTAGGCTTTATAACCTGGAAATTTTTGTAGCATCACAGAAAAGGTCTCTCTTTCCAGTGATCTTGGTTCTCTATCGAGAACGTGATGATTTTCCTCAAGTCATGCAGCATGCTTTTGCTGCTTCTCCTGGTTTCTACTGTCAGTTGTGATGGATCTCAGGAGGTTTTGGATCGAAATGCAGGGGCTTTTGGAGATGCCAAGAACTTTGGCTTTAGAATTCCCAAGAGCACGGTCGATTTCTTCTGTTGGAGGCCATGGCTGAGAAGGCCCTGGTGGTTTCCAAATCGTTTGTGCCCTCCTAATGCACCTCCTTATTGTTACAAATCCCCACCACCACCGGTTGAATCACCACCACCGCCGGTTGAGTCGCCACCACACCATCACAAATCTCCACCACCGCCAGTTGAATCGCCACCACCTCCTTACCATTACAAGTCTCCACCACCACCACCATATGAGTACAAATCCCCACCACCATGCGAAAAATCCCCGCCACCACCCACCTCCCCAGCCACCCAAGTCTCCGCCGCCACCACCACCACCGAAATGCGAGAAGTCTCCACCGCCACCCAAGTCTCCGCCACCACCACTACCACCGAAATGTGAGAAGTCTCCACCACCACCACTGCCAAAATGTGAGAAATCCCCACCGCCACCCCCACCAAAATGTGAGAAATGTACACCATCGCCAGCTTCATACAAGTATACATCTCCACCACCACCCCAGTCTCCACCTCCATCGCCACCGTATAAATGTACACCATCGCCAGCTCCACACAAGTATACATCTCCACCACCACCCCTGTCTCCACCTCCATTGCCACCGTATAAATATGAGTCGCCACCACCACCACCACCAAAATGTGAGAGATGTACACCATTGCCAGCTCCATACAAGTATACATCTCCACCACCACCCCAGTCTCCACCTCCATCGCCACCGTATAAATATGAGTCGCCACCACCACCACCATATGAGTACAAATCCCCACCACCATGCGAAAAATCCCCGCCACCACATCACCACCACCGCAAATCCCCACCTCCACCATCGCCACCACTCTACTGGTACCAATCTCCACCGCCACCATCACCAACCTACAGTAAAGAGTAAATTTGTGTCCTCTGAAAATTTCTTTTTGTCTCAGCTAAGTAAAATGCATAATAATTAAATAAAGCTCAACTTATAATTAAGAATATGCTTCATATGTTGGATAGAATCTTCAAAGCAATATGGTAGATAATGGATTTTCTCTTCTCTTGAAATGCTAGGGGTAACGCTTCCTTCTGTTCTTGCAGGATCTTGCAATGAAATCCTCAAGAGAAGCAGCATCAAGGCTGCCTGGATGGAACACACTTTTCTTCGCCAGATCTTCGAAGATGTCGCAGCGAAGTCTATGTTCGCAGCATGAAACTCCAGAAAGGGTTTGAGAATAAGTTTACGGGTTTAAAAAATAAATAAAGTTAAGGGTTAAAGGACTAAAGCAGATTTTACTCATTGACTTAAACCAAAAAGGACATAAGAAATCTAAGGCATACTATCAAATGTGAATATGAATCAATCAATCCAATGCTCGCTTCGCTCTCCCCCTCCTTGTCGATCGTGGTATTTACACCGCCAGTAGTAAAAAAACTCTTCTTCCACCATCCCTTCCTTCTTCCTTCCAGTCGAACGATCGATCGATCAGATCATATCAGGGCCGCGACAATCACGAGCAGCGAAGAGCCCGCGAAGACACGAGTCATGGTGGCGCCACCGGCGGCTGGAGCGATTGCTGGCGCTCCTCCGGGCGAAGAAGCGGGCGAGATCTCGTCCGACGCTCCCACTGGCGCCGGCATCACCTCCCCGCCAGCGGATGGAGCCGGCGCCGGCGATGGCGATGGAGCCCGGCTGTGGCGCCCGCGGCGCTCCACCACCATGATCCCGAACTTCTGGCCCTGGTTGCAGTGGCTCGTCTCCCCGCAGATGAACCAGTGAGGCCCCGCGGAGGAGAGATGGACGATGCTCTCGCCGTCCTTGTAGCTCGCCATGGGATTGGAGTTGTGGCACGCCTCGAAATCCTGGCGATTCACCTTGAGTACCGTGTGAGCATCGGATGGGTACTTGAACACTGCAAGAAACAGTGTGTTAGAGCTCGCGGTTGTAGAAATCCAAGCCCCATTTCGAGCACACAAGCGAAGCAGCCATTCAATCGCTACAAGCCATGCAAGATGATCATCACACCACGCAAACAAGATGCTAGAGCTCGCGATCAAGGACATCCAAATGATATTTCAAGCGACAATCACCCTATCGAGCACAATCCTTGTTCCAATCCATCCAAAATCCAATCAATCTCACGCTTTAGCAAGCGCCGCGGCGAGCAGCGATGGAAAGATTTTGAGAAGCAGGCCGCAGAGTGCCGCAAGGAAGAGGAATGCCGAGGAAGAGTGACGGGGAGGGTTAGGGCAGCAAGACAAGAGATCCATACCCAGCGAATCCCCGACGTGGAAGCGATGCTTGAGCGCCCAATCCGCGTAGCTCACATTGCTCATGCTGGGATCACTCCATCCCACCTCATCGCCGACAATGTACCTCGTCGCCGACGCGACCGAGCAGCAGCACAGCACAGCCATCGCCGCGGCAAGGATCATCTTCCCTACCCTTGCCATTCCTTCGCACACTAGGGGAAGTCGATCGATCCAATCTCTGGAAAAGAGAGCAAGATCCAATCTCTGGAAAGAGGGCAAATTCACTGCGCTAGAATCACAGCTCTATGAGAACCTTACAAGCTCGCGTGGAGCGTCTAGTTATATAGCGCGGTGCGTGTAGCCGTTAGACTAGTAACCCCGTGACTGGCCAGGCTCGGGACAAGGCTCGGCCTCCGAGCCTGGCCCTCGTGCTTTGTAGCCGTTTGATATGGCCGTTAGATTGACGGTACGGACCCGGGTTTGACTGGGGGAATATGCCCAAGAAGTACGGGCGGGCCAAAATCCCCCGTTTATACGGATTAGGGCTAGGGTTTACTAGTCGCATGGGATCTCCTCCGATCAGCGCCATCGCCCTCGCTCTCGCTCTCGCCGGCCGACCCCGCGATCGATCTCAGCAGCAGCGGTAGCGCTTCTCCTATGGTGCGCGCGATCGCCGCCAGGTACTGCTGTCACTGCTGGGTTCTGGGAGCTTCGCGGGAGGAAGTAGCTTAGGGTATTTCCGATTGCCAAGCTTCGGGTAGCAGCAGCGGCGGCGCGGCAGCGGCGGACAGGAGGAGGAGGGGGATGGATTCCGATCAGGGAAAGATCTTCGTTGGCGGCGTGTCTTGGGAGACCACAGACGAGAAGCTCAAGGAGTACTTCCAGAGCTATGGCGATGTGGTGGAGGCGATGATCATGAAAGACAGGACGACGGGGCGTGGCCGCGGCTTTGGCTTCGTCGTGTTTGCGGATCCCGACGTTGCTGACCGAGTTGTACAAGACAAGCACAGCATCAATGGGAAACTGGTAAGCTCCTCTCACCGCTGCCTAGACAATGTAGCTTAGTGTGTCTTCTTCTTTAGGTGGAGGCCAAAAAAGCAGTGCCTAGGGACGAGCACCAAAATGCCGTCAAGCCGGGTGGCCCGGGAGGAGCCACTTCGCCCGCTAGTAGCACGACTAGGACCAAGAAGATTTTTGTAGGGGGGCTAGCACCGAACGTCTCAGAGGAGGAGTTCAAGCAGTACTTCGAGCAGTTTGGCAACATCACCGATATCGTGGTCATGTACGACCATGCAACGCAAAGGCCCCGGGGCTTCGGCTTCATCACCTTCGACTCCGAAGAGGCTGTGGACAGTGTCCTCCAGAAGACGTTCCACGAGCTCAAGGACAAGATGGTGGAAGTGAAGCGAGCGGTTCCAAAGGATGCCTCGGCCGCTGCTCGGAGCCCGACTGCTGGATACGCCGGACCCCGAGGTCCCTTTGGCTACGGACAGGGATTTGCGGCGCCTTACGCCTACGGACCAGCAAGGGGCGCGTACCCGTCCTACGCTGCTGCTGGGTATGGAGCTGCCGGGTATGGATATGGCTACGCTGGCTACGGTGGCGGTGCTCCTTACGGGGCCACTCCTGGAGCAGCAGCATATGGAGCGGGAACGGGCTACGCTGCAGGCTCTGGAGCAGGATCTTACGGCCCTGGGAGGAACGCTGGCTGGGCCGCGGCTCCGAGCTATGGAGGAAACTCTCCTGGCTATGGTGGCAACGGCGGTAACATGAGCGGCTACGGTGCTACGAGCTGGGGGAATGCTGGAGGGGCACAGGGCTCGACAGGGAGTGGGAGCTACGGTGGCTATGGGTATGGAGGTGGCGAAGGTGGCTATCCTCCGGGCGGTGCCGCTGCTGGAAGCTACGGTGGCCCTCCCAGTGCCGCCGGGAGCTACGGCGGTGGCGGACGAAGTAGCGGTGGTGGTGGTGGCTACAACAATGCCGGCGGTGGTGGTGGATACGCTCCGGCCTCTGGGAACGCAGGCGGCTATGGTGACGGGTATGGTGGCTACCCGGAGAACACTTGGAGGGCCGATGCGTATGGAAACGCTGCTCCCGGTGGGACGCCCGGCGGGGGGTATGGGATGGGGGCGGCTTCGTCGTCCCCGGCTCCGGAGGGCGGTGCGAATGGATCATACGGAGGCTATGGTGCCGCGAGCAGGCAGTCACAACGAGGTGACTTTTTTTACGAGTGATGTGATAAGAGTAGGCCTTTTCTCTCCCTCTCTCGCGCGCTGCTTCCTTTTTTTTTTCCTCAGCTGCTAGGATCTTTGAGAGGCGGGAGTTTGTGGACTGATGGAAACGTTTTGTTGTTGCAGGAGTCACTGCTCAATGAGAGGGAGAGGTTGTGGTGTTTTTTTGCTCTCGTTTCGTTTCTGTGAGTTCTCGTACCATGGTGGTGAGTGTCTTTTCTACGTAGGTCTAGAGCTAGAGGACACAGAGGAAGTGTTTGTGTCGAGAGCTTGGTGTGCTTTAGAACGCTTTAGCTTGTAGAGAAGGTAGTGTCAAAAGTGAAGAGGCTCGAAGGAAAATTTTGATACGCATTACTGTAACAAGGTTAAGAAATGGCACGACAGCAGCTTTAGCGTCATAAAGCTAGTCAATAATGTCAAAGAACGTTGACCTCCATTGACTAACATTGACCAACCATGGTATCTATCTCGCAAAAAAACTTAGCTTTGATCAAGAAAGAAAATGGAGTACACGATGAGCTCTTCCTTATCAAAAACAACGGAGCGCTCAAGTGTTAGTCGCTCTCGTGTAGATCTGCTGCGAGGCGTGAACTGAGACGGAGCGAATCACGCCCTTGGCAGTGAGCTCCTTGATCGCGCGACGAGCAAGAGATCCAGTTATCTGGCAGAACAAACACCGAGTTGGGAGTAAGAAAAGAATTGGAACATTTTCTAGAACCCACCCTCAATCGATCCGAGAGCACCGATGGAGTGATGAGCTTGTACTTGGGAACCTCCGCCATGAGCTTATCGAAGGTCGCCTGATCGAAGAGGACCATGTTGTTGACCTTCTCCTTTTGCTTCCCCTTGCTCCATTTCTAGAATGCCGAGAAAAAAGAGACTCTGGAAATCAATCGAATCGATCGCAGGGGGCGCTTACCTTCTTCTTTTGCTTGCCACCGCCGCCGCTCTTGGCGGGCTTCGCAGCGGGCGCGGCCTTCTCCTTCTTGGGCGCCATTCCTCTTTCCCTCGCCTCGCCGCCGCGGAAGAACCCTAATTCCTAGAAAACCCTTGATCTCAATCGTTCGTTCGGGACAATATAGGGCCGATCCTGATCGTCCGTGTAAAATTTCGACGGCTGGGGCTACTTAGGGTGTTTCTAGGGTTTCTGTTGCGGAGGCGCCGGACAGGAGAGAGAGAGAGGAGCGATGGCGGACACCGAGGATGTGGGCGCTGGCTCCGTTCAGCCGAAGAAGCGTACATTCAAGAAGTTCTCCTTCCGCGGGGTGGATCTCGATGCGCTGCTCGACATGTCGAATGACGCGCTCGTGGAGCTCTTCCACGCTCGCGCCAGGAGAAGGTCAGTTCGTAATATCGCTCGAGAAATGAAGTTTCCTCGCGAATCTACAGGTTCCAGAGGGGTTTGAAGAGGAAGCCGATGGCGCTCATCAAGAAGCTCCGCAAGGCGGTAAGTTCATCGATCTTTTCTTTGTTTCTCTTTTCTTATTGATTCCTTGTGTCTTGCGTAGAAACGTGAGGCCCCGGCTGGTGAGAAGCCCGAGCCAGTGCGAACGCATCTCCGGAGCATGATCATCGTCCCAGAGATGATTGGCAGCATCATTGGCGTCTACAACGGCAAGACGTTCAACCAGGTGGAGATCAAGGTGAGCGAGCGTCTTGTCTGCGTGCTTCTCGTGTTCTAAACTTCTCTCGCCTCTGGTGACGCAGCCCGAGATGATCGGACACTACCTGGGAGAGTTCTCCATCTCGTACAAGCCAGTCAAGCACGGGCGTCCCGGTATCGGTGCCACACACTCGTCCAGGTTTATTCCTCTCAAGTAGAGGCTGAAAGGAGGATGTTTTTGTAACGCTGTTTTGAGCTATATGCTAAGTTGATTCTCTAAAGCCATGCCTCGAAAGGTTCTTGGGATCGGTAACGCGCAAAGTGGAGGGGAATTTCTGGTGAAAGTGTGATTCTTCCACAAAAAGCTGGCTCCTTTCTTCCTTTTATTATTCGTTTTCCAATTGTGGCGTTACAACAAGAGCAAGCTTCGTGAAGCAATCGCCTAAAACGCAAGGAAACAATAATAGTTTTACGTGCTCGTTCTCGCTCCCCAGGATTTTGCGAGGTAACGATTACTCACGTTTACAAGATGAAAAGGATTCACCGCGTTCTTGTTGTGCAACTTGGTGGAGTAGTACCAACGTACCAGCAGTTTATCTTGTGCTCCCACTCAAATCACACGAAAAAAGCCGTTCTTTACCGCGGGCTTTTAGATCACGTCTTGTTCATGACAACTTTTGGCTTCCCTGCGCTTCCCTTTATTTACTCTCTAGCCTCTCCTTGGTCGAGAGTTGTCTGTCGGCCAATTTTGATAATGCAGTTCCTCGTCAATCTGTGCTGCTGCTGCTGCTGCTTGGGATTTCTGGCTGGATTCGTCGCTGGAGCTCCAGCCTCTGATCTTGTCAAAGATCTCCCAGGCCAGCCCGACGTTTCGTTCAAGCAGTATGCCGGATACGTGACAATTGACCAGCGATCGGGCAAGGCACTGTTCTACTACTTTGTCGAGGCAGAGGAGGATCCCACGAGCAAGCCCCTCTCGCTCTGGCTCAATGGAGGTAAAGCAATCAAAGTCGAGAACTTTCATCCATCTCGTTCCTCTTCTTTGGTATCCAAATGGTTTCCTCGTCCTCTAATTTCTCAGGACCCGGATGCTCGTCGCTCGGAGGTGGTGCGTTCACGGAGCTCGGCCCTTTCTACCCGGACTCCAAATCGGATGGCCTGGTCAGGAATTCTAAGGCCTGGAACAAAGGTATCATATATAGATTCGATCGCATTCTTGTGCAAACTTTTGAGAGTAAGATTGGTCCTTTTGATAGCATCAAACGTCTTGTTCGTGGATTCGCCCATCGGGGTTGGATGGTCATACTCCAACACCAGCTCGGACTACCAAACTTACAACGATGAAAAGACGTGTGAGTCCCCACGCACTATCTCTTAACGCTTTGTGCGGTCAATCTTTTCTTCTTCTTTTACTTTTTCTTGTCTTGGTGGCTAAAAAAGTTGGCGTGCTGTATAACAGCCAGAGATCTGGTCAAATTTTTGCATGGATGGTTTATTAAATTCCCCGAGTACAGACACAGGGAATTTTACATCACGGGAGAAAGCTACGCTGGTAAAATCTATAATTCTCTATTTATTTGAAATACTTTCTTTCTTATATCTATTAATAATCTGATAAACAGGGCATTACGTTCCCCAGCTGGCCGTTCGTTTGCTAAATCACAACAAGCTAGCAAAGAAGAGCCATCAGTTTAATCTCAAAGGACTTGCTGTAAGTATATTATTTTTTCTGTAATGTTTTGCTAATTTTGTTTTTGCTATACAGATTGGTAATCCGGCACTGAATAGCGCAATCGACGATGAGGCCACCTACGACTATTACTGGTCACACGGTTTGATCTCGGACAAGACCTACCAGGGGATCGTCCACAATTGTAACTGGCACGACTACGATTACTCAGGGCTCAACCACAACGTTAGCGTTGAGTGCGTCAAATATATCAGTCAAACGAACACCGAAGTGGGTCAAAACGTCGATCCGTACGACGTCCTCCTCGACGCATGCCTGCCCGAGGCAGTCCACCAGGAGTTCCGCTTAAGAAAGATGGTGAGAATTCTACATTTCCTAAAAGCAAAGCTTTGATAATTCTCTAACTCTCGATTCAGAAATCCCAAAGGAGCATAGGAGTTGATATTTGCATCACGAGAGAGCGAACCAGGTACTTTCGAAGGCCGGAAGTCCAGAGGGCCTTGCACGCCAACACCACAGGGCTGCCGTACGAGTGGTCAAACTGTGAGGGGTACGGGCATCTCCTTGTTTTGCTTTCTAGACTTAGCTTGTTTTGCGGGATTGGTAGGCCTCTCTTCTATGATAACGGAAATCTCAACATTGACATGGTCACTGTGCTGGAAAATTTGCTGGTTCAAGGCCTCCGGATTTTCATTTACAGGTATAAAAAAAGAAAGAAAAGTAAGGCTTTTTTTTTGTAATTTTCTTACTTTCGTAGCGGAGATGCGGACTCGGTGGTACCATTTCTGGGGACCCGGACGATAATCGACAGCATTGTCAACAGGCTCAGGCTCAAAACATTGGTTCCATACTCCGCATGGTATTCTCAAAGCCAGGTAAGCTATTCTTACTTGATAGTCAAAATATCCTTCCACCACCTTTTTTACGACTCGCAGGTGGCTGGGTGGACGCAAGTTACTGGAAACTTGACCTTTGCCACGGTCAAAGGCGCCGGACACATGGTTCCGTATGCTCAGCCCATGCGAGCCCTGGTCATGTTTCAAGCGTTCGTGAACAACAAAAACCTTCCACGCCAGTAGCGATGACTACGCGAATTCTTTTTTTCTGATGTGGTTTCATAAAAAAAAAATGGAACCATGTATCATCTCCTAACCGTTTTCCTCCACTCGTTGACTAATCGATCACGATAACACAGTTTGTTCTCGTTTTGCCTGGAAGATTCCCGCCATTGGAACGGGCCTACACATTTCCTTTCCAATGGGAAGATAAAATTCCTTTATATGCCTTTGTAGATCCCCGATGCGAGGCTCCAGTTTAGTTTTGCTTGAGATAGCCGCTGGAGCTCCCATCTCGGACCAAATCTTCCAGGCCAGCCATGGGTTCCATTCAAGCACTATGCCGAGAATTCGAGCAAGGCGCTGTTTTACTACTTTGTGGAGGCTGTGAGCAATCACGATACCAAGCCCCTGACGATTTGGCTGAATGGAGGTACGAGATCTTTTCCCCGCGAACAAACCTCCCTGGTTTGAGTCCAAGTCCCGGGTGTTCATCGGTGGGAATTGGTGCCTTCACGGAGCTCGGACCTTTTCATCCAGGTCCCAAATCCGATGGGCTTGTTAGAAACGAGCATCAAGGTTAGAATTGGAGAGTGGAAAGATCGATTTTGTTATTTTCGATATCTTGGCAGTGTCGAATATGTTGTTCGTGGATGCACCTGTTGGAGTTGGATGGGCTTACTCGCACAAAGTAGAAAAACACGATGACGAGAAGACATGTATGTTTTCTTATATTTCAAACCTCTTTGTGATCTTTTACACCAGCGAGAGATCTGGTTGTGTTCTTGCAAACTTGGTTTGTAAGATTTCCGGTATAAGAACGCAACCCCAGGTGAAAGCTACGCAGGTGTACAAAATCTTGTTAAAACTCTTCAAAGATTCATATATATTTACGTGGAACAGGACACTATGTTCCTCAACTCGCAGCTCATCTCCTCGACCACAACAAACAAAAAGCTTCCACGTTCAATCTCAAAGGAATAGCTGTAAGTTGGATACCAACACACCAAAATCAAAGTCTTTTATCATTTAACTCCCAGATTGGCAATCCAATCCTCGACATTCTCCTCAACTCAAAGGCAACTTTGGCCTCATCTCTGACAAAACTTATCAAATTCTTGGGGAGAGCTACAAATGGATGAGCTTTGCCGACTAAATGCACAAAGAGCATAGAGTCAATCAGGCTGCTGCCAAGTACAGTAATGTCAATCTCTATGACATCCCAGGGTGGCAATTGCCTACTGGCAGTAATCATATGTTGGGTGAGGAGTGTTGGAGGGGAAAGGCAATATATAGGAGGGATAATGGTTGGAAGTGTCGCTAATCACTTGAAATATTAATTTAGTTTCCATCGTGTTATTCTTTGTTTTGCATATAGCTTGGGTCTAAACCCAAGTTTTATACTATGTTATATATTAAACCAGTGATATGTAAAAATTATGTTAGACTTTGTTAAAAGAGTTGATGCTCATAAAGGATTTAAGTGCATATAATCATTTCAATGGGTCGACTCATATATATTAGTAATATAACAGGTTTGACTAAAATAGGTTAACAATCCATGTTTACTATCTCTAACAAAATTTAATTAAAATTCTATCAGACATCAGTGACTAATGGTTCATAGACTTTTTATTTTCTTAAATTTCATATATAATCGTAAGAAGAAATCAATAGAGTTATTTAGATTATTTTCACATTTTGCATTGCTCTCATCTTCTGTGGTAACCAAGGGAATAGTGGCAAATTGCTACTCAAGACTTCCAAACCCTCAGCCATCTCCATCTTCTTAATAAGCTCAAAGCTCTCTTAGAGGTATGACAACCTCATGCTCCTCAAACTCTAGAACATTCATCATTTCCACAAGTGACACTACCAAGGAACTCCTCAAGATACAAGATTGTATCTTCTCTTCTAGACCTAGGACAATTGCTAGTAAGAACTTTGGGTGTGGAGCTAAGATGGTCTTGGCCACCTATGGCAATCATTGGAGGAACTTTTGGAAGTTATGCACCCTAGAGCTCCTCATACAACAAGCTATATTATGTGGTTTTTCAAAATTTAACTTTATGAAAATATTAAGTGAGAGAAATAAGACTTCCAATATGAGAAAACTATATAGAAAAAAATTACATCATCTAATTTAGTGTATAGTTTTTGTAAATTTTGAATAGTTTTGTAATAATTTCATAATAGTGCTTCATTTAGTTTTGATATGTTTTCATTATTTAGTTTATATTATAGTGTCCTTGTATAGTTTTTAATACTCATTTTTTAGAAAAAAATATGATTTTTTTAAAAAACAATTATACAAACAAATATATGTGTTATATCACAAATCCCACTAGTATTCTCTCAATGTAGCCTATCAATATCCTCTCTAGAGTGTAATTAGAGACCAGATTCTCCTCCATTTGGAATGAGATTCCAAACACACAAAAAAAAAAAGTGACCTACATGTTGCATATAGTAATGTTTGGTTTGCTTAATAGTAATTTTATTATTACTTATTAATCTAATTGATCAAACATGGTTTTTAATTATAAGCATGTTTGTAATTTATAAACACAAGATTAATCTATATCAACCATTAGATGATAGAATAAAAAAGAATATACTAAAAAGGGTTTAAAAAAGTTTATAATTTATAAACATGTTTATAAATTATAAATACAAGATTAATCTAAATGAATAACAAACATTAAATGGTACAATATCCTAGAAAATTCAAACATATTCTAAATATATCCCAGTCCCCTTATAGATTTGCTTAAGCAAAAATCTTACCTTTAAGTGATGTTGCTTTAAAGCTAATGACAGTGCCATAGCCACAATGGCTAAAGCTAGGGCTGGCAACCAACGACGACCATGGCCAACAGCTAGTGGCCAAAACCACCAATAGTCAATGGTAGTAGCCATGGCCAATAGAACCCTAGGTTCATCTTTTAAGTTAGTATAAGTAGAAATTTTTTAAAGTGTTGAATTATATGTTAAAGTATTTTAGAAAGCCTAACTATATAAGAAAAGTATTACATAGATTGGAATGCTTAAATAGAATATATAGATAGAATATTTGGAAACATAGAGAACAAAATAGAAAAAAATAAATTGGTATAGAATGTGGTGTGGGAGACCACTATAATCTATATGAATAATCAGATAGTGTATAACTTTTAGAAAACTATTTAAATAACCACTTGGAACAATGTATTAAATGAACTATAATCTATATACAAAACTATACATTATCTATAAAAATATATGAAAAACCATATAAATGGTGCTTTAGAGTTTGAAAAAACCATATATCTGAAATTAAGTACCAAAATTTACCACATAGATAACTATACACCAATTTGAATTTAATACACAAAATCCCAAAACAATTTGGGTTGTTATATAATTTCTAAGCAAGTCTATATATTTTAATAAGTTTGGAAGGTTGAGATGTTAATGCTCTTGAAAGAACTCTTAAGTTACCTGATAAATCCTATAAAGCTAATGTCCAAGCTCTTGGATCTCACTTTCAACTTTATGATAAAGATGATGATGAATAGAAAGAAGGGTCTAGCAGGCACACACTTTCAAGCACAATGCCTTTCTGCAATAACAATAGTGTTAGTGATCACAAACACATTCATAATGGCTGGAAGGAACATTCTAGCTGACTTTTGCTTGTATTTAAGATGGATGGCCAAATTAATAACCAGGTTAGCAACAATAAATCTTTGAAAAAGTAATTCAAAGTTAAATTCTGATGTCACTAATACCATGAACACCATGCTCATTATTGTCTCCTAGCTGTGCAGTATATTGGCTAAGATGACAAAATGATCTTTATGGAAAGACAGGTGAATAATGGCTCCAAAATCAGTCACAAAAGAGTTAATTACCATGACATTGTTGCAAGTCTTAGTTTTAACCTTGGCAACACAAACTTCATATAACATCATCCATAATGAATTATAGGTTTTGAAGATTTAAAATCCTCTAACTATTATTGAATGTCTTTTATTTTCAACCTGTATTCAGACTCATCATGGTTAAATTTGTTGCAATAACCAGAAGACAACTTCTTCTCGGAGTCCTTTTTGGACTCTATGTCTCTCTCCTTCACTTTGGAAAACTTCCTTCAAAACTTTGTTGTTGTTCTTCTTAACTTAGAAGAGATTCTTGCAAACAAGGCTTGATCAAATTTAAAATGGAAAATCCAAACATCCTTCTGATCTCACCCTCAACAAGAATTACACCATCAATGAGCTCTGGAAGAAGCTGTATGAGAAGCACAAGCAATAGATGCATGTCTTGATTGGCCATCTCTATATGGAGATGGGGTCTATAAGCTTTAGCTTAGTTGTGCCATACTTGCCATCATGGAGGAAATCATCATGTAATCTAACATGAATCGTTATTGTGTCCTTGTCCTCACGCCAACTCCAACTATCCACCTTCTGATACTCTGCATCAGCTTCTGGCTTCAGCTTGTGTCCGTTGACAATTCCCCAAACTCCCTTGCCTTTGAGGATGGGGACCTCCAGCTTGAGAAGTTTCCAGATCCATCAAAAATTGAAATGGAACAGCCATTAGAGAAAGTGAAGGTGGTAGCATTTCTATCCTTTCGATCCTGCTCCAATAAACAAAGAGCCAGAAATGAGAGCAAAGAATGAATAGGATATTTTTTAGAATGGAAACTAGAAACAACTAGAACCAGGACAAGCGAGCAATCACAAGCAAGAGGCTTGTTTCCAATGAAGCGAGTACAGTTGCCTTGATCCTGGACTTTAGCTCCTTCAAGCTCCCAGATCACTTCTTGTTTGAAACAAGAAAGAACCAACAAAAAAGAACCATTAGCTATTTACTAGCTACATCCAGGAATTTCTCCTGAAATTGCTGCTGAATGTGGCCCTCGATCTCCATGATTCAAGGCACCTATCACATCTTGGATTTCAGCTCCAATAGTGTCTACAATTTTCGTCAGACTCCCTTCCAATAATGTTTTGCTGTTCCATAGCTATTGTTGAAGGAGGTGAATGGTTTCTCTGTTGTCCAAGTTTTGATAAGGATTCTTAAAAGTCCTTGGCACAGGCAATGATTTCTCAAGACAAAGCTACTACTTCATGAGATCTTTTGATGTTGTGTGTGGCTTGAAACACCGAAAGCATTCTTTTCTTGAAGAGAGGAAGCAATGGCTTATACCAGATCCTTCTCCAGCTTGTGTGGCATAATGCCGATGTCAATGTAAGGAGCTGAGAGTCGGAGGCGATCAGGTGCCTGCATTTAACGAATGCTTCGCTCGATGGCGTACAGATCCCTCCCAGGAGTACCGACAACTTTTGCAAGTTAATAGTTTACCAAAGTAGTTTCAAAGATGATGGGCAATCCTTTTGGTGCGGCATCTTGCTGCTTTCCAAGGGAGGTAGAAGCTCGCTCAAAACTTGCACTAGAACTAGAGATGGAAAGAAGTGTTTAGATCAGACTACCAGACAAATGCCTGTTTTGGGCATCCAATAAAACTTAAAAAGAATGATAACTTTAGATGCCGCTAGCGCTTCTGCCAATGACTATTTGAATGGCTAACCTTGGACTTGGGGCGGCTATGGCGACGACGCTCATCCCCGGCCTGGACGACGACGCCGCGTACCAGTGCCTCCTGCGAGTGACGCTCCCATCCCACGGCCAAATGCGCCAGGTGAGCAGAGCGTGGAGGAATCTCGTCTCCAGCGCCAAGTTCTACGACGATCGCTCCGCCCAGGGCTTGGACGAGGAGTGGCTTGTCGCGACGGTGATGCTCAGGCAAGAGACTCTGATCATGGCGTTCAATCCCAATAGCGCCAAGAAAGCATGGATGATACTTCCTTCTCCGCCGCAGCACATCCACGGCATTGCGGGATTCGAGTGCAAGGCTCTCGGCGGCAAGCTCTATCTTCTCGGGGGATGGAGGGGCAAGAAACTGGTGAGCGTCTTCGATTCACACACGAACCGATGGAGCGCCGCGGCGCCTATGCTGTGTCCTCGAGCGCACTGTGCGTCCGCGGCTATGGAGGGTCGGCTCTACGTAGTTGGTGGTAACTTAATGGGGAAGGGATTGGACGCCGAGGTATACGATCCGGTGGAGGACCGATGGGAACCTCTCCCACAATCGCCATCGCCGGAGACCATAGCCTTTCACATCGCCATCGTCGTCGATCGCACCAAGATGGCTGTTTTCTCACGCGGTGGCGTCGGAGCTACGCTTGTTTTCTCAGCACGAGATCTTTCCTGGGAAGTGGCGGACACTGGATTGCCGGGGCGCCGCTGCTTTGTGCACTCCAACCGGATCTACGAGGCCGACATGGCTGGATCGTTGATGTGGAGATACGAGCGTGGCAAGAACATGTGGGAGGCGCTCCGGCTGACGAATGCTTCTTCCAGCGATGACAGGTTCTTCTTCCGCACTGTGAGCTGCCAGAAGAACATCTGGGCAGTCTCCATGAATTGCAAGGTTGTGACTGTGATCCAAGTTCCCAGCGATGGCGGCTTGGAAGCCAAGGTGGTGGCAGTTCACAAGCTCAGCGTGCCTTTTAGCGACGATCCATTGGTGCTCAGAACCTTCGACGTCGACATTCTTCGAGCTTGATGTCTATGTATCAGCTACTTCTCTACAAGGATGTCGGGTGAAGACATCTTGCCTTTGAGCTTAATTTTTATGCATTCTAAAGTTAAAGGATGTATGCGATCCCGATTCACAGCCTCCTCTTCTGGATGGCATTGTTTCATAACTCAGAATCCCTTGGTGCTCAGCTCCTTCAATGTCTAGGTTCTTCGAGTTTGATATATATATATATATATATATATACATGGTAAAAATTGATAAATTGAGTTACATTTTGTCTATAAATTATAAGATGAAGGCCTATTGGAATACTACCAGCTTGCTCACGAATTTGACTGAGAAGATCTTTCATGCTTCAGAATGATTATTTTCCCACTGGATGGCCTTCAGAACACGAGCATTTTGGAGGGGATCCAGTTGCCCAAAATTTAGAGCTAGAAACTAAATGAGCCAGTCATCACACCGAAGAATCACCGGCAAACAATGATAGTGCCGCGTTTATTAATCATTAATCCCTTTCGTTAATGTAAAGGGCATTTGGTCTAGTGGTATGATTCTCGCTTTGGGTGCGAGAGGTCGTGAGTTCGATTCTCGCAATGCCCCAACTTGTGTTTTGAGAATTAGCTTATGACTTATGAACGCTTGCAGCAATCCACGACGAGGTGTCGTGGAACTTCCTCGAGAACGGAGATCCTCTTCGGTTTTTAGACGCTATGCTCGGACCAGCTCGCAGAGGGCGAACGTAGGCATCGACATTCTCATGCCCAACACTGGATTGGCCTCCTAACCGCTGCTTCAAGCTTTTCATCGCCTCCATACCCATGGCGCTGAGGAACTCAAGAGCTGGAAGCCGCCGAATCGCAGTCAATGGGTGATGACCAATTGCGAAAGGAGCAGCGATACCTCGCAAATCTCGTGCGACGATGTGGCAATCACAGGGAAGCGCGGCGGATCCACGAGCTCATCCTGGCGAGCAAGCACCGGCAATGCACAGTCTTGTGCAATCTCTTGCTATCACTGTATGCCCGGTTTGGGCATCTTGTCGAGGCGATCAACGTCTTTCACTCGATCCAGGACCCCAATGTCTTCTCCTGGAATATCCTCTTACGCGTCTTGTGCGAAGACAACCGGGTTGCCGAGGCGAGGAAAACCTTCGATTCTCTTGAGGAGAGGGATGTTGTGACCTGGACGACAATGGTGAGCGCATATGCCCGCATTGGGCATATTGACGAGGCAAAGTTTCTCTTCACGAGAATGCCGCGGCGCAACGAGGTCTCGTGGAACGCCATGCTCGCATGCTACAACCGCTGCGAGGATTTCATCGCTTGCCGGGGATTCTTCGATGTGATGCCCGCCTGGGATCTCGTCGCCATGAACTCGATCATCACTGCCACTGCTCGCGACGTCCAGGCAGTGAAGGAGCTCTTCGATGTAATGCCGGAGCGCGATGCGATCTCCTGGACCGTGCTCTTTGAGGGCTTCGCTAGGGGCCGAGACGTGCACCACGCCACCCAAGTCTTTCTTCGGATGCCACAGCGCGATGTTGTGTCATGCACGAACATGTTTCGTCTCTACGTGTTCTACGAGCGCCGCGATCTTGCCGTGGAGACCTTTGAGAGCATGCCCGAGAGGGACACAGTGGCTTGGAACGCAATGCTTGGACTCCATAGCGATCTGGAGCAAGCGACTGCGTTGTTCGCCCGGATACCCGTCAAGGATATGTCATCCTGGACGACGATGTCACAGATTAGAGCGCAGCTTGGAAGCTTAGACCAGTCCAGAGAAATGTTTGATCGTGTGCCGCAGCGGGATCTTACCTCCTGGAACGCCATGATTTGCGCGTATGCCCAGGTTGGGCATATCCAGGAAGCGAGGAGGCTCTTCAGCCAGATGCCCGAGAAGACGTCCGTGGCATGGACGGCACTCTTTGGCGCCGCGGTGAAATCTGGAGGAATGAGTGAAGCGCGAGAGATGTTCTTTGAGATGGAAATGCCCCGCGATTCGGCTGCTTGGAACGCGATCCTCCCCGCATTTGCCGATCATCCGGGAGATCCCGAATGCGGCGCCGAGAGGATCTTCGGGATGCTGGCAGCGATGCTCCTCGAGGGCCACACACCCAACGAGGCATCGTTCGTGGCGGTGCTTAGCGTGTGCGCGGACGGAGGCCTGGTGCGCAATTCGATCGAGTGTTTTGCGTCCATGGTGGCGGATCATGGCGTGAGGCCCGTCAAGGATCACTACAGCAGCGTTGTGGATGTTCTCGCGCGGGCTGGGAGGCTGGGGGACGCCGAGGAGCTCATCCACGCCATGCCATTCTTTCCAGATCACATCTCCTGGGCTTCGTTCCTCGCGGCTTGCAAGGTCCACGCCGCGGTGGATCAGGGCGCTCGAGCAGCGCACAACATGATCCACCTCACGAGCCACGACTCCGCTCCATACGCCCTCCTGGCCAGCACCTACACGGTCTAGCAGCACTCCCACAAATCTTGAAGTAAAAGAGTATGAGTAATAAACTTTTGTACGAGAGAGACAATGCTGGATGAAACCGAAGATCCGGTTGGTGTTGTGTTTGTGTTGTTCTAAAGATCCTGGCGAGTTTGCAACTTTTCGGTGGCAATTACACAATCGAGCTATCCTCATATCATTCCTGTTACTTACACGTTTTGCAGGAGCTTGGAGATTTTCTCAACAGCAGCCTCGGAGACTGCAAACTCGAGCGCTCGCTGCGCAAGGCTTTGCTTCTCGTCGGCCTGTGAGCTCTCCTTCGCGGCTCTGTAGTGCATCAACGCGAGGCAGTCACCGGGTAACGGACTAAAGCCCTGCATAGAAGTATCAGCAGCAATGTCACGTAAACTTGTGCTAGCACCTCACGAAGCTCGGCCCGCCGTTCGTGCTGCTTGATCGCTCGAGCAAGTTCTTCGGCACCTTTGGTATCCAGCCCCTTTTCGACTACATATTCGGCCGCTGCCTATACTCGCAGGTAAAAGAGAAATGAGAAAACCAAGAGATCCATGTACCTTGCGCTGCTTGCTTGACAAAATTCTGAGCTCGTAGAGACTGCATACGTGCGTCTCGTTGCTTTCCAAGGCAGATAAAAGCTCGCTCGAAGCTTGCGCTAGAACTAGAGAGTCATACACCTGTATCGATGGAAACAAGAGTTTAGATCAATGGAAGAAGACTATCAAACAAATGCCTGTTCTGGGCATATGCGGTGATCCACGAGAACTAGAACGTAACAAGAGAAACAAAGATGGGGAGTTTTTTCTTACTTTCGAGGCGACTACCATGGCGGTTTGCAAGTGTGCTGTGACGAGCGCGACATCGTAGAGCTGCTCTGCGGTAAATCCCATTTGCTGGAGCTCCCAGATGGTCTTTGCCCTCGTGTGCCACGATCCCATACCATTCCTCAAGCTCTCCATCATGCTCTCCACCACTTCCTCGCTCTTCCTCGATTGCTCATCCCTGGCCCTGCTCGATCCATATCCCAGATTGGGGGGCTTGAAGCTCCCCAACCCGGGCGGGCTAATTTCCACTCTCCTCCTGCCGCCGCTAGCGCCTCCGCCAATGCTGCCACGAATGCTACTCACTTGCTTGTGATCGGGCCTGCGATTCGGCGGCTTCCAAGGATTGAAATCCAGATTGGCGCCTCTCGCAAGGAGCGTAAATTGGGTAGCCATTGGCTGTTTCTTAGGGTTCTTGAGTTCTTTGAAATTTTCTTAGATTCGCCATGGCTATGGAGGCGACGACGCAGGCGATGAAGAGCTTGAAGCAGCGCCTAGGAGAGATCGAGGCGCTGGGAGGAATGGGCAATCTCCTCTTCTGGGACAAGCAGGTAATGCTCGCGGCGGGAGGCCATGGCGCCAGGAAGAAGCAGATGGAGACCCTCGCGCTCGTTGCCCACGAGCGCAGGACGAGCAAGGAGCTGGGGGATTGCCTGGATGCGCTCCACAAGCATCCGGATCTGCGGGCTGTGCTGTCGCCAATGGAGGCCGCGACTGTGAGGGAGGCGAGGAGGGACTACACGCGCGCGACGAGAATGCCGAAGGAGCTAGAGGTGAGATTGGCGGCTCTGCGATCCTCCGGCTACGATGCGTGGAGCAAGGCTCGCGAGACGAGCGACTTCCAGATCATGGTACCGGCGCTCGAGGAATGGCTGGAGGCTCTCAAGGAGGAGGCGGCAGCGGTGGCTCCCGAGATGCGTCCCTACGACTACTGCCTGGACAAGTTCGAGAGGGGCGCCACGGTCGAGAAGATCGACGCCATATTCTCGTCGATCAAGCAGCCGCTCATCGATCTGCTGCGAAAGGTGGTGGCCGAGAACAAGAGCGTGGCAATCCCAGGCTGGAGCGAGCTCAAGTTCCCGCTGGATTCGCAGAAGAAGCTCGGCGAGAAGATCGTCCGGGAGATGGGATTTAAGCTCGAGAACGGCCGGCTGGACAACTTTGGCGGCCATCCCTCGACGACTCCCATCTCCAGCCCGACCGATGTGCGCCTCACCACTCGCTACCTCGAGGACAACTTGATGTTTGGGATTGGAGCGACGATCCACGAGGCCGGGCATGGATTGTACGAGCAAGGCCGGGACTTGGAGGCCTCGGAGAACGGGCTCATAGCCTCCGGGCCCCCGAGCTTGGGACTCCACGAATCCCAGTCGCTGCTCTGGGAGAGATCCGTGGGACTGAGCCGCGAGTTCTGGAGCCACTACTGGAGCCGCGGCGTCGTAGAGGCCTTTCCGGAGCTGGAGAGCTCGCTGGGGAGGATCAGCCACGAGGATTTCTACCGCCAGATCAACGTGGTGAAGCCCGGCTTCCAGATCAGAGTGGACGCCGACGAGCTCTCGTATCCGTTGCATGTCCTGCTGCGCTACGAGATCGAGAAGGGGCTGTTTGACGGCAGCTTGAGCGTCCAGGAGATCCCGGGAGTTTGGAAGGCCAAGATGGAGGAGTACGTTGGCGCTGCTCCAAAGGATGATGCCGAGGGGTGCTTGCAAGACGTGCACTGGGGGATGGGATCTTTTGGTTACTTCCCAACTTATGTGATTGGAGCGATCTATGCGTGCCAGATCTTTGATGCTGCGGACAGGGATATGGGTGGCGAGCTCCGGCAACAAGTTGGAGAGGGAAGGCTGTTGCCACTGAGAGAATGGCTCCGGGATAAGATCCACAGGGTTGGGAGTGTGTATGAGACTGCGGAGGAGCTGGTGGAGCTGGTCACTGGCAAGCCTATGGATACGGGGTTGTATTTGGGCCATCTTACCACCAAGTACGCGGACATATACTTGAACGATGGCTAAATGTCTAGTGTTTTCACTTATAAAATTTACAATAAATGAGAATCTGTGGATTGGAAGTAGAGGGAGTACACATTTGGGTACTGCTTCCGAGCAGGATCCCGAATACCATACTTGCGCTCGGTCCGGCATTCGTTTTCCAGCCATGCCCTGGTTCCGCTGGGTTGTTCCTTGGCCTTTTTCAAGAGTTTCTGCTTCTCGTGGGGAAGGGTCTTAAGACTAGCTTGATCGCCACGCTGGTACATGAGACGCTCTTTTCTCCTTCGTTCCACTTCTCTTCAAGCGCTCTAAAGCCGCTTCTGCATGTACTGCATGGAGATAGCTGGTGCAAAAAGATCCATTGCGAACATAGCCCTTGAGCACAGATGCGGGATCTCTAAGCTTCTATACCTCCCCTGCGTACTGTTCTTGATGTAGTCTTGGATGGATTCAAAGGGCTCAGCTGCCCTGAAGTTAAGCAGGACCATTTCCCAGTCTCTCTTTTCGTCCAAGTACTTCTCTGCTTTCCAGTTTGGCTGTACTGTAGATTTCATTTCCCGTACCCGGATCCAGCATAGGAATGACCAAACGTCTCTTCTTGCTGAAGAATGTCTGTGATGTCTTCTATGTACCCTTCACAAGCCTTGTCTAGGAAGAACAGGGACATTGGGTGAGCTGCCCGACAACGGGTTCACGTTCAAGCACAAGCTGGGCACCAAGGTTGGTGGTGTGCTCTTCGACAGCGATGGCGTCTGGTACTCCTCAGTAGACCTCCTCAAGTATGCACATCCCAACAAGCTTGAAGGGTTGTTATAGAGATGTAATTATCAGTGAATAAATCTTAAATTAGAGCACAAAATATTCCAAGTAAGTTATCATTCAATAAACTAGTATTAACAGCAAAAAACATAACATCCACTTCACATTCAAGATGCTCTTGAAACTCTATGTGCTGAGGAGTGTCTCTTGCAGAAATGAAGTATACGCATTCTGCACATAAAATTTAGTAAGCGAAGTATGGCAGGAGAACTATTACGTGGCCAAAGACGACATACAGGCAGCTCTTGCCTGAACCCTTGGCACCTGTTATGATTAACCCACGGAAACCGTATCATCTCATGGAGGAAGCATATTCCGATCGACCACAAAAGAGAACTCCGGAGGTGGCCGGTGTACTGGAAATGGCACCCTCCACCCTAAACTTCCGCCATTGAACGCTCCGAATGATGTCTTTAGTGGCTCTAGCCCCATGCCCGTCGCCCAAAGAATCTTCTCATCGCTGTAAACCATGTGCCAAATATTTAAAGGATTCCAATTAGATAAGTTTAAGAAATTAAACCCTGAATATTCTCGTCATAAAGAAGATTCTTTTATTTTTACCCCTTATGGACAGTGCATTAAAAAGAGTTTTGGAATGTGGCAAGCTGGATGATATGCACAGTAGCTTGCCTAATGCTAGCTGGTGTGCAAGCCATGGAAGGAGCTGTGTTGGGCTTTCCTGAGAGTAGTGGAGAGACACACAACGAAGAAGAATTGTATATTTCAATTATATATATATTGGTGTGTATATATATATATATATATATATATAACTACATAGGCATCATTACATGTTATATCTAATACTGCACTCACATCAGGTAATTGATCTAAGCCTAAATCATACTTAGCTAGTCTGAGCTTCAATCTTGCCATTAGCATGTGTCAGAAGGGGCTTTTAAAACCTAATGGCTTTCTTTACTATTCTGCAACGCAACTTTATTGCAATTCCCTGAAGGTTAAAATATTCTAACAAACAATACGGAATCTCTAAGGAGTTTTTAGAAAACTAGCGGAATGACATTTGAATGATACCAATTTCATCCATCTTCCTTTGCCCAGGACAGCTTACAGCTTACTCAAACCAGCTCAGTACTCCAGTATATGGCTGTCTGGTTTAATTCAGGTCCTAAACACATTTTCTTGGATGATCCTGAAAAGTCACTCATGTCACACTACCACTAGCACAAGTGTGAAATTGAGAAGAATACAAATTGCCTATTATGCAATGTTCTTGAGTCTTCACCTAATTCTTCATCTGGGTTGTTGAACTCTAATAAAGATGGTTTATATACAATATTTCTCCAAGACCATGTCGTTGTAGGATAGTGAGTGGTCTGCTGTCACGTGGATGACCCGGGTTCGATCCCTGGCAAAGGCGAGATTAGCTCTGTGTTTAGTTCCAAGCGTGGCAATCCCCCATCATAGGATCGGCTCAGACTCTCAACTCTTCTCGAGCCTGTGACATGCTCCAAATGCCAATAAAAAAGCACAAAGAACACTGACCAGACTTGATTTTCATATTCGTCTCCTCAAGAAAGAAATTCTTTAGCGTTCCAAGCCACACACAATGTCCTGCATCAAAAGATCTCATAGTAGCCACGTCTTCCCTTTTCATTCTCGCAATCGACATCGAACGAGTTGATGGCGTTTTGTAATTCGGGGCCCAAATGCCGGGCATGCGGGCAAGGAAATATTGGAGCTCCAGATCATTTGATTGAGTTTGCTATTTAGGGTTTATGTAGGGCTTTTCATGGAAGAAGAGAAGGCGCCAGCACCGAATTCGTATCTGTGGTGCCCTCGCGTGCATTTCGATCCTCCGCCGCAGAGGCTCTATCACTTGCATCGCCAGTTCCGGCTGGATGGCAGCGGCAACAATTTCTTCAAGGGTGTCAAGTGGTGAGAAGAAGTTCTCATTGCATTTCTATGTTCTATAGCTCGTTCTACGCTATTTCTATTGCATTCTCTTGCAGGTCTCCTGATGGCTCCTGCTTTCTGACGTGCAACGAGGACAAGACGCTCAGGATTTTCGATTTGTAAGTCCAGTTTTGTGCTGTTTTTTCCTTGTTCTTCTCTTTGTGGGGTCGTTTTTTTATGTAACACTTGTGGCTCCAGGCCGTCAAACGCTCTGGAAGTCGAAGCATTGGATGATCTTGCTGCCAAGACGGGTATGATTCTAGAATTTTCCTGGATCATGAAAGTTATCGGCTTGATTCTAGATCCACTTGTCTCGTCATTGACGGTGTCGGAAGGAGAGACTGTGTACGATTTTTGCTGGTATCCTCACATGGTCGCCACAGGTTCTTCGTCTTAATCTCTTGCGCTTGCTGTTTACTAAGGCTTTTGATTGCTTGTAGATCTGTCAACTTGTGTTTTCGCGACTACAACTCGGGATCATCCAGTTCATCTGTGGGATGCTGCTACTGGTAATGTAAGCTTGAAGTTTTGCGTCTAGCAGAGTATAGATTTGGTGTTTTTACCTGTCTGTAGCTCCGCTGCAGCTATAGAGCTTACAATGCCATGGATGAAGTTACAGCAGCATTGTCAGTCGCTTTTAATCCTGCGGGTAACAGGTAGAATATTTCTGATATGGTTGCCCATGCCTGACCATTAGGCGCTCGCAGGCTCTTTTGTGGATACAAAAGAAAGATCAGAATTTTCGATACCTCAACTCCCGGTCGTCACTGCGAAGAGCACTCTACACTCACGAGTTCCAAAGAAGGCATTACAGGTGATCGTCTTTCGACTATAGTAACAAAAGTAGTCACGGGCCTCTTGCAGGAATTGTGTCGTGCCTAGCTTTTAGCGGACACCAGACAAATCTTCTTGCGGCTGGTTCTTACGATCGAACCATAGCAGTGTACAACGAAGGTAACATGGAGCTTCTATATGTGCTGCAAGGACACGAAGGAGGCCTGACTCAAGTATAGTTCTTCTCTTTCCTCTCGAGTCTATCTATGCGCTGCTAAGCTCGTTTCTCGAACAGGTTCAGTTCTCCAAGGACGGCAACTATCTGTACAGCGGGGCTCGAAAGGTCTCAAAGTCTCTTCTTCTGTTGGCTATCCTCATTATGGTGCTTCGATCCAGGATCCATCGATATGCTGCTGGGACGTTCGGTATACAACGAGTTTAGTGTACAAGTATGCCTCAACTGAATTTTCTAGTCGCTAGATTACTTAGCTTGTGCTTTTTGCGCAGGCTTGAAAGAGCTGTTACTAACACGAACCAGAGGATAGCGTTTGACATTGAACCATATGCTCAACACCTCGGCACAGGAGGCGAGGTTGAGTTATCTTCTTCTTTTTTATTCAGTGCTCACTAGGTGCAACCAAGCAGGACGGTGATATTCGTTTCTATGATCTTCGAACTGGTGAATTCACTGCCAGCATTCACGCAGCCTCAGGTACAAAACCAAAAAATTCTATTCTTTCCCTCACTTTCGCTTACAATCAGATACCATCAATGGGTTTTCCTTCCATCCCACGCTTCCCCTGGCTGCTTCAACTTCTGGCGCTCGGAGGTTTAGCACTAGCGAGGACAAAGACGATGACGAAGAGCCACCGCAGATTCTAACAGGCAATTACTTCCAAAACCATCTCTCAGTCGCATTGCTGATGGTATAGTTTGATGCCACAGAGCTGGAGAACTGTGCGTCGGTGTGGAGATTCTCCTGTTCATGGGAAGAAATAAAGTACGAGGACGCAGTAAAGGTTGACGAAGAAACCCACGAACGAATGAACGTTGACGAAAGCACCATTGTAACCTAGAACGAAGCGATTGAAGTCCAGTGACCGTTACGAAAGCTTGTGACAAGGTAACTGGAACAATCCTTTCCCTCAATCGATCAAAGATGTGTTTTGCTTTACGTCGAAATAATCTTCGGGTACGAAAAACTTGAGCCCGACTGCCTGTGCGAACGGAAGGAGGACTGGAATGCATTACTTGGAATGTATCTCACTTTTGCAAATCTAATGTCAGCATCACTGTGATCTCCTGCTCTTCCAGCCGCGTCACCAACATAGAAAGATGTGATCCTGTCTATGGCGATGTCGCCGTTCAAGTGCCGCTCCATAAACTCCCACATGCCAGGCGCAGGCTTTCTACACGGATCACCGTCCAAGCCACACGAAATGACCACCTAGAAACGCGAGCAACACTGTCAAAACGTGGTTTTTTCTCGGAACAACAATACCTGTATCGGAACCTTGACAAGATCCATGAAGGCGTTCAGCCTTCCCACCACCTGACAAGAAAAAGAACAGTATGGTTCCCTCCTCAAGAAGATTGCCGTCGAACAAGAAGAAGACGTCTTCCTTGGTTTAATCATAACAGCAAGAGCTGCCTCCTGCGCGCGCTTGCGATTGAGCTCATTTGCCGCTTATCTAAGCATGAGAGAATAATTTGCATCTGGCACTTCGATGCTCAGCAGGATCTCCGACGCCAGGTGACATCTCTTCTCCCGCGGACCTTGCCGAATTCTTGTTGGACAGGAGAGCGGCCGGGGATTACATTACTGTGCTTTGCGATGGCCAAGAGAAGTTAGATGCATTGCGCCGGGATCGTTCAGAACGCACTCCGATGACTGCCCTCGAGCGCTACTCTGACTTTGTCGTTAAGGCCTTGTCGCTTGAAGCTGTTGATGCGCAGGACATCCCAAGGGATGTCGTGTATTAGTTCTCCTGCCATACTTCGCTTATATGTGCAGAACGAGTATACTGCATTCCTGCAAGAGACCCTCCTCGGCAAGATGCTTCAACAGCATCCTTCCTGAACGTGAAGCGGATGTTACTCTTTATGCTGACAAGCACCCATTGTCCCTGTTCTTCCTAGATAAGGCCTGTAAAGAGCACATCGAAGGCATCACACCGCCAGTCGTCTACAAGAGACGTTTCCAGAACCTGGATACGGGAGATGAACAAGACTCCGCAGCCGAACTAAGCCCGGTATGAGCTGAGGGATGTCGTCTTTGGCCAGGTAATAGTTCTCCTGCCATACTTCGCTTACTAAATTTTATGTGCAGAACGAGTATGCTTCATTTCTGCAACAGACCCTCCTCGGCACAATGCTTCAAGAGCATCCTGAACGTGAAGCGGATGTTATGCTTTATGATGACAAGCACCCAATGTCCCTGTTCTTCCTAGACTAGGCCTGTAAAGAGTACATCGAAGGCATCACACCGCCAGTCGTCTACAAGAGACGTTTTCAGAACCTGGATACGGGAGATGAACAAGGTCTCCGCGGCCGAACTAAGCTTGGAGAGGTACCTGGACGAAAAGAGAGACTGGGAAATGGTCCTGCTTAACTTCAGGCCAGCTGAGCCCTTTGAATCCATCCGAGACTACATCAAGTACAGGTATGCAGGGGAGGTAGAGATCCCGCATCTGTGTTGAAGGGCTATGTTCGCAATGGATCCTTTTGCACCAACTATCTCCATGCAGTACATGCAGAAGCTGGTTTAGAGCGCTTGAAGGGCACAGTCTATCGCTCACCAGAGTACAAGTGCACAAACTCAAGAAAATCAACGCGATTTGGCCGGAAGTGGGGTGGGCTTGCGATTTCTCGGAGAGGCTATGTAGGCTATCGGGTTGAACTTCCAAGGGGAACAAATCGAAGTGTTCAAGCTGGAGGCTGAACCAGCAGTGATCAGGCCATATCAATGGAAGCCGCACCAGGCAATATACATGTTGCCCGGGAAGTACTCGTTCAAGTATGTGGATGGCGTGCTAGCGTGGGTAAACTTGCACTGCAGGTGACTGTTCGTCCAGAAACACACAGGAAGACAGAGTACAAGTTTGTGACGCAAGAAGAGATTCAACGCTGGCATACTGGGGTGCACTGTGTGTACATCTGCCCAGCCGCGCAACTGTTTCACACAGTACAGAGGAAGGGAAGGTAGCGTACACGACGCATGAGCTTGAGCTGAACCAGTGCCTTACCAACCTTGAACAGGATGAAATCAACATTCTTAAGAAGCTGGGCAACCTGAGAAGGTAGAAGTGGAACAAAGGAAAACAGAGCGTCTCATGTGCCAATGGGGCTATCAAGCTAGTCTGAAAACCCTTCCCCAAGAAAAGAGGAAACTCTTTGAAAGAGGCCAAGAAACGACCGGGCAGAGCCAGGGCATGGCTGAAAAACGAGTGCCGGATCCTGCTCGGAAACAGTACCCAAATGTGCATGACCGTCTAGTTTTATGAGATTGTTGTTTTTTGGAAGGCCTTCTCATTTGTTACATTGTGTTAGTGTTTTGAGAATTGTGGTGTAGAAGCACGCTAAAACACTTGCTCACGATTATACCATATACAGAGAAAAATATCAGGACTTCTGATGAAGAGCTTGAAGTCCTGCTGGTCGCTTGTTCCTATCAGGTCCTGTAGCAGCAGCAACCAAAAATCTTGCTCGCAATTTGTGAAACCGCTCAGTGATGCGTATCCTCCACTCCCCTGCCGATGTTGCAAAGGTATGAATTCTTTCCGGCCAGTTCACCTTCAAAACCGAGACTTCTAGGCTATGGAGAGATGGCATGCGAGCAATGCGATGGCCGAGGCACGCTCGCGTTGGGAGGATACCACCGCAAAAATCCCGTCGACATGGCCCGCGTTGTTGGTGAGTGAATTGGGGAGTGATCGATCTTGTTCCCAATCTTTCTCTCGAGTCTCCAGGATCCAAATGGACAGCCATGGAGCGCACTTTTGGATGGCGCCACTACGAAGCTCGAGCCAAGCAGCGGATGAGCGACAAGGAATGGTTCGTCCAAATGGTGGCCACTTGTGACACCACCACCCAGCTGTGGGTGAATGCGCAAAATCTCCGGGTAAGAATAGGATTTCTCCATCGAATTCTTGGTTTTTTTTTTATCTTCTCCCAAATTTCCAGGATCGCAAGCTTTGGAGCATGGGGTGGCTCCAGCGATCCGAGTTCTCCGACCTCAAGGAGCGGAATTCGGGGCCCAAATGCCGGGCGTGCAAGGGGCAGGGGAAGATCCAGTGCCCCAGTTGTGATGGATCGTCCATGAGCAGCAGCAAGGAGCTCCAGATCATCGATGTGTGATTGATAAGTGTGCCCAAAATTTGCCAGCGCTGCATTCGTATCTGTGGTGCCCTCGCGTGCATTTCGATTCTCCGCCGCAGAGACTCTATCACTTGCATCGTCAGTTCCGGCTGGATGGCAGCGGCAACAATTTCTTCAAGGTTGTCAAGTGGTGAGAAAGAAAAGAAAAAAAGTTTCCATTGCGTTTCTATGTACTGGACCTATAGCTTGTTCTATGCAATTTCTATGGCATTCTCTTGCAGGTCTGCTTTCTGACGTGCAACGAGGACAAGAGGCTCAGGATTTTCAATCTGTAAGTCCACTAGGTTTTGTGGTTTTTTCTTCCTTGTTCTTCTCTTCGTGGGGTTGTTTTGATGGAACATTTGTGGCTTCAGGCCTCCAAACACTCTGGAAGTTGAGGCATTGGATGATCTTGCTCGGGTATGATTCTAGATTTTTTCCTGGATCATGAAAGTTATGGGCTTGAGTTTATGTCATTGAAGGAGAGCCTGTGGATTTTTGCTGGTCCTCACATGGTCGCCACAGGTTCTTCGTTTTAATCTCTTGCACTTGAATTTCAGTAAGGCTTTTGATTTCTTGTAAATCTGTCAACTTGTGTCTTCATGACTACAACGCAGGATCATCCAGTTCATTATAGAACTTACAATTGAAGTTTCAGCAGCATTGTCAGTCGCTTTTAATCCTGTGGGTAACAGGTAGAAGATTTCTGATATGGTTGCCCATGGCGCTCGTAGGCTGTTTTGTGGATACAACAAAAGATTAGAATTTTTGATGCCCCAAATCCCGGTCGTCACTGCCAACGAGTTCCAAAGAAGGGTGATCGTCTTTCGACGGTCACGGGCCTCTTGCAGGAATTGTGTCGTGCCTAGCTTTTAGCGGACACCAAACAAATCTTCTTGCGGCTGGTTCTTACGATCGAACCATAGCAGTGTACAACGAAGGCAACATGGAGCTTCTATATGTGCTGCAAGGACACGAGGGAGGCCTCACTCAAGCATAGTTCCTCGCTTGAGTCTATCTATAAGCTGCTAAGTCAAACATGTTCAGTTCTCTAAGTACGGCAGAAATCTCCACAGGACAAAGGCGCACCAAGCGCCTGTTCAAATTTCTCCTCGAGAGAGCCCTTGATTAAATCTCTCGCAGCATGGAGAAAAGCTGTGGTGCACCGAGATAGTTGTGGCACGATTGCGCGCTTATGATTCCACAGCAAAAGATTTGGTCGTCTGACATATTAGATAGATTAGGTACCTGCGGAAATCCCTTCAAAGACACCGTGACCTTCAGCAAATACCGGATCCCAAAGAACAGGGGAGTCTCCAAAAGAAGCAAAGCAGTGCGGCCACTTAAACAGGTATACAAACAGGTATACATGGCTTCTCACTCGCCCTCAGTGACAAGAAACTCGTGAGAAAACTCGATTCTCTCGCTGGTGCATTTGGCTTTGCGGTACACCCAGTTGCTTCTCGCGTACCAGAGGAGATGCATCTCGGCCACCAAACGCAGCTTGAACCGGAGAGGAAACTTGGACGCCATGCTTGCCGGCAGATGCCACACAACAATGGGAAAGTCTTCCACGTTAATCCTTGTTCGTCCTCCTCGCAATGGAGGCTGTATGAATCACCTTTAGATGGAAACAAAAGCAATGATTTACCTTGAGAGAGTTGAGCTTATAGTATGGTTTGGATGGATTATACTTCATTCCATTGTGATTCCAGCGAAGGAGTTTCCACTCAAGCTCTGCTATGTTCCCAGGAACTCCAACGGTGATTGAGTCGTACTCCATGGGGTTGTGGACTGATCGCCCCCACGTCTTCTTTAATCTGAGCGATACTGGCCATAATTTAAGTTGAGCTCCAATCTCACCATTGCTGCTCGTGATGTGCGTGCTGGAATTGGCATCCCCATCACGGAAATTGTAGGTAACAATGTTGACAGAGCTCTTCATTTCACCAAGTTCTGGCTCGATCCAGAGTTTGACGCGGTAGGGATAGAATCCTAAAGCTCTGGCGCTCATGATTACATCCTCGTCGTCCACGCCCACGAAGAAGCTTCTGATCTCCAGAGTAACTTCGATGTTTGCGCGGCTCTCTCGGACGCTGGGCAGAATCACCATTGCAATGCCCACGAGCTGCTCGCGCTTGGGTAGTCCATTGGGAAGATGAAGGCGTAGCTGGTCGAGTGGTGTTGTGTGTGATGGGAGCTTTGTGTTGATCTGAATGCAGCAGCACCTCCTCTGGGAAACTGAATTTCGAGAAAATAAGCCGCCCATTGCAGGAGTCCCGACGACGCGAAGCGATAATAGTACTAAATGGGATGGGATGGGATGATAAATAATACTTTCTTAAACTTTTTTTTTGCTAGGGACTTTGGACAAATGATAAAACGAAGTCAAACTTCCGACGGGACGAGGAGGGGGGCGAAAAATCAGTAAAGAAGAAAATTCTGGAAATTGTATTATTAATTAAGTAATCATTTTTTAATGATTAAACTCAAGGCCACATTGTACAATTTCCTTGATGATGTAAACATACTTTGACGTGGTTCTACTTTCACACATGGCAGATGCTTATGCAAGATCTTTGTATATGACAAGGGTTTTCCTTCCATCCCACACTTCCCCTTGCTGCTTCAACTTCTCGACGACAAAGACGATGATAAAGAGCCACCTCAGAAACCATCTCTCTATCGCATTGCTGATGGTATAGTTTGATGCCACAGAGCTGGAGAACTGTCCGTCGGTGCCTGTTCATGGGAAGAAATAAAGTACGAGGACGCAGTGAAGGTTGACGAAGAAACCCAAGAACGAATGAACGTCGACGAAAGCACCATTGTAACCTAGAAATGTACAACCGAAGCGATTGAAGTCCAATGACCGTTACGAAAGCTTGTGACAAGGTAACTGGAACAATCCTTTCACTCAATCGATCAAAGATGTTTTCTGCTTTACGTCGAAATAATCTTCGGGTACGAAAAACTTGAGCCCGACTGCCTGTGCAAGCGGAAGGAGGACTGGAATGCATTAGTTGGAATGTATGGCCAATCTCTCACCTTTGCAAATCCAATGTCAGCATCACTGTGATCTCCTGCTCTTCCAGCCGCGTCACCAACATAGAAAGACATGCTCCTGTCTATGGCGATGTCGCCGTTCAAGTGCCGCTCCATAAACTCCCACATGCCAGGCGCAGGCTTTCTACACGGGTCACCGTCCAGGCCACACGAAATGACCACCTAGAAACGCGAGCAACACTGTCAAAATGTGGTTTTTTATCGGAACAACAATACCTGTATCGGAACCTTGACAAGATCCATGAACGCGTTCAGCCTTCCCAGCTTCGAATCGATGGCCTTCTGCCGGCTCTTTGTCCACCTATCGATGTTGGACTCGTTTGTAAACACCACCTGACAAGAAAAAGAACAGTTTGACAACAGGCCGCATAGTGAAAGCAATCAGCAAGCACTTCACCAGTTTATACCCGTCTTCGTGGCAGGCTTGTAGCTTTTGCGGTATAGAAGTGTATAGTAGGGACCATGCTTGAGCACCCACTCTGCAAAAGAGAGTTGATTAGGAAAGATTCTAGCTGCGATTTATATCACCTTTTCACGTCAGTGTTCACAAGGCAACCGTCAAAGTCGAAAGCTGCAACCTTCTCTGACAAAGTTCCACTATCATCTGGCTGCAAATCGAGTAAAAGTACTGTCTCAGCTTGATCCCGTGTGTTCTCGTAAGAGAAACCTTACAGTGTTCACGATTATGGAGGAAAATGACTTCCACCCCATGGGCAGAGATGAATCCTATGCGTCTTGAGAGATGAATATAATCAAAAGCGTTAAATGCAAAACACAAACCTTGTAGCATGTAGAGAACTGAGATGGCTCAAAGCTGGACAACTTTGCATGCCAAAGCAGTCGAGTTTCCTCCGGCACGACAGCTTTCTTCTCGAGACAAATCTTTTTACGGCTCACTTCCACGGTTTCTCGCTGTAGCAACTCCCTCAAAATAGTTTGATCCGAAGCCTGTACCAAATCAAAAAGTTCTCATGGCTCATCGCATTCTGTGAAAAAATAAAATTACTTTCAATGCAGCGAAGCCTTTGGCCTTGAGAACGTCCGCGACAGGAGCTTGGAGCTCCAAAACGCATTTGGAGTGATGCCTTCCACAAGAAGAAGAAAACAAAGAAATTGCTATAAAGGAATGGAAAATCTTTACCATTTGGTCATGGCGAATCCGGCGCCCTTGCTCACAATGCCGATTCTCACCTCGCCCTTGGCGAGCTCGAGCTTGCAGTGCTTGCACGCCGACCTACCGGATTTCGCATACTCGACGACGAAGCCGACCATAGCTTCGCGCCCCCAAGCACATTAGGGCTCCTATATGGAATCACTAAAACCTCCCTCTATCAACCTTAAGAAATCTCTCATAAGTACAAATCCATTGTCGTCTAGTCCGGTCAGGATATCTGGCTTTCACCCAGGTGACCCGGGTTCAAATCCCGGCAATGGAAACTCAAATTTGAAACTTACCTTAGCTTTTTAACCGTTGACAGGATGTCAGAGGGTAAAATCTTATTGCATTAGTAAATGCCAAAGCTCTTGACGTCTTCTTCGAAATCAACCGTTTTCCAAGTAACGATGAGTGAAAGCAAAAGCTTTTCTTTGTCAGACGTAAATTTCAAATACTCTCAAGCCCGGCAAAAATCCCAATCCCAAGCTCCCAAATCCCCTGTATTTTTAGGGTTCTTGGATTGTGGGGGTAAATTCGTCCTCTCCACGGCTGCTGGATCTCTTGGCTAGCTACATTCTTCCACTTCCTGTGACGATCACGAGGTTTCTTCCAGTACGCATGGATTGATTTAAGCGCTCTTCTTAGCATCTGAGGATTAATGGATGCCGCGACAAGGTAACCGAATGCCACAGCCTTTCTCTCGTCGATCAGCGGTGTCCAGGCGCGGTCCAAGGTCACTGTCGCTCAGAAAGAAAGAGGGAAGAACACTCGCAGGCAGGCCTCTTGCGCGCTATCTCATTCATGGTATATGTGGAAAATTCAATGACTTCACGGCCTTACATCATCTAATGCTTGTGCCAGATCTCAACGTGGTGACAAGCAGCGAGAAACCGAGCTAGATCGAAAAAGCTCTCTGGCATGGACCACGAGGAGACAACATCACCACCACCACTATGGGACTACTGACGATCCACTCGGCAAACTTATCGCACCAGGTGAGCTTGCTCTTTAATTTCCAGTGGAAGTTCCTTTGCTGAAGTGTTTGAGCGGGAGAAATCCAGTGCCTGGCAGCTGCTGCTCCGACCCATCTTCCAGCGACTTTGCTGCTGGAGGAGGAGGATAATGTCCAGCAGCGGTAGCAGCAAGCTCAAGAAATCCTCCAGCCACCAGTCCTTCAAGTCCTACTTGAATCCTCTCGGTGGCTCTCTAGACAAGGAGAAGTCTTCCAAGTCGTCTGGCGGCCATGGAGTCCTCGTCGACTGCGGTGGCGGTGGTGGCTCGGCTCTTCCAATGCACCTTTGCCACAGCTCCTCGGTGCAGCGCAACGTTATCGACGTTCTCAAGGAGAATGCCTTCCGTTCTTCGTCCTCTCCAGCGCTGCGCAAGAGTCGAAGCCAGAGGCACCACTCCTTCGATTCCATCGTCTCCAAGTCGGAGCCACTTTGCGAGCTCAACCGGGGCCCCTTGAGCGCGTCCAAGAAGCACAACAGGAGCAACAATGCCGGGGATTTGAGCTCGAGCAACAAGAACAAGTCTGGCGAGCTTTCAGGCGAGACTCCGCTGTTTTGTGCCACTCCAAATCACCGGCTTTATGTCTGGGACGAAGAAGCTGCTCCTGCCTCTGCGTGGTCGACTCTTGGCAACAGGTTCTTTCCTTCTCCTCTACTTATCGTGCTTTGTTCGAGACTTCTCTTGAGAGGCTTCTCTTTTCTTTCTTTTTCGGCAGAGTTTTGCTCCTCAAGCCTTTGCCTGTGGATGTGGGGAAGTGTCGATGCTACATTGTTCGAGAGCATCGAGATGGTCCCTCGGTTTACTCGCTCTACACAGATGTAAGTGAAACTCTGCTCGGTTTTCTTCGAGTTAGTGGCTGAAAGTCTTGTTGTCAGGAGGGCCAAGGTCGACAGGATCGTTTGCTGGCTGTTGCTCGTCACAGACGACGGGTCGGGCGCTCGGAGTTTTTGATCGCTCAAAGCACCATCGGAACGGTGCTACAGTCGCAAGACGAAGGATATTTGGGAAACCTGGGAGCGAACCTTGTTGGATCGCGGTACCAACTTTGGGAACAGGTATTGGAGCCTTCTTTTGCTTTACTCTGGTTGCCTTTTCTTTTGAAGCTTGTTGTATTTTATATCCATGGCTGCAGGGGGATTTTTTAAGTGCTCGACAGAAGGTGCTTCAGGGCGTTGTGACGTGAGCGTTTTCCAGCTTAAATGTCATCCATTTGATTGACAGCTAGTGCTTGTTTCTTTGGCTTTCTTTATGAAGGTTCGAGCCGACAGTCACGACGCTCACGGGCGACTCCAGAAAATTGAAGGCTTTTATCCCGAAGTATCAGTCGATTCAAACAAATGGTTCTAGTATTCAGGTAAAACGCAGTCTTAGTGTTTCGTTGTTCTTTCGATATTCATATGTTCCGGGAACTCGCAGTTTAATTTCGGTTTAGGAAAGGACTGGGAGGAAAACATGAGCAATGTCAAGGAGCTCGTATCTAAAACACCTCGTTACAACAATCTTTTAAAAAGATATGAACTCGACTTTCGTGAGTCGTCAAAAATGGGCGCCAAGATCAAGACCTCGGTTAAAAACTTTCAGCTGACAGTTGAGGTACCCAAAAACTCTCCTTTTCTCCGGAAAATTGACAGTTTTGTTTTTTGCTGATACAGGACCAAGGTAAGCAAGCTGTTTTGCTACTTGGGAAGCTGAGCAAGTCCACCTATGTCATGGAATACCGGTAAGCATGCTTGACATGGCTGGACTGTAACACTCCCGTGGTTTCCAGATTTCCATTGACAGGATTTCAAGCTTTCGGCATCTGTTTGGCTTCCATCGATTCCAAGCTATGCTGCACAGTGTAAACCGCGACTCCAAAAACTATTGACAGCTAAATCTCCTTCGCTGAGCTCTCACAAGTTTAGCATGCTCCAGGAAATGTTTCTCACAGGTTCCTTGTGAGTCAAGCAGCTGCTAAGCTCTCGAGCCATCCTAGCCTGACTAGCACGCCCAAAGACATCCACCATCGCGAAGAAATGCTCGGGGAGATAATCTAGGCCATAGTCCACCACCGCAGACGAGAAATACTCGCGGCTCTTGTCGATAGAGCCTTCGTGGCTGCAAGATGAAAGAATACTCGTGAGAGCTACCTCGTCCGGTTGGAAACCACATAAGCTCATAGCTGCCAGCGTCAATGCTACGTCTCTCCATTCTCCAAACTGCGAATAGCCGCTAAGCATTGCGTTGTAAGACACCGACGTTGGATCTGGCATGGTTTTAAAGAGAGCCTCGGCTTGGAGAATATGCCCATTGTGGGCATGTGCTGCTAGCGTGGTATTCCACGTCACTGCATTGCGCTCGTCCATGGAATCGAACACCTGCTTTACCCTGTCGAGCTTCATACATTGGGCATATGTCACGATCACTGCGTTCCAGACGAAGAGATTAGGGTAGGGGATTTCGCGCAGCATTGCGTCGGCGAGATCCAGATGCCCGGCCTGGGCATAAGATTTGATCAGCGTTGCCCAGGAGATCGCGCTGTGCTGCGGCATCCGGTTGAAGATCGCGGTGGCGGACTCCAAATCCCCTTGCGAAGCGTAGCCAACGATGAGCGCGTTACCAGAGATTGTGTCGCGGACGGGCATCGAATCGAACAGGCTCACGGCTTCCGCGTGTGTACCCCCACTCTCGGTGTAGCCTGCGATCATAACGCTCCAGGATATGAGATCCCTCTCGGGCATTCGATCGAACAGAGATCGCGCGCTGGCGAGATCCCCAGCCTGGACGAATCCAGTGATCATCGCGTTCCAGGTCGCGAGTCCCCGGATTGGAATGCTCTCGAAGATATCCTTCGCCTCGTCCAGCCGGCCATTTGCCGCGAGCGCGGAGAGCATCGCGGTAGACGCCATGGCGTTCACCTCGGGCATGGAAGAGAATGTCCGCGTAGCATCTTCCAGATTCCCCCTGTCAGAATATGCCGCCAGCAGCGTGACGCACGACGGAATGTTCCACTCCGGCATCGCATCGAAAGAGGCTTTCGCGGCGTCTATAAGCATATTCTGTCCGTACGCTGCCACGATGGCGTTCCACGTCACTAGGTTGCGGTACGGCATTGCGTCGAAGATTCGCTTTGATTCCTCCAAATGACCGTTCCTTCCGCAGGCCGCGACCAGGGCCGTCCATGACACCACGCTGTGGCAGGGCATCTCGTCGAATATCCGCCACGCGGCGTCCATGTCACCGGATTGGCCGTACGCAGTGATCAACGCCGTACACGCCACGAGGCTCATCTCGGGCATTTTCTTTAGCAAGCGAGTGGATTCTTGGAGATGGCCGTTTAGGGCGAGCGCAGAGACGATGGAGCTCCAGGAGAAGATATTTCGCTCCGGCATTTGGTGGAAGAAGTTCTTGGCATCCTCCAGGCAGCCATTCTCGCAGTAAGATTGGAGCATCGCGTTCTCGGCAACGAGATCGCGCTCCGGCATGCTGTGGTAGATCAGCTCCGCATGCCCCAGGTCAGATGCGCGGAGCAAGGCCGTGGCGGCAACCATATTCTTGGGATCCGGCATTCTTTCGAACAGATCCATGGCCTCTTTCAAGAATCCCTGCTGCGCGAGTGCCGCGATGAGGATCGTGCTAGAAGCGGCATCCTTGTGCGGCATTCTCTCCAGCAGCTCCATCGCTTCTTGGAAATGGCCGGTCTGGGAGTACGCCTGGATCATCGCGTTCCAGGCCAGGGAATCCTTGCATCGGGCATCCATGGAGTCAAAAATCGCCTTGGCCTTGAGCGCCAGGCCTGCCTGAGCATAGGCCGTGATCATCGCAGTCCAAGAAACGATGTTCTTCTTCCGGCCCAGTCCCTGGAATAGTCGATCGGCCTCCGCGAGATCGCCATTCCTTGCATTGGCCACGATCAAGGTATTCGTGGCCACTACCGTTGCTCTTGGCATCATCTCATACATCTCCTTTGCCTTCTCCAGGTCGTCGTTTTGAGCGTAGGCCGAGACGATGGCGTTCCAGGCAACCTCATCCCTCTCGGGCATCCGATCAAACAGCTCTTTCATCTCCTCGATATGCCCGTTTTGGGCATACGCTCCAAACATGATGTTCCACGAGAAGACATTGGGCTCCTGGATCCGATCAAAGACCTTGGCAGCGTCGGCAATGCGGCCACACTTGCCATACATCTCGATCAGCAAATTCGCAAGGTACCTGTTACTCCTGTGCTCGCTCCTCGCTATCCTCAGATGGATCCGTCGGCCCTCATCCAGGTTCTTGGAACTGGTGCAGGATCTCACCACCCGGATGAAGCTCTCCAGCTGATCGTCGCCATGCTCGACACCATCCGGCCGCGATTCTCCGGCAAGGAGCCTGCGAGTTCTAAAAGGCAGGCTCCTGGAGTCAATGCTTGGTAGCTGTGAAAAGGACATGGCGTTGATCCGCGGTGGTGGAAGATCATTGATTCCGGGTCGACCACCACCTCTTAAAATCGGTGCAAGCCGCGTGAAGGCCCGGGAGAAATAAAGTCTGCAAAAGAGAGGTAGCTCAAAGTTCTTTGGTTTGGTCAGCGGGGTCAATCCATCACATTGATGGTGCTCTGTTTTTATGGATGCAGCATTCGTTGCCGATCGCGGTCACGCTCCCCCTTATTCTTCCCTCAGGCAGCACCGATCTCGACGCCTTGCCTCTCACGAATCCAGCGCGCAACTGCAAGTCGCAATCTCGTGCTGGGCTCTCAATTGCGGTGAGTTCTTCGGCAGGATCAGGGTCACATTCAAGCGCCTTGGTTGGAGCTAAGGATACATTTCACCACCATTCAATTCCGCAAGTGGTAGCAGCAGCAGCAGCAGCAGCAGCAGCAGCTCAGCAGCGGCAATTATGCCGGTGACGAGGAAGATTTGGGCTCGCGTTTTCCCGGGCAGCGCCGGTAGCAGCCAGCGGCAGCAGCAGAGGAGAATCTCGCGCTCTTCGTACCAACACATCAGAGTGAGCAGGCGGAATTTGCGAGTCAAGCGATTCAATGTGGCGATTCCTCCTCTCTTCTCTAGCCGGATCCTCAAGAGGATGAGGGCGCTGTGCTCGCGAGCCAGCCCCTTCCTCAAGCCCTTGTTCTCGGGCCATGGATTCCTCCTACACATCGCCGCGCCAAACAAAGCTCTACATTAAACCCTAAGTTAAGCTATTTAAAAGTTTGAAAAGCCCGCGAATCGGGACAAAGAAGGCGCGATTTCACGCTCGTAACGTGCTCGCTCCACAAGCTTAGTGTGGGTGGCAGAAGATCATGTATCCCCAGCTAAAATCCCACAGCGCGATCGTTCCTCCACAGCGCTCCAGGATTTAAAAACAAATCCAATCGATCCAAGCCAGGGATCATCTATACTAGTTTGGGAGACTTCCGAGCTTTTGGGATCGTCAGCCCAAGAACAGGAATGGCGAAGGTGGTGGTGCTTCTGGTGGTGTTTGCGGCGCTGCCCATGGTGGAAATGGGGAATGGCTACTGCTTCTTGGCGGATATACAGCCTTGCATTCCCGCGATCAAGGCCACAGGGCCCAGGCAGGCTCCCACCGCTGCTTGCTGCGACTCCATCTCCAAAACCTCCCAAGTTTGCCTCTGCCAGGCCGTGTCAGGGCCCGAGACGCCCAGGGCCGGCCTCTCAGTTGGAAAGGCGCTCGTCCTGCCCCTTGAGTGTGGGATCAACGTTCCCTCTGGAACTACTTGTGCAAAGTTTTTCTTGGTTGTTTTCGATCTAGTCTTTGCTTGAACAGGTCGTCCAGTTCCAAACTAAGGCACTGGGGTTTTGGAAGAGGTGTTTGTCGATGTCATTCTAAATCATTTTCCACTCTCCTCCCTAGATCTTGTTCGTGGCTTTTTCCCTATCTTAAACTCGCAACGAGGCCTCATGATCGTGAGGAAGAACTTTTGGTTGTTTCTCGTGTTGCTTCTGTGTGGGCTCTTGTTCTTGTTGCTGGTGCGTGCGCGGGCTTAGATTCGTACGCCCACAAAGCGCACCTGACAGACGATAAAAAGAATTATAAGAAGGCAAATACGAACAGGATGGAAAGATGCTTTGGCGTGGAGAAATGAGCATTTGTGGGGAGTCAATCACTGTTCCACGAGCTATATTCTTTATTCTTTTTTGCTTTATATCTCGAAGAATTTGGCTTGGCTACGTTGCTCTTGGCCCCCAAAACTGTCCGAGAAACGAGAAAGCGAAAATACGGAGAAGACCTTAAAATGGTCACTTCTTCCGGGAGGGTCCCTTGTAGCACTTTTGCTCCGTGGGGTGAAGCGATATCACCATCTGTTTGTGGCTGTGCCTGTCACGCTGCAACGTTGCAAATGGCGTGAATGATTTGGAGATTTCCCCAAAAAACCCCCCCAGGTGAGAGATGAGACAAGAAACGCTTATATATTAGACCCATGGTCATCGCTGGTAGACAATCTATATCCTTGTTTCCTTTTCTTTCCCTTCTTTTTTCGCCTGTATCTCTCGTCGGTTGAACGATAAACAAATGCGAAGGTCCAGAAGCTTGCAGTTCCGAGATCACTGTCGCGATCCATGCCGAGACCACATGTAGAGATGAATCGCCAGATATTTGAGCACGTCTTAACGTCTCATTTACGGCCTTGCCAATGGACTCAAAGTCTTCCTCTCCCAATCCCTTCTGGCCTGCACTTTTGAGTAATCTCTAATCTCTCTCTCTCTCTCTCTCACACACACACACACACACAGAGATCTTTCGCTTTCAAGAGATTCAATACACCAGTTGCCGTTCCCAGGAAAATGCACATGATTCTTCACTCTTCTCTTTTACTCACGCACTGATTCACAAAATCAAAGCCGCCACCTTCTCTTCACGCTTATTACCTCTGGCCTCAAAACACTGATCTATGTGTGTGTGTGAGAGAGAGAGAGAGAGAGAGCACAAAATTCTATTTGTTTGTGTGTTCTTTGTGTCGCTCTCAAGGGTCAGGGGCTACGTTCCTAGGCCCGCAATGGTGGGCTCTCACGTAAATGTGAAAGAGGGAGTGGAGATTGATGGCACTCTCTTTCTTGTGGTGGTGGAGAAGCAGTGATCTTTGCGAGGCAGATGCTAGAGGAAACGTGGTTTGGTTAGTCTATGCTTTCTTTAATCCCATGGAAGGGGACTTGTGGAGAGTGCGGAGAATTTAAGTGGCCAGGGGAGTTTCGCAAACTTCTCTCCCTCAACTACAATGTACGCACACACCGACGTTTAGACACGCGCGCGCACTCGAGATCCAGAGAGCCCGGGCATTACTTACAGCTCCGCAACAAAGAGGGAAAAGAAGAGTGTGTGTCAAAGCCAAAAGGCGCTTCACATCTGAAAGGAGCTCTCCTCTCTTTCTGATTTGAAGGGATGAGCGGTAGAAGAAGAAGGGGACTGGAGCGATTTAGTCTCCTGTGGTCCTAGGATCAAGGAGATGAATTGAATCACAAGTATCCAGAATTTCTCTCATTTCTCTGTCCCTCTCTTTTTTTTCTCTCCACAGAGGTAGTTGAACCATAGTAAATGTAAATGCTCTCTTTCTGCAAGGCAACAGAGATTGCGAGGGGGGGAGGGAGAGAAGGAAGAGGGTCTGGCTATGGGAGAACAGAGAAGACAAGTTTTTCTGGTTTGATTGTAAGCTGTGGTGGTGGTGGGGGTGTGTCTTTGTTTTTGTGTTGTTGGGATTTTGGAGAAGGTTAGCTCGTTTTCCAGGTGACAAATTTTTGTTCTTGGAGCTCCCAGGAAATCTCATTCCCAATCAAATTGTTTGTGAGGATATTTTGGAGGAAGCTTGCAGGCCAACAGGGGAGGAGGGAGGAGGAGGAGAATCACTTCAATCATCAAAATGGTACTACTACTACATGAGGGACTTCTTCCTTGAAAGTTACTTCCACACCTCTCTCTCTCTCTCTCCTCCCTCTTTATTCTTTCTCCTTTGATTCCTCCAGAAAAGAGTGTAGAAGGATGTTGCTGCTGCTGCTGCTCCTCATGCCTCCTTCTCCTTCCTCATCCTCTGACATTGCTGTGGTGATGGAAGACTTGGCACCTCCATGGCCTTCTCCTCCAGCCTCAAGCTCCGTCAGCAATGGCAATGGCATCAACGCAGCTTCTTTCCCAAGAACTTCTCCCTCCTCCTCCTCCTCCTCTCCCATGAGATTCACGGCTCTTCACGTCACCATGATCTTCATTGCTATCCTCCTGTGCGTCATCATCTGCGCCATTCCCTGGGACAACATCAAATGCAATGGCAGCAGCGCCGACAACCAAAACCAAAATCCTCACCACGAGCAGCCGGAAGAAACCGCGGCACTGGGCGACGAGGAGCAGCCGCAGCCGCAGCAGCAGCAGCAGCCAGCCTCGGGCCTGACCAAAAAGATAATCAAATCCTTCCAGCTGGTGAGGTATGGATCATCGTCGCTGCGGGAAAAGGCCGAGAGCGACACCAGCGGCTGCGGCGGCTGCTGGACCGAGTGCATGATCTGCCTCAGCGACTTCCGGAACGGCCAGATGGTTCGCATCCTCCCACACTGCAGCCACGGCTTCCACCGAAAGTGCATCGAACAGTGGCTCCACTCGCACACCTCGTGTCCAATCTGTCGTAACGCACTGCTCGTTCCAGGCAGTCCGGAGAAAACCACAGCAGCTGTGCCACACCAACACCGTCGCCATCATCACCAGCCTGAGCAGCAGCAGTCTGGAGCTCATCACCACCACCACCACCACCACCAGAGCCAGCTAGAGCAAGTCGTAGTCGTCGATCCGGAGAGTACTCAGGTCGAGGAGGCCGGGGAGCGAGCTTCCGACGATCAGGACGGCCAGAGTGTACATAGCCGAGCTTACGTTGTTGATTCAGACTGAGTTGAGATGATGAGATGATACCAGCGATGATTAATCTCGAGTTTTCTTCCTCCAGTCTTGTCCTTCTCTCCCAAAGACTTGATCTTTAGCCTTTCGTCGCGTAGCTCAGCAGGCATCTTCGTCGGTCTCGCATCTCTCTCCGTCTCTATCTTATCACTTCCTCCCAGAATATCTGACCATTCCGTAAGCCACTCCATTCCAGGAAACCAAAGCCGATGATACTGAACTAATCCAGTAACTAGTGATGCCGACATGTCCCAGTACTTGAGGTCACACGGACTGGATATCAGCAGCTCGCAAGGAGACGAGCGAGAGAGAGCTCTTTCGTATTCCTTTTCTTTCCCAGTTCTGACACTGGCTAAGTTTTGCTGCCACTGCTGCTGCTGCTGATGCTCCCAATGCTGCTACTACTACTGCTGCTCCATCTCCCATTTTTCTTCTTTCGGATCAATCACTCCAAAAAATTGAATCTAGCAAACCACCACCCCGGCAAATTATCCTCGAGAGCTGCATGCTTTGCTCTTAGCTGGCGGCTTGATTTCGCTGATTGAAGCTAAGCTTATCGGCGTCATTCGTCGTCGTCTTCTTCATTCTCGTCACTCTGGCCTGTACTTCGCCGGGTGAGCTAGACTATAGCGAGGCTGGTTACCTCACGATCACAACCGGCTGCACTGGAGGGATGCAATCTCCGCCATCGGGTCTGTGCACCATTCCCCCGTAGCCTTTGTGATGCGCACGGGTGCTGTGCTCGAAACACACGTCGCCGGAGGACGACTCTGTCGTGCTTCGTGCATCGCTGCCGTTCTCGGCAATTTTGTTGGTGGTGGCCTCACCGTTAGCTTGTGTACCATTTGATTCGTGAGTGCCGTGAAGAGCTTCGTCGCCCTCGGACTCGCTCTCGCTTGCAAGGTCGGCCCACAGCTTCGTCGCAGTAGAGCCAGAGGTTGATGCCGGAGTGACACTGCTCGTCCCCTCTGCTGCTGCTACTGGCATTTCTGCCTCACCACTGCCTTCGAGAGTTTTGATGATGTCCTCGGCTGGAGGAGGTGGAGGAGCACTCTCGAATCCCATGGGAACCATGGGCTCCATCATGAGGCAGTTCTGAGGCGCGCCAGCGGCGGCAGCGGCAGCGTATTCCATCTCGAGCTCACTGCTGTACTGGTAAACCGGTACTGCAACCATAAGTTGGCGGGGGTCACCTTTAACGAGAGGAGGAAAATCCAGCAGCTGCGACGAAAACCACGGCTTTCCGGGAACGAACTCCGCTGCGTTTGGGTTCATCTTCCTCCCACCGGGACTGAACTCGGCACCTGTGTTGGGAGTCACTGGGGCCGACTTTGATACTGTTTCGGATGGTTGCTGAGCTTCTTCCGGTATCTGTACCACAGGCTGAGGTTGAGGCGTTCGAGGAGCGAAAACGTAAGTCCTCTTCGTAGAGTTGAAAGGACCTTGTGATCTCGCTGGACCTCTGCCGAGATGAAACTGAGAGGACTTTTTGATGGGAGTGACTGCGACTGTCGTCTGTGTAACAGCCGCCTGTGACGACAAGTTTGCGTTTGGCAAACTCTTTCCATCCTTGAACGGAGTGACGACCACTGCCGGTCCTGTCGGGCTCTCCACGTTGGGGGGATTGGCGATGGGACTGAACGGTGGCGCTGCGGCAGAAAGCCTCTTTGACGATCCTCCATCCGAGTCTGTCTGCTGGTCCTCCACGTCCAAGGAGTCGCCGACTTCCTCAGCCATACTTTGCTGTGTTTCGGCCGTCGTCCCCACTTCCTCCACACCAGATGATTTAGAGTTTGCATCCTCAGCTGGCTGCGAAGGCCGTGCGTGGCGGTCCGGAGAAGCGTCACGTTCAGTACCATCCACGTCTTTTGCTTGAACTTCTGTAGCCTCCGGTTTAGATGATTCCTCCAACTGAGTCTTGTTGTCCACAATAGGTGGTGGACTCGTGCATGTCCCGGGTGGTGCCAATGCTATTTGTTTGTAGGAAAAGTGTCCCTTGCCAGAGGAAGCTAATCTTGGCGGTTCCGACGGTACTCCAGCTGAAGAAGAGGACGACACAGAGGCCGTCTCAGGATCCACACTGGCTACCTTCGCTTGATTGCTACTGCTCTTTACTCGTTTGATTGTGTACTGCGGAGAAGTTACTGTTGAAAGCTCGGGCACGTTATGCGTTGAGCCATTGCTGGAGGGAGACCTGTTATTGAAAAACTTTCCGAGCTTGCGGTAACCCAGCTCTGTTTTGACCGTCGGTGCTGCCGTTCCACCCGTCGGGGAGTTTCCAGCGCCATTATTTGACGAAATTGTGACTTTCCTTTTACCGGCAGCTTGCACAAGAGGCTGCTGCTCCTTATTCTGACCAGCGGCTAGCAAGTTCCTGCGATTGTTGTTCCTTGTGAAACCATTTGATCCTTTGCGCCAGAAGTTCTTGACAGCCCCGTTCAAATGCCGTCCTTTAGGCATTGCCTCTTGCCACCCATCGTCCTCGAAGAGATACGTGTCCTCCATCGCTGTGGATGGCGGTACCATTATTTTCTTATCCTCCATGATGTGATTGCCATTCTCTACCGTTGCAGGTTCGTTTAAAATAACGTCCGGTGGAGCTTCGCGTGGTGATTCCGCAGAGTCTGTGTCCGAGAAGCTCTGATCCTCATCAGCTCCCTCATCTGATGGCTTACTTGAGAGACCTTTAGAAGGCTGCAAAAAAAATATTATTATTATTGAGCAAATGCATAAAAGCGAAGGACGTACTTTTGAACGCTTTGGTTTGCGTTTGATGTTCTCCAACTCCTTTCTTTTGAGTTCTGCTTCAGCGTTGATGTATTCTAGCAAATCTGAAACACTGAGCATCACATTCCGAGTATCGTCATATTTGTTTCAAGCATGATTTCTTACATGGACCGAGTTATACCTGAGATGACCTTTGCTGGCGATTGAAGCATCTGGTTTTGGTGCCCCAGTTCGTGCAGCCTCTTGCTGCTCTACAGCTTTTGAGTCGAAATAGTCCAGCCAAGCAGCTGCATCCTACATAATGAAAGAAAAAGAACAAATCGAATAAAATAGTGCACTCGCAAATAAGTTAGTACCTGTGTGCGCAAGTCATCAGGACCAAGCTTAGCTTGCAAGATTTGAAGCGTTGTTTGCTCGTGCTGTACACTGAGGGAGTACGCTTCCATTAGCGAAAGGGCGATAGCTATGGCATGGTAGCTAGCGGCCGTCTAAAATCCAAAAAATTAGAACTCAGAACAGTTTAAACGTTCCCCAATCTTTACCTGGATGTGGTCCGCTCCTAAAAGTCGCTGGTTGCATTTCAAAGCTTCGTGAAGATATCTAAGCGCTATATGCACATTCCCTAGACCTTCTTCCATCATTGCAACGTTGATATATGTAGCTGCTGTGTTCGGGTGGGAGGGTCCACAGATCAGGTGAAGGAGGTATAAGGCCCGGTTGACATACCTGTAAAGAAGGTTAAGGTCATCAATTAAAAAGAATCACAAAAGAACGTACTTCAGAGCTAGTTCGGTATGCTGCAACCGGTAGTAAAAGACAGCCAGATCTCCATAGCTCTTCATGGTATCCGGATGGTCCAAGCCAAGCTCGCGTTCATTGATGTCTAAAGCCTTTTGTTGGTAGATGGTAGCCTGAGAAGCGTCGACAAACGTTTAGATTGTATAAAACCGCAAGTGACAAGACCAGACCTGATTGAAATCCCCTGTATGATACAATACCACTGCCAAAAGACTATAAGCTCCGGCAGTCATTCGGTGATAAGAACCGCAGACAGCCACCAGTTTCGCCAAAGCCTACAAAAATGGCATTAGCATACGTTTAAGAAACATCGTAAATACCTTCGTGCCGTAAGCAACCGCATCATCTAACTTTCCTTTATCCAGGGCAGTTTTTGACGATTCTAACAGTGTCCGTCCGTCCGCAGATGAACAAGCCGCTTGCTGCCGTATAATATAATCATTTACGGTTACCACAGAGAAAAAAAGTACCTTATAAACTGGAACCATGCTGATAATATCAGCGCTACTGAAGGGGTTAGGAGATTGGTAGTCGTAATCTCTAGGTGCGATTTCCACACCAACCTGAAAACACAATTTAGAGAGTAAAAGCAGACAGTTTACGTTTACCTTATGGCAAATGCCACGAAGAACTGCATACTTTCTTAACTCGGGCCGAGGATCAACTGACAGTGTCCAGCCAAATCTTTTCAAGGTGAAGGCTTCCAACCATTTCCAAGTCAGAAGCTCGGACGTATTGGAGGACTCGAGCATGGACTCTTTGGAAGGAGTTCCCAGCATTGCATTGAGTGCGACGGCGATTGAGACTGCTAGTTCGGATGGATGCGTGACAGCTGCAACCATTGCACGAAGTACATGCTTGAACGCTCGAACAACCATCTCATGAACACACAGAGACTGAATGTGTGGAAGATTTTTCGAGAGTTCAGCCTACTCTATCAAACAAAAAGCCAAATAATTAAAAGTTTGCATATGAAGAAAGAGAAAGAAACAAAAGACTTACCACCCGACCCAGGGATCTCATTCTGAGGCCTCGTGTGTGCATGAAGTCCGTCAACGTGCGCCCATCAACTGGTGATAATTCTAAAGATGCGAAATCGGACACCTGTTAAAAACAAAAATGTGACAATGATTACAAATGTTTGCATGTAAATGCATACCAGTTTAGGAAGCGCAACGTCATTATAGTATTGATCTGCTCCAGCAACAAGTTCGGGGACAGTCTGCTTAGAAGCAAACGTAAGCTTTGTTATATACAAAAATATATATTTTGTTACCTTCGAATGGAGGCCTATGTCCGACTCCTTCAAGCGAGTAAATGCTGCGTCTCCAAGTAAGCTTTTGAGATGCGCTTCCGATTGTACTTTCAGAGGATCTACTTCTTTTGGCTTTTCCAAACTTGCAGAAGAAGATTCTTGTGAATCACTGACATGATCACGCAAAGAATCCAGTGGCTTGGTCTTTTCAAGGACCGTCTTTTTATCAACCAGCTTCTCGTTTGTTTTTTTCTTTGGGTCTTGCTTGTTTGATCCCTTTGCATCAGCCTTCTCCGAATTGGCCTGTGTCTGAAGATGCTGAACCCAGCACGCTCCCAGTTCCCACCTTATAAATCCATCAGTCCTGTCTGACTCGTTCTGCAGCCCTTTCAAGCTTTCAGCCATTATCCTCTGAAGCACATCCCTGGACTTCCTAACTTCCTCAGGATCCACTGAAACGCTAGCCGTTTGATGCAGGAGACTTCGTAGGCTGAAAAAGTAATGTCATCAGCAAAACAAGCATAAAGAAAGTTTGAATGGGTTTACCTGTTGACGTTTAGAGCATTGGCTCCTCCCTCTGCCTGTTCCTCAACTTGAAGATCATTTGGTAAATTTATCATCTCTTGGGCTTCTTTAAGGCCCCTTGCTTCGACCAATGCCATATATTTTTTATGCCGGATCAGAACAACACCCAGCGTCGCAGTGTCCTGAAATTCAAACACACGAGTAAGAAAACGCAAACATAGCAAACTGCTTACATGAACAGTGGTGCTTTCGTCAGCTGCAATTCCTTTGAAGAGGTTCTTCTGAGAAAGCTCTTCAGGTGTCAGTTGTCGGCTATGAATAGTATCAATCTTGAAATCAACTTTTTTGCTTGCGTCTGTAACGTCCTGAGCTAGCAAAACATTCAGGGACCCCGCTTCTTTAACGAGAAAATGTCCACGGTCGTCAATCAGAGGTACATCTGGCAGCTGTTCCGCATCTTTCAAAACTGATGTAGCATGAACTAGGCACGTGTCTACGAAAAGGCTGTGAAGAAGAAAGGCTTTCCTGTCCCGAACCTGGCGTTCTTCATCTGTCTTACACGGCATGCGCGCTAGAACCATGAAATCCCGAGACCATTCCTTCTCAACGCTTTCATCGTCTCTTCCTTGTCCTCCACCATTACCACCCCAAGTCTCGTCTTCTGAAGGTAATGGAGGAAATGTTGATGGAGCCTCTGCTGCAGTGGGTGGAACCACCCAGGTGTTTGATCGAAGTCCATACGGGATGTTTCCAAACTACATGCAGCAAAGACATAAGCCCCTCTCAAATTTGTAAAATAAATCCAGCTTACCTTGTTACGTTCCACAAATGCCTTGATAAGGTCATCGTATGCCTGTTAACGTCACGTCATAAGCAAGTCAAACATTAAAAGCGAGAGAGTAAAACATACGTTGGCAAAAGCCTTGCTAGCGTGTCGAAGCAGATTGACAAGTTGATAGAATTTTGTCTGAGGCTTGCCAGCATTGTAGAATCCCGAGGTACAAGCTACAGCCGTTACGAGTTTGCCGTTGCATAATCTTACCTGCAAAATGAAAGTAGCGGGCCTAAGATCAAAGCAACAAAATTTGAGAAGCCTTACATCAATTGCAAAAAACTCCCCTTCAGCAAGATTTTCGCATGCTTGTCTCGTCGATCTCCGAAGAACTGAAAATAGCAGGATCAGTGAAGCGGAACCAAAAAACAAATTCTTACATTGGATTGGTGCAGTGAGATGGGAAAAAGAAAAGAACTGGTAGAACTGGCCAAGCTTCGATGGAGGACACAACTTGTCGATGTCACCTTTCTCTGATGCCTCTTTAGCTTCTGCAATAACAGCTGCGGCCTCTGATTTTCCTTTCGACTTGGAGGTTCCTAGCTTCTTAATCTCCCCGTTCCTTCGAGCATGATCTCCTGCCTGTTTTGTTTTGCCGTCTTCATCCTTGTCCGGATCAGCCTTGTTGCCGGCAGCAGCAATCAGCTTTTGTTCCGCTTCTTTGGAAGCTACAGTATTGTGCTTTTGATCCGCTTCTTTGGAAACAGCCGAGTCTTCCGTTGAAGGAGAATTCTCTTTGTGACTTCCGTCATGAGTATCAGTCAGCTGCTTCCCTGAAGGCCCAAAACACGCTGTGCTTGAAACAATGTCCAGAAGCCTTCTGACGTGTGTGATTGCCTTTTCCTCGGTGTAATCCTCTGAAAAAACAATCGAGAAAGAATAAAAACGCTGTAGTCTAGCAAAGTGTAAATAAAATAATGGCACCTTCGACAAGAGTAAGAACGCAGGGTTTAAGAACAGCGATCTCCAACGAGTCCCGCAAACGACCTCCTTTTATCTGGACACCAGGGATGGGTGAAATTTTCCAGAGGGAATTCCAGATCTCTTACCTCGTGCGCGAGCGAGAAATTCGTGAGATGGCACGTCTCCACATTGACGGCCAAGAGGCGGCGCACATCCAGAATGCGGTCCGTGGAAATACCCTGCGCGCCATCGATGAATCGATCATTTCCAGCGAAAGAAAGCGCGAGCGCTTACCTTGAGCGTGATCTGCGTGCCCGATGGGAGATGGACAGTAACATCGAGCATCACCGGCAGCGCTGCGAGGAGCAAGAAACCACGACATTGTGAGCGCCATCGCCTAAACCCCTAAAACCTAAAATATCTCAAAACGCAAACGCTGGATGGATCTTTGGGTGCTCACTCTTCTCTTCCTTCTTCTTCTTCTCGCCTTTGGGCTTGTGGACTTTGGCGCGCCCCGCGCGAGGTGCCATGGCGAGTGCGAGCGCTTAAGCTACAGCGCTGGAGCTGGATGGTAGCGCTAGAGTATTCTCGATCACTAAATCGATCCTCAATTCAATCGGATCAATCCCTGGACGCAATGTGGCCCTTGACGCATCCGGTGCTCACGGGAAAGCAATTAAATTCCACGGCTTTGCCGGAGCAAAACCACTGAGATTTTGGATGCGATTCTGTATCGCGCTGGCTGGAGGAAGAATCAATCCCGAAAAAACTCTAGAAGAAGCTTACTTGGAAAGGAAGGAAGAGAAGAAGAGAGGAAACAAGCAAGAGATCGAATGGCCGAGAGATGGACACCCACACTCAAAGATTCAAAGGGAAAAAAAATAAGAAGAATGAGAAAAGAGAAGGGCAATCTTATGTCCACAAAAGCAATGGCCTTTTAGATCTTTTTGTGTGGTTCTCAAAAATAAGTAAAATTAGCTCCAAGCTCCTGTCGACACACACAGTTCTCTCCCGCGGTGGGATGCTCACCATTCAAATCATATCACAATACCACGGATAAGGCCACGTGTCCAAATTGCGCATATTCTACTTTGATTCCAACTTTCCCTTTTTCCACCAACTAGAAAACTATATAGAAGTGCAAATCGGTATGGTTGTTTGATCGCTCTCGTACAACGCTAACGTACAGCACCTTAAAAGCAAATCTTATCTTCGCAATCTTAAGCTCTCGATTTGGCTCGGTGATTGCCGGGCCTATCTCTTCGCACTGCCCGGACCTATCTGCTTTGGCCGAAGCTATCCAGTCCCAACCTCTCCTGCTTGTCTCTTTTAGTTCCTTCCGGACTTCATTGAACCATTCCTCTTCCTCCTGCTGGAATTCTTCGAGATAGAAAAACTCGCGGTGCTCATTCTATTTCCTTGTTGTTTTTGGAAGTGGAAGTCGCAATCGCGGAGTTTACTGCCTGACTTACCGCATTCAAGCTGTCTGAATCCTTTATCTGTTTTGGTGATGGTAAGCCTGGAAGAACGATGCTCGTCAAAAACAAGAGACAGTAAATGCAATGCGGAAAAATCCATACCCGGTTTTGTGTTTCTCCGGTACCACGGTTGATACCGAGGAGTTTGTTTGCTTCTATTTTATTTCGCTTTTTGCTCCATGCTCATTTGTCTCGTCTTCGCTGTACGTAAAACCGTGACCGCAAAACTAGACGAAGAGCCGCATATTTGTACCATTCTTATCGTGCCAAATGCCACCCTTGCGACAGGGAAGTCTCCTGCCACGGGGTGGAAGACCGGTCATTCTCGCAGTCCAGTTGCCAGTGATTCGAGCTCGGGCCGGATTCAGTCGTCTTCTCTATCGTGACAAACGAAAGAAAATGCGTGTAAAGCTCAGATAAAAAAAAGGTTTTTTTACCTCCCAAGGATGAGACACGATGAATGCCTACTTTGCAATCGCATCTCTTTTCCTGTACTTACAGTGCATACATATTAGGTGTTGCGATTCTCGCATTGCATGGCGTGTTGCAAGTTGCTAGGCCAGGTTCCCTGCTCTCTCATAAATCAAAGCGGTGAGAAAGAGAGAGAGCGAGAAAGAGAAAGAGTGATTACTTACCTTTGCGATTCAGAGAACGCCTGTGATACTGTATGGTGACTAGCTTAGTGCGAGCGATTAATTCCCGGCTTGTCTCCTTCCAGAGATCTGTCCGCCTGGGAGTGACGATTCACCTGACTTTGGCAAGAGCAAGAGACAAGGCATGGTCACCATCACCTTCTTGGCCGCCTCCCCCTCAAACGCGTCTCACCTCGGGCCTGGTTCAAGAGATCCTTGTCGCAATGCGGAAGCGATTGTGCACTTCAAAAAATATGCGCACCCTCATCTTCTGCCTGGCCATACGTTCAAATCCAAGGAAAATCGTGAGTATACGAGAACCAAAACAAAGAAAAAAAAAATCTTAAAGAAAATAAACGCAAAAAACGAGAAGAAATCGTCACCTGGAAATTCCAGTCTTGATTGCTTTCGATTTTCGTTAGCGTTATCTGTAGAGACTGTTTTCCACCTGAGGCGGTGAGCTCTAGTAGCCTCACAAACCTTTTCTTTTATCCGTGGACGTCCTGTGCTTCCAAATTGTCCAAGGCATAGAAGTTAAGACTGTTATAGCTATTATGAGAAGTAGCACAAGTTTACCCTTAGAAAGCAGTATTGGGAGGAACGAACAGTGAGAAAGCTTGTCATTGTTACGATACTTTGATCGATTCAACCAAAAAGACCCTGGCATTGCGCAAACAATAAAATTCCAAATAGATCCTATCAGTGTCATCTCGTTTTCCATACGTCTCTTCAAGAAGCGTGATTGAATTGAACAATGCGGGCAAGAAAAATCAAAATCTTCCACTCCATCTTACCGTGGCAAGACTTTTAAGCACGCGCTTGATGTTTCTTAATGCGCCTAGCTAGATCGATCGACCAAAGAGATCCCACCAAAGAAACCCTAGGAGCTGCCCATGGGCGGGAAAATTCTAGCTAGTAAACCTCTTAAATGTGCTCGTCATTCTTTATTTTAGGTCAGTCAAGGAGCTCCCGGCGGAGATAGCGATCAGGTATTTCTCTCTCGATCACTGTAGCTACAGCCGATCGATCGATCGGGCGCGCCGCGCTCCGGCCGCTCCAGCGATGCCGAATTCCAGGAAGAAAATGGAGGGCCAGAATCTCATTTTCTACGCTTCCATCGCTCAGGGGACCAATATTCTAGCCGAGTGCCTCGACGACGATCCCGGATTTGCAGCCGCCATGGCGGAATCTCTGGCTTCGCTCCCGCCGATGCACAAGACCGTCACATTTGCCGCGAACAATCGCCTGGCGTGCTACCTCATCCAGCCCCCGCTGACGTATTGTGGGGTCTTTGACGAAGTCTTTGGGAAGGAGCACGGGTTTACGTTCTTGGGCCAAATCCAGAGCGATTTTAGACGGCTACTGCTTCTCCGGGGCCTCCAGGAAGATCGAGACGAGCTCCAAAACTATCACTTGGATCGTGACGTCTTGCCAGTGATGAGAAATGCGATCAACGACGCTACCGGGAGGCAGTGTTACGAAGGCTTTTCGGATCAATCTTTCGACGATAGTGTGCCTTTGATGGGCAAGGGGCGGTTGGAGAGGAGGATGTCCGGTGACTCTACGCAAGCGCAGTTCTCGTCGTCGTGCTCGCCGCTCGCCAGGGGCAAGTCGAGCAAGCACAAGCAGTACGAGCTCCGGGAGGTGGTGATGGAGCGGTGCGACAAGTCCGATGGCCCAGCGCAGGCAATGGAAACCTCCTCGGGTGGCAAGAGTGTGGGGAACTCGAGGATGAGAGCTCAGTGGCAAAGAATGCGGTGCTGTTGCAGCATGAAGTTTATACTCGCGATCGATGCTGTCGTGTGCGTGGTCTTGCTCTCGGTCTGGCTGGCAGTTTGTAGAGGTTTTCGGTGCTAGATCGTGACTAAAGGTATCGTTTTCACCATCAATCTAGCTAACGATTTTTGTGTATACGGTGTATCATACAGGCTGTGGGGCAATCAATGAATGCAAGTGATAGACCATGTGAAGTTCATTCAAGGTGACTATTTTTTTTCAAAAGAATTGCCGGCAGCAATGTACATCTTGTTTATTACAGCTCCTCATTAGTCTTCTGTTCGGCAGTCTCCACGCAGCAGGAAGGTTATGTTACAAGTGATCACCAGCAGGAATAGCAATAGCAACAGCAGCAGAACGATAGAGAGAGGAAAGAATAGAAAGTTCTCTCAAGTCCCCAGAGCGAGAGCTCTATGCCGGTTCATGTCAGTATGATATTCATTGCTCGTGTACTCATCGTCAACGTCGGTTGCGTTGCAGACTAGAGTACTCCAGTTGGTTGGAAGCTCCTGGTCCAGTGTCTCGTCAGAAAGCAGCTTCAAAACCTGGCCAGGAGACAGGAACAGGAAGGAAGAAAAAAATACGAGTGTTGGTATACCAAAGACTTCGCGGTGCACTGTTACCTGGCTCATGCAGGGCCGCCAAAGAGGGGATTGTCGGACACACAGGGTGGCAACCAGTACCAACTTTCGCAGCTGGTTGGAGTCGTAGGCACCAGCAAGTGCGGGATCAACCAGCTCTTGGATGCTACAGGATTCCAGATATGGTCTTGCCTGGAAAAACACGGAGGGGCACGCTCTGAGCAAATGGAGGAATTTGAGAAAGTTCGTGTACCCAGACAACTATGTTCCGTTGCATGGCATCGATCGGCTTCCGTCCGGTGATGAGCTCGAGAAGCAGCACTCCATATGCGAATATATCGGTTTTCTCGTCCACAATGCCGTGCATGAAGTATTCCGGTGCGAGGTACCTGGTTCAGGACAAACTTGTCAAGTCACAAACAGTTTGAAGAGTGGATGGCTCACCCGAAAGTCCCCTCAATGGGAGTGACAGTATGATGTGTCCATTGCTCCGGAAGCCATTTCGCGAGGCCGAAGTCAGATATCTGCATCAAACAACTTTACCAATCCGGGGACTGGGAAGATTAAATAGTGGCTACCTGCGGCTCGAAGTCGGGACCGAGAAGTATGTTGGAGGCTTTGATATCCCGGTGAATTATCCTTCTTGGACAGACCTTATGGAGGTACTGAAGACCTCTGGCAGTGCCAAGCGCAATCTTCCTCCGCACCGACCACTCCAACGCCTTGGACTTTGTTCCTGCGAAAAGAAAAGAGAAGTTATAACGAAGAAACTCGGACCAGATCTGGACTTACCATGAAGGACGGACGCGAGACTTCCATGGGGGGAGAAGGGGAAGACCAAGTGCAGGCCCCGCTCCACGCAGAAGCCGATCAGAGGCGTCGTGTTTGGATGAGTCACATGACCAATGATGCCGAGTTCCGTGAGAAAGCCGCCTTCTTTATGCTGCTCCGAGTCGCCTTTGGTGAGCTTCTTCACTGCAATGAGCTGCCCGTCGGATAAGGTGCCTTTGTAGACGACGGCGTAGCCACCCTTCCCAACGAGATTATCTGCAGCCAGATCGACGTCGACATTGAGCAAAACAGAGAAAAACAGGATTTCAGTTACCAGGACTGAAGCAGCTTGTGGCCAGCAGAATCTCGTCGTACGTGAAGCATCTCCAGGGGGGCTTGTCACCGGCGGCGCACATCGAATGCAGGCTGAGCTCCGCCTCCTCCGAGTTGTAGCTGGAAAATCTCATGCCACTGTGAGCGGAGCTGCAACTAAAGCTGGGAATGAGTTTCCGGTGGCGCTGGACCGCTGAACCTGGTGTCGCAGGGAAAGTGTTGTGGCGCTTCATGTGCCTAAACAGATTCAAGCACGACGCTTGGAGCTCCTCCTCCTCCTCCTCATCTCGCTGGTCCTCCACTCTACCAGCGGCATTACTGGAGGTGGAGACGAGCAGCGGGAAAACCGGGGATGATCCGGAGCTCTGTTCTTCCGGGGACGCGCCACCGTCGTTGGAATCCGAATGCGGCCCCTCGAGAACACCCCGGGGAGAGTAGTCGCTTGGGATATCGAGACGGGCATGGGCGGCCTTGCAGCAGTGAAGCTCGGAAGAAGCCAGTACTGGATCAGTGGTGATGTGACACTGAAACCCTTTATGCGGCAGTAGCCTCTGCACCGATTCGTCGCGTTGCTCTTTCTCAGCGAGCTGGGGGTCGTCCGGAACCAAAAGTTCACCTTGGACGGAGATCACGCCGCTGCTGGTGAGTTTTTTGCTGCTCATTCTTCTCTTTTTTTGAGCAACGAAAACTAAGCAGCCTTGCGGTGGTCCAGGAAACTGCGCTCCACACTCGGTGAAGCCGCTCAGCCTGACATTGGAAAAGCGTCAGGACGATCCGAAAGTACCAGAGTTGATAACTTACTTGAGATCTGGAGCCACATCCGACGAGCTCAAAACCAGCGTGGTGGCGTCGAGAAAAGCAGCTTGCTCCAGGAGCACCGCCTTGGGTCCATTGAAAGTGGGGACGATCCTGACGTTGGTAGTAACCTGAGACCAGCAAGCCGAGGTTATTCATGGCCGCCGAGAATCTAAAATGGGTTCACTTGTCTAAAGTGGCACAGCTCCCGGCATTGCTCCAACAGCGACAGCACTCCTGCTCTCGCCCGCTCGTACTGCTTCTCAATGGAACGGATCTCTGGGAAGAGGCAAGAGGCAAGAAAGGATATTTCCCAAGTCAGCTCAAGAGCCGCCGTGAACAAGAGAGGAGGAAAAAACGAAACTTTGGAACCAACCAGCGCACCTGAATCCGAGTCCTCGAGGAGGTGAAGAGCGACGACGGTATCACCCGGCCGCGAAGCAACGGTGACCGCCCACGAAAGATTCTCCAAGCTCTGGCTCTCCAAGCTCACAGTTACCAGGACTTTGGAGTGCCGCTCCAGCTCCAGCTCCAGTTCTTCCTGCCGCTGGCTTTCGCTTGGCTGGAGGAGAGGATGATCAGCTTCGTCCCGCATTCTCTCTAGGCGCCGGTGGTGGTGACAAAGACGGAAACGAAGACGAAGACGAAGACGAAGACGACCACGACCAACAGGGCGGCGGCGACGACGACGACAGCGGTAGCAAGACCATCTCATTCCCGCACTCCAAAGCAAAGGCGTGATGGAGGAGGGGGCATTTTGCTCCCATCAAAAGCCGCAAAAACAAAGCAAAGCAAGGTATGTAAGATGTCCTTGCCTTCCACTTTTCCCCCTTTCTCTCTCTTTTATCTTTCCCTCTCCTTAAAAAACTCTACACTCGCTCGATGCTATCCTCTTCTATGCTTGGCAGGAAAGGAGAGGAATGTTGCTAGCGCTTTGATCGCTTCTTCCACGGACAAACAACAAGGTCTCGGCTTTTCCTCCTCTTTGCGGTTTTCCCCTCTTTGTTTAGTCAGGATTGACGAGAGGAGACGAAACGCAACTTAATGCCGAGGGATCGATCAGCCAGACAAAAGTGGAAGAAGATACTTCAAGTCCTTCCTCTATGTTGTTTTCTCCCCTATACATTTGAGGAAGATCATAGCCTACAACTCTAGGCCTATGCTCTGGAAGGTTTTGTCACTTGCAAACGTTCTTTGGTGCTTGCTGATACATTCCCTGGGGTCTCAAAAGAATTAATGCTTTTTTGACACTGTGCGCTTTTAGTTACCCCCTATTATCACTGATTTTACTGGAGTTGGTGAATGGAATGTAATATTAATAAAGTTGGTGGAGAAATGTTTAACAATACACACACAATGGACAAAGAAGAAAAATGATGCTTCAGTACTTACTGGCACAGGGGGGAAGATTTGAAAAAAATTTGAAAGTTCCAACGCTGCCATGCTTGTCTCGCTCGTGAACCATGTGAACTAAATCAAATCATGTGGTGTGCACAGAGATATATGGGATCATATGAAGCAACTCGTGATACTTTCCGTTCTGGGCAATACCATCTTCGTATAGAATCGTATCACCTTCCATTCTCTGGAAGCTTAAAAGATGACAATGGGAGTTTAACGATCCATCTCTTGCGCGGTTCATGAGGAGGACCCTCCTCGCGGAGCAAGATCAGTTGGCGGCGCTCCTGCGATCATGCGGCGATCACCACGACCTAGAGGCCGGGCGGCGAATCCACGCCCAAATCCTCGGCAGCGCCCACCACCGCGGCAGCCGCTACCTCGCCAACACGCTCATCCACATGTATGGCAAATGCGCTAGCCTCGCCGACGCGCGCAGCGTTTTCCACTCGATGCCCGACCCCAATCTCTTCTCCTGGACGATCATCACGTCCATCCACGCCCGCCACGGCCTCCTGGACGACGCCAAGCGCTTCTTCGACGCCATGCCCGAGCGCAACGTCGTGGCGTGGACGGCGCTACTGCAGGGCTTCGCGGAGCAGCGCTGCCTCGACACCGCCAAGGGCGTCTTCGACCGCATGCCGGCGCGGGACACGATCGCGTGGGTGGAGATGATCGCAGGCTGTGACCGCGTCTGTTGCGCCGCCAGCGCGAAGCTCCTGTTCGATCTCGCGCCGGCCAGGAGCGCCATGCCATGGAACGCGATGATCACTGCATATGCCGGGAGTGGGCAACTGCAGCTCGCAAAGGTGGCGTTTGAAAAGATGCCTGCGACGGACGTGGTCAGCTGGAACGCGATGTTGTTCGCGTTTACGAGGCATGGAAAGGTGGCGGAGGCGGAGGCGGTGTTTAGATCCATGCCTCTGCGTGACAGCGTCTCGTGGGCCGGGATGTTTCAGGCGTTTGCCCGGTGTGGGCATTTGGAAGCAGCGAAAGAAACGTTCTACCAAGTCCCATGCAAGGATGTTGTGACGTGGAATCTGCTTCTCGCGGCGTTCCTGCACAACGATTGCCGGATACAGGAGGCGCGGTGCGTGTTCGAGAGGATGCCGAAGCGGAGCTTGATCAGCTGGAACTCGCTGCTCGCGACGTACGCTCGAACCGGGAATGTTTGCGAGGCCAAGCGCTTGTTCGATCGGATGCCGGGGCGCGACGTCTTCTCGTGGACGACCATGGTGGGAGGATTTGCGGAGAAGGCCGACGTGACAGAGGCAAGGAGGTTTTTCGCAAGAATGCCCAAGCAGAATGTTGTGTCGTGGAACACGATGGTGGCGACGAACTCGCAGGGTGGTCATCTCGCCGAGGCCGAGAGGCTGTTCGAGGAGATGCCGGAGAGGAACTTCTACTCGTGGTCAGTAATGCTGGCGGCCTACGCTCACCTCGGACACACGGAGGAGGCGATTCGGGTGTTCCACGAGATGGAAGTTGACGGAGTCCGACCGGACGAGGTGGCTTTCATGTGTCTCCTCGCGGCTTGCGGCCACCGGGGAATGGTGGCGGAAGCTCTCGGCTACTTTGCGTCAATGGTCTCGGACTATGGCCTGGAGCCGACGGCCGAGCACTACAGCTCCATAGTTGCGAGCTTTGCGAGATCGGGGCAGCTAAAGCATGCCGAGGAGCTGCTCGCGAGCATGCCGTTTCTTCCCGACCAGGTTGCGTGGAGGGTTTTCCTGGGAGCTTGCGGGACGCTGGAGGACGTGTCTCGCGCTCAAGCAGCCGCACGGCGTGTCTCGGATTTGGTCCCGGCGAATTCCGTGCCTTACGTGGTGCTGGCCAACACTTACCGCGCTGGACTTGGATCTTTTCCCGAGCCGAGCTGAGAGGCAGAGAAAAATATCTGCGAAGACAAGATCCAACGAGAAGGGAAGAAATCTTTCTCAGGTATAGGTGGCCGAATACCATTGAAGGAAGAGTAAAAAGTTCTTATTTGGGGCTTAAGTTTTGGCAGATACCAGCATGCCGAGCCTGTGAAACTTGAGTGCCTCGCGCTCAAGAAAAGGAGGAGTGGCAAACTGACTTTTGTGGAGCATTTTGGAAAGTGAGATTCTTTATGCTGGGGGCGCAACTGGGAATGCTCTTTTCGTACTGCGAGCCCAAAAGATCTGTGAGTGCTTCGTGACTTGGTAGCTGCAAAAACTGACGCTTTTTCCTCTTTTCTTTCTCTTCTTAGGCATTGTTCGCGATGGAGAAGATGAAGGCGAAGGATTCCAAGCTCGTTTTTCTTGTTCTTGAAGAGTAGGTGTACGTGGAAGTCGTCTATGCAGGTACAAGTTGATACAATGCTTTAAGTTTGGTGAAGGAGATAAAGGAAAATGGAGGACTCACAATGCGCAGTGTCTGTTTTGATGAAAGGAAAGCGCCTTGCAGGAATCGATATGGATATGGATGCAGTGCTCAGCAGCCTGATTGAAGAGAACAAAGTACTTCGTGCCAGAATCAAAAGGCTCCTCCAATCCGCTGAAGAAAATCTCACGCAGACTCTTGATGGCTCGCTGCTCAAAGTCCTTGCGGATAACGCACTGGAAGTTCCTGAAGTAGTGAAAGTGTTTGAAACTGCTTTGACACTTTTGCTGGAGGGGATGCCGTTTGGATTAAGCTACTGGGACGAGAAACTCTCGTGCACATATACCAAGTTCAGCCTTCTCAGCTCCGGCATTTGTAACTATTTCTTTGGTTGTCTTTTGCAGAGTCTATGACGGGGGAGTGAATGATTCAATTCTAAAGGTATGGTTTCTTAAAGCGGACTCGTCCATGTATATTATAACTCGTGTTTCTTGTAACAGGAGATTATAGGACAGCAAGATGCCGACTTTCTTCCCGAAGTGATTCATCTGCTAGAAATGAAGGATCAAATAATTCGAGGTGGAGCTGCTCAAAGACGAGAGTTCAAAGTTGAAAGGCCGGGGGCAACGAGAACTTTCTGTGTGGTTTGCGAACCTGTACAGCGGAAAGAAAAGCTTCAAGGTGTCGTAACCATTTTGGTGGATAAAACGTCTCAGGTGGTCGTTTTTTTTGTTATTTTTTTGCCTTTTTTGTTTCTTTTCTTGTCATTTATATTCGTTCCTGCCATTGCAGGAAGCGATGAGACGTGAACTTACTCAAATGAAAGCAGAAACAGAACAATGGGAAAGGACCGAACAAGGGCTCCGCCAAGCGATCAAATCAGCAGGTAAAGAAAAATTCGAAGAATGTACGAGAATGAGTGTTATTTTTGTTACAGATGAAGCTATGGAAGCAAAGAACACGTTTTTAGCGGTCATGTCTCACGAGATTCGGACTCCACTAAATGGAGTACTAGGTAATTCTGCGTCCACTTTCCAATTCTTTATTGTCTTCTTCGTGTGTCAACAGGAATGGCGCAAGTTTTGGCAACTACATCTTTGGACTCTGAACAGAAAGAGCTAGTAGACGCCATGGTTTTCAGTGGAGATGTTCTCCTGGCTATCATATCTGACATTCTTGACCTTAGCAAGGTTGAAGCAGGTAACTTCTTTCTACACAACGTCATACATCACCACGGTGTAAACTTCCAGGCACGATGAAGCTGGAAGAAAGAGAATTCAATCCAAGGATCATTGTCAAGCATGTAGCGAGAACAGCCACTGCAGCCACCAAAGATCGCGGTATCAAGATAGAAGTTGACATATCGGACGATGTTCCAGCTACAGTAACGTGCTTAGTTTTGGATGTTTTTCCATCCTCGTTGACTAAGGATGGGTTTTTCTCAGGTAATTGGGGATCCTTTGAGACTGAAACAAGTTATCACCAATTTGGTATGACTCTCTATACCGCTCTAAACCCGGGCTTGTTTATCTTTATATCTTTCAGGTGTTCAATGCTGTCAAGTTCACAAAGGAGGGCCACGTTCGCGTTCATCTTAAAGTCTTGAAAGACTCCCACCATGCTGAGAGCGAACGATGTGGAAAGATGTCCGAACGCACTTCAAAAAAGCCGCAGCGGTTTGATCTTGTTAAAGGGACAAGCGCTAGATGGGATGTGTTACCGGAGAGCGGAAGAAAAGATATGTCTAGGCTGGACAACGCAAGTGAAAACCAGTCGGCGAACAATCAAGATCAGAAACTTTATCTCAGGGTGAATTTCGATAAGTACCATCGTCAGTATTTCCAGTGACTTCAACTTAGTTGCTAAGTTTTTTTCCCAGGCCAAGATTCTGGAGGCGATACCGGAAGACGAGCAGGAATACAGGATCCAAGAGCCACTGCACGTAAAGAAAGTCTTTGCTTCTGTTATAAAAGACAATATCGATTCTACAGTTTTTGCAGGACAAAGATCGTCAGGCTTCGGACATGAACGAAGACCACAACTTTATTCTACTAGAGTTTGCAGTTGAGGACACCGGCATTGGTAAGAGCAAAGAAAAGCAAAAAGCAGTTCGGCTAATGCTTCCGTCAAACCTGCAGGCATTCCAGAGGAGGCATTCCCCTCCTTGTTTGAAAAGTTTACTCAAGTCCATTCGTCCACGACCAGAAAGTATGGCGGAACTGGACTGGGTTTAGCGATATGCAAGCAGCTGGTAAGCAAAGATAAAAGCAAGAAAAACTAAATCTTGCGAGCTATAGAAGCTCCAAAAAACTAAAGACACTTCTCTATCCAGGTCGAGTTGATGGGTGGACAAATTTTTGTGTCCAGCCGCGTCGGTGAGGGGTCGACATTCTCATTTACTCTGCGCTGTAAGTGCGCTGGTGACACGCAAAGGCCGGATCGGCATGCTAGCCCGACGAATCTAGAAAGCAATCTATCCTACACAACGGCACACTTCCACAAGTTACAAGCCGGTTTATCGTGCACATCGAGCTCGGCCCCGGCACCACAAAGTCAGGGTAGCCTTGTCACCACAGCTTCTTGTCCGCTCGCGAGTAAGGCCGTGGATGATAATGGCAGGAGAGCGTTCTTACAAGGGAATAGCAGTAGCAGCAAGACTACAAGGGAGGTGGTCCTACAGCCGAAACATGGTGGCCGCTTGCGACGAACTTCCAGTGGACCTCCTCGCATTGAATGCTCTCTCATGGCTGATGTTGAGAATTCCAAGAAGGCTCAAATGGTTTTAAGCTCTCCGGGATGGCAGCCAAGGCTTCTCTTGGCCGAAGACAACAAGGTAAAGTATTCACTGTTTTTTTTTTCTGTTTTCCCTTGTTTTCTAACGCGTTAACTCGTTCGTTGGTTCGCAGGTCAATGTATTGGTGGCCTTGTCCATGCTCAAACGGCTGGGACTCACTGCTGATGTCGCATTTAATGGCCAAGAAGCGATAAGTGCAATCCAAGCTAGGAGCTATGATCTGGTGTGTACAGCATTGATTTTCTTTTTTGTTCTTGTTGTCTGAGCTTTTGAGAGGTTATTGCAGGTTTTCATGGACGTGTGCATGCCTGTTTTGGATGGCTTGGAAGTAACGAGGCGAGTGAGGCTGTACGAGAGAACGGGGCGCTGGGAGAGCGAAGATAGCTCCCAGTCAGACGCACCAAAAGAGCAAAACGAACCAGAGCAGCAGCAGCAGCAGCAAACTTTAAGTCGCCGGCTGCCAATCGTCGCGATGACCGCAAACGCACTCTCGGGCTGCGAGGAGCAGTGCGTGGAGTACGGGATGGACAGCTTCGTGACCAAGCCCATCACCTTTAGAAAGCTCCAAAACGTGCTCCAAGTCTTCCTCGCCAGAAGGGGCCAGCAATCATCGCCGTGAGAACACAAAAAGGAAGTTCAGATCAAGTTCACAAACAGTCAGAACGCAAAGAAAGATCTTCACGCACACACATGGGGAATTCAATCGATCGGGGGACTTTGGGCGATCGAGATAACAACAGGACTGGTGCGTCAGCTTTCTCCACGAACGTCTCGTCGGTTGGTTCTTTTGGCCTGGAGCAGAGGGAAAATCGTGCTGGAATAATGGAAGAGTTTGGTGGTGGTGGTGGTGGTGGTGCTCATGCTGCTGGAAGGCTTCCTCGTGCCCGTGACACTGATGGAGAATAGGGGGTGGGGGGAGATGGAAAAATCACAGGGACCAGACCAAGGATTTGTGCGCGAGGACGAGCAGCAGCGAGCAAAAGAGTTCGTTCGCGACACATTTATATGGAAAATGGCAGTGTGTCAGTGGCGAGGCGAGCAAACAGCAGGCAACGGGGTCCCATTTGCTGGCTACAAGGCAGGCACACCACGCAAAGCTGAAGATCCGAAAAGAGCAAAAGAGGAAAATTGCAGGAAAAAAGACTTTTTTTTATGCAAGTCCAATACGAGGAACAAAAAGAAGCGAAGAACAAACAAGGAGTTTCGTCTCTGAAAGTCTACACTTTGACAAGGCACCTAAGTTTTTTGGCTTTGGCTCTCGGTGATCTTCCTGCTTTTCATCTTCTTGTTGGTTTTGTTTTGACAGCGCAGCCAACCTTTTGTTGAGCAAAGACTTCACGAAACGAGAAAACGTTGTGCGGCCCTCGTTGTAAAGGTTGTCCTTTGGCCATGGGGAACAGGGAAAGATTCCGGAGTTCCGTAAACTTGCTGTGAGATCGACGCTGGAACGAGCGAGCGAGAAGCTCGAAAACGGGCCTGGCCATTTATCTTCGCGATCTCGAGAATTGTTTTTTCTTGATCATGTCTGCCTGCCTGTTGAGAGGGAGTAAGACTCGCTTCTCTCGATCGAATCCTTCGAGCCTGCCATTGGAAGTGTCAAGCAATGCCAGAAGTTTAAACTTTAAAACGAGCTTTGAAGCAAAGTGACGAGACTGACCTCTCTGGAGCTCCGCAAAGACCAAAAAAACAGAGATTTTTACCAGTATTTAAAGAGAAGCCTGATCAGCGATGTCCGAGAAACGCAGAAAAAGAAACAAACTTCCAGCTGCTTAATCCCGACAGCGAAGAACAATTAAAATCCCTCCTCTCCTGATGCAAAACAAAGGCGTTAGATTTCACGAGCTTAAACAAATGCTGCGAGAGACTTACCGGCAAGGCGAGCCCGTTACGCACTTCTCCCCACACTTTTCTCTTCGATCCCGCGGGGATTGATCAAATCCAAGCAAGCAACCAGACCAAAGTCCTCGATCGCCGCATGCTGTGTCGGGTGGCACGAGACACGGATGCTGCGTCGCTCGTCACTCTCGCCTTTGCAAAACCACACCATTCGTCTTCTTCGTCGTCGTCCTTCCCAATTCTTTCCCCTTCCTCCAGGCAAAGCTCGGCTTTTTTTTTCGTTTTTTTCCTTCACCCCCTTTCTTCTTCTTCTTCTTCTTCTTGGTGCTTGCTTGATTGTCGACTTGTTTGTTTGCCAACTTCGAGAACTGTAGTCCTACCATCCCCAGATTGATTGATTGATTGACTGACGCTGCGCTGCGTGGCCCGCTTAACACCACCTCGGCTCCTCCTGATTAGCGTAATCACTCTCGCTTTTCTTTTTCTTTCTCATTCCTTGTCCACACTGCTGATGAGATCCAGTCCAGCGGTCATGAGTATAAATCCCGAGAGCCCCGCGGAGATTTCTTCGCTGCCGTGTTACTTTTCCTTGCGGCTGCTTGATTCGATTTCTTGCTCTCTTTGTCAAGCGTCGCGCATCAAAGTCACTGACCAGCTCAGCTCAGCTCCGCCCGGTCTCGCTCTCAAAACGTTTCGCTTTCTTTTTCAACACCACGCAGAGCTACTGGTCCATTTTCAACCCCCCGTGCTGTTCCAAAGTAGAGCTCCCATCCACCCGGGACGCAATTTCCAATACTTCCTCCAGAGCAGTGGCGCTAGACTCGAAGGTATTTCCCAGCGCCAGTTCGATTGCTAGAAAGAGATCGCCGTCATCCATCCAGTTTCAGTGGTGAAAAGCGTTGCTGGCCGTCCTCTGCGAGTACTGGACATATATGCGTACTCCCTGTAGTATTTACCATGAGGAGCTGGAAGAAAGTTGCTGCTTTTATGCTGCTGCTCTGTTGCTTCTACGTTTTCCAGCCGACTCAAGTGTCCTGTGCTCGGATTCCTGTCCAAGGTAAGCATTCCTTCTTGTTCTCCTTCGCTGCGGATCCCTCACAAAACCGGCCTTTTGTTCCTCGGTTTGATTCAGATGAAAACCAGGCCAAAGTCGCCGTAGCTTCCGAGTCTCCTGTTCACCATTTCCTGAGATGCAAGGAAGGAAGCAGCAGCTGCGGGAGTGACTTCCAAGCCGAGAAGCTGCACTCGGTACCATCGGGGCCGAATCCAGTCGGGAATTCACTGCCGGGGAAGTTCCTCGTCACCAGAAGATCTCCTCCTCCATTTCCAGAAGGAATTCCGCACCCGTGAGAGCACGAGAGGAGAGTTCGTAAGTACCACGTCAAAGTCACAAGTGCCTTGGATAGGATCGATTCTTCTGTTTGGATTCGGCAGCAAGATCTCCTTAGGAAACTGTACATAGTTTGATCTCGTCACGACAAGTTTTGTAGTGGTAAAGTTCGAATCAAACACACAGAGAGGAAAAGAAGAACAACAAAAAGAACAAAGAAAAGTCACAGCTTTGTTCTCTTCCAAACTATTCGAACATCTGATACACGCAAAGAGTGGAGAGATGAAAGAATAAAACAGGATGCTTTGGCTGAAGAGCTGGCTAAAATCGTAGAGCAATTCTCTCAAATCTCGCAAGAAGAAAGCGCAAGGAAGAAGAGAAATTCTTGCGCAGGAAGAAAACGCAAGGGAAATCCTTGCGCAAGAAGCAAGCACGCAGCGATCGAGAGTACCTCTTGAATGTGACTCGCTTGACTTCGAATGCGTACGCGCCATCTTCTTCTTCCCCCTCCCGAAAAAATATTTCGGGGGGAAAGAATGACCGCCCTAATTTTTAGGGTTCTTGCAAGAATGCTGCTGGAGCTATGGCTTCCAGGCAGCTCAAGCTCCGACTCACCCACGCCTCCACTCTCCTCCTGCCGCCGCGGGGAAAATCTCTCCCGCCGCTGGATGGAGGAGGCCGCATTGGCGACGATTCGGTGGCGAGCACGCTGGCGCGGCTCGATTGCGAGGCAGCGGCGGACGTGAGCCATTTCAGCTACATTGCGACCTATTCCTCGCTTCTGCGGCGCTGCGCCAACGCTGGATCCCTTCCCGAAGGCCGCCTCGTCCACGATCACATCCGCCACACCGGGTACGCATCCAATATCATGCTCGCGGAGCTTCTCATCCAGATGTATGGCAAGTGCCAGCGCCTGGACGAGGCGCGCGGTGTCTTCGATCGGATGCCGCGCCGGAGCGTCTACAGCTGGAATCTCATCCTCGCGGCCTACGTCGAGAATGGATTGCCGGGCGCCGCGCTGGATCTCTACAAGACGATGGATCTGGAACCGGATCGCTTCACATTCTCGACAATTCTGGGGGCTTGCGGTGGGATCGGGGCTCTGGAGGAGGGGAAGAGGATCCACTCGCAGATGAACGCCAGGAACGAGCTGGTGCCCGACACAGTCTCGAGCAATTCTCTCATCACAATGTACGCGAAGTGTGGCAGCATCGAGGAGGCCAAGGCGGTGTTCGATGGCACCGCCGAGAAGAGCTTGGTCTCGTGGAACTGTATGATCGCTGCGTATGCGCAGCAAGGGCATTGCTGGGAGGCGATCGAGGTCTACAACCAGATGGAGTCGCAGGGGGTGGCGAGAAGCGTCATCACTTACTCGAGCGTCCTGGGAGCTTGTGCGAGTTTGGGACGCGAGGCTCTCGAGACCGGGAAGATCGTCCATCGCCATCTTCTTGCAAGTAAGCTCTCACACAATGTGATCGTCGACACTGCTCTTCTAAGCATGTATGGGAACTGTGGCAGCTTACGCGACGCCGAGGAGATTTTCGCGGGGATGGAGAGAAGGAATGTGGTTTCCTGGACCGTCATGGTTTCGATCTACATCCAGCATGGGAAGAACAAGGAGGCTTTGGGCTTGCTGATGAAGATGGACTTGGAAGGCTTGCAGCCCAACGCTTGCACTTTCTCTAGCGTCCTCACTGCTTGCGCGAACTTGGGAAGCCTTGAGATGGGAAAGGCTGTCCACCGCCGTGCTGCTGCGAGCGGTCTGGTTTCCGACACGGTCCAGAACGCTCTCATCAACATGTACGCCAAGTGCCAGCGGCTCGGCGAGGCTAAGCGGCTGTTCGACCAGATTCCCGTCAAGTCGGACGTGTCATGGAACGCGATCATCGCGGCTTACGTCCAGCACGGGCGGAACAAGGAGGCATTCGACGTCTATCAGAGCAGGGAGCTGCAAGGTCTGGGACCAAACGACTTTATCTTCGCGAGCATACTGGGTGCCTGTTCCAGCGTGGAGGAAGTCAGGCGGATCCACGAACAGATTGCCGTAAGCGAGTTTCGATCGGATGCTGTGATCAACAACTCGTTGATCAAGATGTACGCAAAGCTGGGGAGTGTGGAGCTTGCAAGGAAGGCCTTTGAGGAGATGGCTGTCAAGGACGAGGCCTCTTGGAACGGGATCATCATTGCCTACGCTCAGTATGGAGACGACGTAACCGAGGCTCTCGTCATCTACGAGAGAATGAAGAGCGCAGGTGTTCAAGGAAATGCAATCACTTTCACCAACGTTCTCACGGCCTGCCTCGTATCGGGCTCACTGGAGGCTGGAAGGAGAATTTACCGGGACCTCTGCAAGCACGAGCTAGAGAAAACCGATGCCATCGTCGGGACAGTTCTGGTAAACATGTTTGCGAGGTTCGGGGATCTAGTCACTGCTCGTCACGTTTTCGAGAACAACCAGCAGCGAAACGTTATCTCGTGGAACGGGATGGTGATGGCCTACTCACAGAACGGCTACTACAACGAAGCGGTGGACGTTTTCCACAGGCTCTTCCTTGAAGGCATACAGGGTGACAACATCAGCTTTACGTGCATCTTCCATGCTCTCAGCCATGCCGGGTCTTTGGACAGAGGCCGGGACTACTTCTTGTCGATGGGACCCGACCATGGATTGACGCCGACGCTGGATCTCTACGTGAGCTTGGTCGATCTATTGGGACGGTCGGGACGGCTCAACGACGCGATCGCGCTCATACTCGACATGCCAGCGGAACCGGACGTTATGTCGTGGATGACGCTACTCGGTGGTTGCAAGCTCCAAGGCAACGTGGAGCTCGGGAAGTATGCCGCCGAGCGGATATTTGAGCTCGACCCGGAGGACCCGTCGCCTTATGTGCTTCTATCCAACATCTACTTTGCGGCTGGGGTGGAAAGAGACGCTGAGAGCTTGAGGGAGGTCATAGCCTCTCGCTTTCGGGAAGAAGAATATGCGGCAACCGTTGGTTAGATGTCCCGGTGGCGTGAAGTTAGGTATCGGTTCCGGAAATGCCGATCACTCCGACGTACTCGTGGAGCGAAACTCCAGCATGGGTCACTGTCGAGGTTTTTCTCCAGTCCGTGTCACAGGCAGCTCTCGACATTATTAGTAAGTCGTCTGTTCTGGTTTGTTCGTTGGAGTTAACTTGCTTGGGCTTTTCACCGTGCAGCTACAGACTGCTACATCAAAGTCAACTGCTCGCCGTACTTGTTCCAAGCCGATCTCTACGATGATATCGATTTGAAGAAAAGCTCGGCTATGCTGGACAAGGCGGTGGTGAAGTTCTTCATGTTCAAGGTAATTATTTGGTTCTTTAGTGGTACCTTTTATATTTATTCTTCCCAGGATTGCAGAAGACCGAAGGACTTTGGGGTAGGCTGACGAGATGTGGAGATAGGCAGGCTATCTTGGAGCGACGTCAGCAGTCGTTGGATGCCGTGAGAGAGAATGCCCAAAAAGTTAGAGTTTCCTTTTCAGCTGCTGCTATACGGGCGGTTTTTAACGTTGTTGCTGCAGACAAAAGAGGAGGCCAAAGCAAAAATCTCCCATATACGACGGTTAGCAGTTGGCAGCCAAATGAAGCTTGAAGATGTAAGTTTCTTCTTCCTCTTACTTTCGCTACTGCAAAGACTAACATCACTCGAACATTGTTTCGAAGGCCAGGCGAAAAACCATTCAGGGAAGGAAAGAAGCGGAGCTGAAAGAAGAACGTGTAAGTTCTCTCAAAGTCTCGAAGATGATTATCAAAAAATCCTTTGCCTTGCGCGCAGGATGCATTAAACTCGTGGCAACAAGGTGTATCACGAGAGAACAGCCAGCATGACGTCGAAACGTTGTCCGCTGGTGATTCTAAAAAGGGGTTTACAACTTGTAAACAGGAGGATTTTATGCTTGAATGGGATAACGTTACTCAAGCTTCAGGAAAGATTGACGAGGCAAACACAGTTCAGAAACTGGAGCCCAAACGATTAGCTTCTGCCAAAATTGCGACATTGAAACCTGGAGAAAGATTATTGCCTGCTCCTCGAAGAGGCTTTCGAGTTTACATTTCATTTACGAAGAAAACACTTCCCAATCATCTTCCAGCGCGTGAAAGTAGAGGTACATTATGACTCCGCTTGGTATAATGCTAACTATGGCTTGTCAGAGAAAGAACTTCAACTTATAAAGCATGCTCCCATCTCCAATGACGCGATTGATGTTTCGGAAAGGTGCTCTTTTCTCAATATCTTAGTTGTAATCTTGCAAGTATTCTACCTTCAGGGAACCACTGTTTCTGCAAGACAAAGGCGACAAATTCTACAGGTATTTCTGGAAAGCTAATTTGTAACGCCTGCATTGGCTTTTGTTTGTGAAACTGCAGCGCTGGAGACTTCAGAAGTGCGGTCAATGCGTACTCTGATGCCATACAAAAGGATGCTTCACTGTTTTTGTATCCTTTCTACATTTCATCACTCTGATACGCTCCTTAACAAGCACAGATCTCGTGCAAACAGAGCAGCCTGCTACTTGCAGATGAGCCAGATGCAAGCTTGTATCAATGACTGTACAAGAGCACTCCAGCTTTTAAGTGGACAAGACAACGAGATTGCCCAGGACAAAACTGAAGCCGAACAGTCTACCGCTCCAAAACTCATGTCCTTGGAGAAGGATTTCCTCCCAATGGACACTTTGGATTTACTGAGAGCAGCTGCCTCAGATGATTCCGAAGAATGGAATAGACGTGCTCAAAGCTGTGTTTTAGCAAGGCGAGGATGTGCGAACGGCCACCTGGGAGACCTTGAAGATGCTGTCACAGACTTCAAGGAGGTATTGCTGCAAACTTATTGTTTTATCGACAGTGATTATCAAAACTGTGCAGGCATTGAAGCTAAATCCGTCCGCTACTGACATCCGAAGAGTACTGGATTGCATCGCTGCCAAGTAGCAAAAAACAAATCAGTCCTGTATAAGCTGGATGCCGCTGGGTTCGTCTTGGCAACGTCTGATGTGCGCTTTGATCCATTCGCTGTGCTCCAAATCAGCGGTTTCGTTTCTTTCGCACACTGAACTGAACGGAAACTGATTGCAGGGCTCGATAGACTGTCCGAGAGAGCATGCCGGGAGGCCGTCCTTCCCGAAGTCACCCTTGATGTTGAGGATGTAAGGCCGAAGCGCACCTAGTCCCTGCGCAACGTATCCAAACGTCGACCAGCTACTCGTCACTAGCTCGTCGCTCAAGCTGAGGAGCCACATCTCTGCCAACGCGTTGCGAACTTGCTCGTAAGATTGAGACTCGACTTCGTCGTGTGACATCGTATGGACCCGTACAAGGCTACCGTCAACCGTAGGCTTGTTTATATATGTATTCCGGAGCTCCTCGTAGTACCTGCTTTGCAACGAGGTAACGAAGACTTTAGTCCTGTTTTTTCTTGACTGGTGTTGGCCTTTGTCAGCTGGGATGTCGTGACCGGACTCTGAAACGCTTGGCACAAGACCGTTTTCAACGAGGCACTGCATGGTCCGTCTGTACGTTGGCTCGTGGAATTCCGCATTTTCCCTTCGTCGAATCTGGACTCCTACTGCCTTTCCCGGAACCAGTGACGAATACGCGAAATGGTAGCGACGGATTTTCTCCCAGACGGGGTTTTGAGGAAGAATGAGGTACCTACTTAGGTGCGTGAAGATCAAGGAGACATCCGGGAACAGAGAAACTAGAGGCCTCCAGAAGCGTGGGAACGTGAAAAATCTGGGAACATAGTATTGGTTGCTGCTCCAGCCAATCCAGCGCACTTTCTCGAGCCGGGTCTGAGTGTCGGGACAGAAGAAAAGCTGCTCTTGCGGCGTTTGCTGGCTGAGCAGCATCAGGTGGACAGTGCTGCCGTAACTGAACTTCTGTTTGAGGCCATCTGCAAGCATCGGTGCTAGAAGCAGACGATCGTATGGAAAATCAGGAGGCAGCAGCCAGGAGGAGTTTCGAAAAGGCTCGCAAAAGAGCTCGGGAATATGGTTTCGCGTGTCGACGAGAAGCATCCTGTTGGTGAGCAGGGAGTAGACGAAGGCGGACAGGAGAGAGAGGATGTGGTTACCCAGGCCGAATTTGCCGTCCTGGAGGAAGACGAGATATCTACAGGGGTCATTTGGATCTGGAGCCTGGATGGCTTTGCTCAAGTCTCGCGAGTGGTAGCAACTGGAATGCATCCTCTCGTACGCAGCCAATGCAGTGGACAGGGCCGGGGGTAGACTGTGAATTCGAGATGGCCGCCGCAGGGAATCCTGCTCGCATCTACTGTGGCAGGGGCAATCGTCTTCACTACTTACATTGTTCTTGGTGGTGACATTGCTGCTGCTGGTGCTGCTGGTGGTGCTAGTCTCGTTGCTGCTCGTGGTATTGCTGAGGCTATCGAAGCTGAGCTTGTCCAGGATGGTGGAAGTCAATTCTCTCCCTTGCTGCTCGACGATAGTTTCAATGCAAATGAGGAGAAAAGGGGGTCCCAGGAGGAAGATGAGCAGCAGAATTTTCACAGGTCTGGATGAAATCCATGCTCCATTGCTTCTGATTTTCTCGTACGATGCCATCTCCAGCTCCGAGCGAGCTCTCCCCTCTGGCGGATCCGGTAATCTACTCAATCGAAGAAGAATCTAATTCCATCCTTTTGCTGCAGCAGCTACCAATGAATCCAACTAGCATCGGCTGATCGAAAGCAGCGACTTCCTGCGATTTTAGTCAACAAAGCATGCTTGCTAGCAAGCAAAAAAGAAAAGAAATCGTGGAGAGTCTTGACTTTGAGCGGCGGGTGTCCATCAACCAAGAAGCAAGCATGCAAGAAAATCAGCAAAGCAAAGAAAAGTAAAGCAAGGATTGATTGCTGAACTTCCAGGGATCATGGGAACTCGAGGCTGTTTACTCGCGCTTTTAATTGGATTGTCCATAGTTTTATTTGCGTGGCCACTTTTTTTTTCCCCAAGCATCTGCGCGTCGTGTTAGTACGACAAATGCGCGAAAACGCGCATAGTGGCCGCTTGTGCCTTGTCTGTGGAGTCCCACGCGACGCGAACTGGGGAGCTACCACCATTATAACCCGTACAGTGTGGTCCAAACGTTTTGGCCATGGCCGGTCCTAAAGTTTAGGGCTCTTCGTGGAGTGTTAGGGTTAGGGCAGGATCGCGGAAGAGGAAGAAATGGCGTACCCGCTCCATCCGCAGCAGCAGCAGCAGCATCAGCTCCAGCACCACCAGCACCAGCAAGAGGTGAAGCTGTGGTCCGACAAGCGCGAGCGCGAGATGTTCGAGAACTTCGCGGATCTCTTCGCCATCATCAAGACGACGGAGAAGCTGGAGAAGGCGTACGTGCGCGACGCGATGAGCGCGCGGGACTACGAGCCGTGGTGCACCAAGCTCATCGCGCAGTTCCGGACGCTCAAGAACGCGCTGCGCGACGTGGTGCCCGACGTGGACCGCTTCATGGCCGCCTACAAGATGGACTGCCCCGCCGCGCACAACCGGCTGCTCGTCTCGGGCATCCCCGCCACGGTGGAGCACAAGAGCGCCACCTCCTCGTCCTTCGACGCCGGCGCCACCGCGGTGGCGGTGGCCGAGTGCGTCCAGCACTACATCACCGCCATGGACTCGCTCAAGCTCAACATGGTGGCGGTGGATCAGATCCACCCGCTGCTGCTGGACCTCCTCTCGGCGCTCAACCGGGTGCCGCAGCTCACCGCCGACTTCGAGGGCAAGGTGAAGACGCGGGACTGGATCGCCAAGCTCAACAAGATGGGCGCCTCGGACGAGCTCACGGAGCAGCAGGCGCGCCAGCTCCTCTTCGATCTCGACTCCTCGTACAACGCGTTCATCAACTCGCTGCCCAAGCATACGTGATCCATCCATGAACGTAAGTAAGCTTCTCCAAAGGTACATAGATTTCACGCTAGAAGCCAGTAGTCCAGCACTGTATCACAATGGTTGGAACACGCGTGGTAAGCTTTCAAGCTGTGGCTAGTCTTGCGTTTGCCAGGAGCACATATGGTGCTCCGTTGCTGGGATCCAATCTAGTCACCTCGTTGGCAGCTCCAGCTCTGTCAACTCCAACGTCCCCTGGCGCTCCAAGCAAGCAGATCCACTCGAAACCATCTGGCTCGAAAGGCATGCTTCTCATCAGATCCCTCGCAGATTGGAGGTAGCCGGACTTGCTCAAGAGGTCTACCATGCAGCCGAACTGCTGCTTGGTCGCGACCAAACCGTGGTCTCGGCTCATGCCTTGGCAGATGCCCCTCGCCATCTTCAAGTCGCCGGTGTGGACGCATCCAACGAGCAACGCAGTGAACGAGATGTCGTCGGGCTCAAGGCCCTCGGCCAGCATTCTCTGGAAAAACTCGAGCGCGACGTCGAAATCGTGCGCGTGCATGGACAGCATCGTGTTCCAGGAGACGAGGTTTCGGTCTGGAATGCGGTGAAAGAGCGAAGTTGATTTCGCAGTATGCCCTTTCTGGGCATATGCGGAGAGGAGGATGTTCCAGGACACCTGGTTTGCATCTGGCATGCTGTTAAAGAGTTCATGAGTCTCGACAAGACTTTGCATTTGAGAGTATGCAAGAAGCATAATGTTCCAGCAGATCAAATCCCTGTACGGCATTCCAAGAAACACGCCCCTAGCAGCTTCCAGATGCCCACTTTGGGCATAACAGCCTATCATCCCGGTCCAGGAGATCAGATCGCGCCGAGGCATCCGATCAAGTACTTCCTTCGCTCGGTCACAGAGACCATTGTGAGCGTAAGCATTCAGAATTGCGTTCCAGGAAACCTGGTTGTGATCCGGCATTGCATCAAACAGACGCCTGGCCGATCCCACATCGCCACTCCTCGAGAAGGCAGAAATCATTGTCGCCACAGAGAAGAGATCGCATTCCCTCATGTCTCCAAACAAGCATCTAGCCTCTGCAATTTTCCCATGTACGGCATATGCCTCTAGCATTGCCGCCCACGACACCATACTCCGGTGTGGCATACTGTCAAACAAACTCTTAGAATCTTCCAGATGCCCATTCTGGGCATATGCTTCCAGCATTGCCGTGCAAGACACAATGTCGTACTCCGGTAGAGATCGATACCATTTCTCCGCCCGATCCCGATCCTTGGCTTGGATGAGTACAGACAAGTGAAGCGTAAAGGACGCAAGATCCCACGCTGGCATTCTCTCAAACAGAGCTTTCGTAGATAGTAAATCCCCGGCTGCGGCATATGCTGAGAGCATGGCATTCCATGCAATAAGGTCCGGCCTGGGCATGGATTCAAACAGTGTTTTAGAATCATCAATGCTAAAGTTGCGACAGTACACGGTGAGGATTGTGGTCCATGAAGCAGCATTCCGAAAAGGCATGACATTAAAGAGTGTCTTTGCTCTTCCAATTTGCCCAACTTCGGCATATGCAGATATCATGACATTGTATGAGATGGGATCTTTGACCTGCATGGAGTTAAACATGTCCTCGGCAAGTTCGATATTCTCGGCATCTGCAAATACTTTGAGCATGATTGTGGACGAGACGAGATCCCATTCTGGCATGGAATCAAAGAGCGACTTTGCCTCGTCCACATGCCCGTTTCGGGCATATGCCCTGAGCATGAAATTCCACGAGTAGCTGTCTTTCTGGGGCGCGGAATCGAACAGCTGACGTGCACGGCATGTATTCCCGCAGTTGCCGTGCATTTGGACGAGCACATTGCGCAGGAATGTGGAGTTTCCAAGAGACAAAATCTGGGCTTCGACATGCTCGGCAGTGGAGGGACTTGCACTGTTTGCGAGACGAACGAGATCATCCAAGCATGAGCGCATGCTTTGTTCATCTCGGCCTATTAGGAGACTCTTAAGTATGTCTTATTAATAGATTCTTATATTTCAATGATTCATAAAATTTCAAGATAACCACTCTTAAGTAAATATTATTATATTTCATGAAATTTCAAGAAATAGTGAAACTGAGTGATCGTCACATGTAGAATGACTTTGAGTTTGAAAGCAAAACATCACCAAAAAATGACAGAGTCCGTCAAGAAACAACACATTCAAGTCTTAATTCAGTCAGCAGTCTTATCGGACGTCCCAGACTTGATCACTGGTCAGTCATGGCCAAGGACCACTATGTTTTGGACAGTTTGTAATCTTATTTCGCCGCTCTTAATTAAGAGTCAAACATGAAATTGGACCAGAATAAATCGTAGGCAGATCATTGTCCTAAAATCTTCATGCAAGACAGGTTGTTTTATTGGAAGTTAAAAAGTTTAAAGAAATCTAAAATACGGAAAAATATTCCTGCCATGGAAACGCATCCTGCTTCCACGGATCCCGAAGTGTCGAATACCTGAGCAGTCTTCTGGATACGATGTTCAGGTTCAATCCCCAATTAATTGGTAAGCTGCAGCCTATAGACAATTAGAAAGTGTGCAGACAGTGGTCAAACTCCAACCAGCAAGTGTGTGTGGCACGGCGCTAGGAAGATTTTTTTCTTTTTAAGCTTGTCAAGAACATTACGGGAGGAGTTGACCAGCAGCAGCAGCATCGATGTTTCCAAGGATCTTAAATTCGTGGCAGATATTTGAGCAATGGAGCAGTTTGTTTGGAGACTCTGTTTACGTCAACTGGAGACAGGCTTGGGATGAGAGCAAGATGCTGTTTCCCGGCATGATATCCTACACGGTGCTCATAGATTGGAAAGGCTGAAGTTGCCACTTAGTTGGTTGCTGGAGACGTTGAAGTAAGCCAGAAAGCTCAAGAGTGTGAGCTGCGATGGAATGCCCCCTTGAAGGTGATTATATTAGGCAGATCCAGAGATTCCATGACCGAGCTCACTGGGTATGGAACCATCGAAATTGTTGAAAGCCATGTTCAAGTTCCTCAGAGCAACCAGTTTTCCCGAGTCCGCTGGAATGTCGCCGCTGAGGTTGTTGCAGGACACGTCTATGGAGGTCGTTGACTCGAAGATGTCTCCTGCAACTCGGAACGAGGTTTGAAGCTTCCTCCTTTACAGAAAACCGGGCACTTTGTTCTCAGTAGCTGCCTTCTGGCACAGCCGATTCAGTCGGAAGTGCAGGACAAAGAATTTGCACCAGAAGCATTTCTTCTTGGGGAACTAGTCGGATTTCATCTAGAATTAGGCACATAAATGTCAACCTTTGTTCCCAGACCCGAAATACTCTTTTCGTAATTACCTTTTGTTCCAAACCATCACTTCATCAATTGACACACTATTGGGTTGAAACAGCATTGGCATGGTGGCAAGTAAAATCACCGATCTGAAGATCAATCTCAACCAGCCTGAACTTATTACCTAGAACATACCTCTGTGAAACTTGACCACTCTCGGGCTCTTCATGAACAGGCTATAGGCTTCAATAATGTGTATGTTTATCTCCATTGACATACGTGTGCTCCCACAACCATAGAAACTTCATTGCCACTCCCATCCAGAGAGGGTCCATAGAAAGATCTCTGGCTGAATTGATGTTATTATGTTTAAAAGCACAAAAGAATGACATTGCTGTCCTTCATAGCTTGGACAACATATAAATATTGGCTTTCTTCAAGTACGAATTATTAATCTAATCCAGGAATCTATCGTGATAGAATAATTTAACATATTGGACAACAATAAACAATGGGACTTCCTTTGCAAAAGTTTGCCCTCCATGAAGGTAAGCAAAGCCATTCACATGATTTCTCTTATAGGTTTTGCTTGGGTTTTAAGGATAGAACCACGAAGAATCGGCGAGTTCCAAGAATTTTCTTCTTGTGGATTTTTAGATGCTGGCGCTGAGAGCTCAAGATCATCGCTGCTGCCGAGTTAAGATAAGTTACAGTTGCCCAGCTTATTGGAGCCAAAACAAAGAGAGGAGAAAAATGTAGAAACGGTAGAGCATTACCTCCTACACCGTGACTGCCGCTACCGCCTCGTCAAGAGCAGCGACGCCAGGAAGAACTTTGCCTTCGAGCAGCTCCAAACTAGCACCACCCCCGGTTGATATGTGGCTCATCTTATCCGCGACCCCGACTTTCTCCACGGCCGCCACGGAATCACCTCCGCCGATGATTGTAGTCACACCTTTGCCGCTAAGCTCCGCCAGCTTCTTCGCAACAGCCTGCGAAAAACAAGGGAAAAGTTCTTAGATCGTTGGAAGTTCGCAAAAGCGTTCTTTTACCTCCGTGCCAACCGCGAACTTGTCAAACTCGAACACTCCCATGGGCCCGTTCCAGATGACGGTCTTGGTGGTGTCCAATGCCTCGTTGAACGTCTTCACAGAGTCGGGCCCGATATCGAGACCCATCCAGCCATCGGGGATTGCTGTCGATGGTACGATCTGTGGAAGAACAAGAGAGAAAATTTAGTCGGACGTTGGAAAATTGGTGCCAGGAGACTCTACCTTGCTGTTCGCGTCTGCTGCGAACTTGTCAGCCACCACCACGTCTGTGGGAAGGAGCAAGGAGACACCTTTGTCCTTGGCCGTCCTCATCAGGGATTTTGCCAGGTCGATCTTATCCTCCTCAACGAGTGAGGATCCCACAGAGAGGCCCTGCGCTTTGTAGAAGGTGAAGATCATTCCTCCTCCGAGTAACAAGATGTTGCATTTCTCCAACAGGGATTCAATCACTCCAATCTTGGACGACACCTTGGAGCCTCCAACGATGGCAGCAAATGGTCGTTTAGGATTCGACACAGCTCCATCAAGGTAGTCGAGCTCCTGGCAAATTCGTCGTCAACTCAGGGAAGCATTGGGAAAAAGGAAAAGAAAATCTACCTTTTGCAAGAGGAATCCAGCCACGGAGGGCTTGAGGAACTTGGTCACGCCCTCGGTAGAAGCATGAGCTCTGTGAGCGGTACCAAAAGCATCGTTCACGTACAAATCAGCCACTGCTGCCAGCTTCTGTGCGTGCTCGGGGACATTCTTCTCCTCCTCGGGATAGAATCTTACATTCTCGAGAAGCAGCACCCCACCGTCGGGCAAAGCAGCAACCTTCTTCTCGACTTCCGGACCAATCGAATCGTCGGCTTTCTCGACCTGAAGAAACAAAAAAGAGCTCATTCAATAAAAACACTTGAGAAAACAAGCTTGCCTTGATGCCGAGAAGCTCTGAGAGCCTTGGAACAAGAGGAGTAAGCCGATACTTGTCAGTAACACCTTTCGGACGTCCCTATAAGAGAGAAAAGCAAGGATGGGAAAAGCTTCGAGAAATTCTTTCCATCTATCGAAACTAGAAGAAGAAAAAACTTACCAGATGGCTCGAGAGGATGACCTTTGCTCCATTGCTGATGAGATACTTGATCGTCGGCACGGCGGCACGAATCCTCGTATCGTCGGTGATCTTGAGATCGCCATCCAAGGGGACGTTGAGATCGGCCCTCACGAAGACGCGCTTGCCTTTTAAATCCGCCTCCTTGAGATCGCCGACGCTCTTCTTGGCCATGCACACCACGCCGCGGCTGCCCCGCCCATGGCCTCTGCTCACCAGGGATGCCACGGCCGCCACGAAATCCTGGTGCTGATCCAATGCGCCCAGCTTGCGCACATCCCTGCGCCCGGCGACGAGGCCGCTGAAGGACTGGAGCCTGAAAGACCTGAATCCGGCGCGATTGCTCGACGAGCTCGACGAGGACGACGCCGATCCGAGCGACGCCGCGGGCGAGATGAGCTGCGATGAGGCGGCGGCTGCCGTGGCGGCCATGGCGGACGGATCGATCGAGGCGGAGAGAGGAGCGCGGCGGCTAGGGAAGAACTGCCGCAGAGAAATGGCTACTAGCTAGAGGAGCGCCATTAGCTTAAAGTCAAAATGGGGGTTTACACTAATCGCGATGACGTGGGCTCCTGGCCGCGAATAAAAGAATGACGCGTGGCAGAGCCTCCCCTCTTAGATAAGGCGCTTTCCGGCCGCTAGAATTTCTTCTTCCTGGGGATGTTTCGTATGAAGAAAAATATCCACGCGAATTTCTTGTGGCTTGCAAGCTTTGGATCATTGGTTCTTGGTGGCCTGCGACAAAATGCTGAAGCAATCCAACGACGCAAGCGAGTGATTTTTACCTCTCGAGATATGCATGCTTTGCGCGGATTATGATTTAAATATCGACATCGCCTGGGCCTGGTGAAAGTCAATCCAAACAAACATGAGGTAGAGTTTTGTGACAATTACCATGGCATTGTCCGTATCCTCTTCCACTTCCAAGTCGATTTCCACGACCTCGTTCCCGAGTGCTCGATCTTTGCTCGAGTTGGATAGCTCTTTCAAGGGAGGCCTGCAGTAGACAATCCAGTGAGAAATGGATGGAGCCAGGGAGGAAAAGTGCATTACCTCGATACACTATCTCTCTCCTGTTTCAAACAGGAGACCTTCCTGCAAGAAGGTCTCCTGTTTGAAACTTCCACTTGCTTCTTGTCGGAAGGCTTGCGATCTGATACTGCCGGTTTCTTCTTCTGGTTGGAACTGGAGAGTTCTTTGTCTTCTGAAAATCACAGTGCACAGTTACTCTCATTGTTAGAAAGAGAACGCTACCGTTGTTATCTGTCATTCTAGCCAGAAATCTTAAACCTTGCGACGACGTTCGTGTCGTCATTTTGTCGCCATTGCTGTAAACAAGAATATGGGTAATGAGAATGCCGGCGTCTGTAGCAAACATAGAGTACCTCAGCATCTTAGAAAGCTCTAAAGACGACCGATGCTTTACTCGCTTCAATGGCTGCTCCGGTGATTTCTCTATAGTGTGCTTGAGGGACTGCATTCCGCGATTCTGGTTTCTCATCGACCCGGTCAATCCAGTAGCAAGGTTTCTGAGAAATTTAGCATTTAAACAATGAAAAGACAGAAGAGAAAAACATATGCTGCACATTACCCGCCATTTAACTCTGGTCGTTTACTTCTCAAGTTTTTGCGTGCTGCCTGTAAATCAGTGAGTACACCACCAAAAAGATTTCAGTGTTCTTACGAGAGCGTGAAATTTACAGTATGCACCCTCTTTCCTGCAACATAAGTTCTAGAAGATCAACAGTTCAGAGAGATATAAGCTCACCTGTTAACCGGTACTGAGCAAGGAGCTCCATCTTTGCGCTTCCCGTTACAAATGGCAAAATCCAGTGACGTCCCCACAACTGTCAATTGATTCACATCAGCAACGCTCACGCTAAAATCGCCTTTCTGGGAAATCAAAGTCAGAACAAGAAGGCTAAAAAACACATTGAGATATACCTTGTCATCGTGACGAACTTTAGCATCGAAAATCGCAATGACACTACCGACCGCCTCTTTCCAGTGTTCTTTATAAGCATCCCCAAACAAAAACAAGGAAACGGTAGACTCGTTCAGGCAAGACAGCTTCCAAATGACATAGTTTTTCGAGTTCGATGACACTCGGGGTTGGCCCTTGTCTGACAGAACGGCAATTGTTGCCCAAGAACCTCTAACACCATCGCCAATGACTGCATGCCTGACGAAAGATAAATTCTCTGTAAAGGGAGGCAAGGAAATAGAATGAAAGAATGCTTACTTGAGAGCTTCAAGCTTCACGAATCGCAGCTCCATGAGCTTTGTAGTTAGCATCTCACGGCTAAGACATCTGTTTCTGCGATCCAGAGAAAAATTCGTAAGTAAAGCAGAACATCTTATCTGTATGAAAAAAACATATGTAAGAAAAACAAAAGAAACTCTACCTGATGCGAAGACCAGAGTGAACTTCGAGATCTGGTGTACTGCCGTTTGATCCGAAGCTTTGCACAGAAACTCCCTTTGATTTCTCGACAGAGGCCGGCGGGCATTTCACTAAACTTCCACTGCTTTTCAGCACATCCTTGAAAATGGACATGTTTAGCACGGGCTTGGGCCTTTCCTCTTCATCGGAGCAATAGCCTGTCGAAGGGCGCGGCAAAATCTCACCGCTGTTCGATCGATCCTTGATTTCTATCACAATGCCGCAATGTCGGCTCGATCCATTCATAGAAATCATACCTGTGCTGTCCTTCTCTTCGCCGCATTCGTCCCGAAGCGATAGAAGCAGCTCCAGATCAGCCATGGCGCTGCGAAAGCCTAGAATTTCGAAACACCCTAAACCTTTTGGCGGGAAAGCTTGCCAGTAGCCCTAATTTTGGTATTTTCTACGGCCATGGCGGCACTGCGGCCATTGCTTCGGCGATGCGCCGCTGCTACCGCGCAATCGCGAACGCTGCTGCGCTTGTCGGCATCGTCACCAGCGGCGGCGGCGTCCACGGCGATCTCTGAAGATGATCCGGCGAAGCTGCTGCGTAACAAGAATGTGAGTCCCCAGGGTTTTAGAGATCAGGCTCCCGCGAAAGTGGTGTTGTACCAAGCGCGCTGGATGCGACCGCTGCGGCTTGTCGTGAGGTTTGGATCATAGATTTCTCGGAGAAATTGGCGCAGAAAAAGGATTTTTTTTGTTCTAGGCTCAAGGTAATTCAACTGGCAGGATTTGCAGCCATAGCAGCTCCATTAGCAAAATACGTGAAAGAGGTAAGGATGCTTTCTCGTTTCTTCTTTCTTCTCGTGTTATAGTTTTGTCTTTGTTTTCCAAGGGGACATTGTCTGCCGAGGCTGTAGCAGCATCTCTTGGCGTCACTTTTGGAGCTGTTGGAGCAACGCTCGCTCTCTGGTACTATTCCCGTAGGTGAGGATCACACTGGATCAAACAGATTTGCTAACTTCAACCTTTTCACTGCAGATACATTGGCGAGCTCTCGCTTGTTCCACCTCTTCCAGAATATGTAGAGATCAGCACAATGAACTTCTGGGGCCACCGCGAGGTACATGAGCTTGAATCTCCCTGTTTTGTCTTTCATCACACTAATGACACTTCCTGGAACAGAATTTACGTGTTCGAGTAAGGTAGCTGGCTTGTCCATTGTGGCAACTTCGATAATCTGATCGTGGGAGTTGTATGTTGCAGTAAGATTGATCCACCATTTCTAAATGCCACCCCGACCGACCTTTCTCGAATGGCGACTAATGTGTTCGTGCCTCTGCCTGGTATGCTCTTAAATTTCTAATCTTGATCGATCTAGCCGATTTCATTGTCGCAGTAATGGGGCATCGCCAGTTCATCTTGAATTTAATTCACGGGCATCTCTACCACAAACGCTTGCTCTTCGCTCTTCTCAGCGGAACGCTGGATCCCAAAAGCTTCGAGGATCTACTGGACAAGAAGAAACCGCCTTCATCTTAAAGCAACTGTTCGAGCTTCTCACGAGTTTGATTGGGATTCCGGGAGCTTCACTACTGTGACTGGGCAAGGTGCGTTGTTGATTACGTAGTTACTGACGCTTCCCAGCAGCGCCCTGTGGATTCGCAACAAATGAAACGAGTTTTTTCCAAGTCGAGAAATAAGAAGCTTTGCGGTACCTTTTAACAGTCCCAAGGCCTCTACTTCCAAGCACAAGCAGGTTCAACTTAAGATCTCCAACAGCCTCGATGATCTTCTCTCGAGCATCGCCGTAGTAGACCTTACCGTCCACAGCAAACTGGAGCCAGGAGCTCGACGTTGAGATCGACAAGAACAAAAAGGAAAACGCGTAAGAAAGTTTACTTTTTTCTTCTCTCGGTGCTCTCTAATCGTTGCAAACACCTCAGGATCGGGCTGGATGCCATACTTGTCCAAGACGTGCTCGTCGTAGTCGTGCATTGGGATCAAGGCTGTGGATCAATCCTCCAGGAAAACCGAGTCTGAGAACATCTTAAGATCGATCGGAGCCACTTACGAGTGCCGGCTTTCTCGAAGAGGGCGGTGTCCTCGCCCTCTTTCTTGCGGACGACGAGGACGAAGATGTGATCGCCATCGCGCGCGAAGTGCTCGAGCGCCCAGCGAAGCGCGTACCTGCTGGTGGGCGACAAATCGATCGCTATGCCCACATTCCTCGTCATCGCTCTTTCCCGCCCTTTCCAAGCGCCATTTTGAATTCAAATTCAAAAGCCGGCCTCGTCACCTCGCCACGTCAGACGTGCCAAGTGGAGGCCCGTATTGCATAGCCCTGGGATCTGAAAGCCCTAAATCGCGAATCGCGATGGGGGTGAAGAACACGGCGCGGTCGATCGGCAGCCTGGCGGGACGGCGCCATTGCTTTCGCGGTACATTTCTCTCTTAGAGTCGATCGGTAGCTTGCGTTGGGGAGGATGGAGGAGGAGATTCGAGACGCCGAGGCGCAGACCGATTTGAGGGAGAATGAGACGCAAACGGCAGCCTTCGATCTCATCCAGCCCCCGTCTTGGATGTTTGTCAACATCGAGCCGTGGGTCTTTGAAGGTATAGCGATTGAATTTTTGTTCTTCTCATTTTCTTAACTCGGTGTGTTCTTTCGAAGAGAGATATGGAATGCGAAGAAGACCCCACAGGGAACAAGCAGCGGACGGGGATCGAGAGCTCTTTGCGAGAGACAAGGAAATTGTTCCAGTTCGGATGAATCCCATGGTTTTCCCCAACAGAGTTGAGAAGGAATGGCACATTCCAAGCCTCGAGGAGCTCGTAAGTTTGATCATCTCTTTCTCCAAAATCTCAAGTAACTTTCTCTTCTTGCAGACCGAGCAGCGAGATTTCATGGAGCCCTTTAAGAACTTGCTACTCAAAGGTGCTCTCCACGATTGCCGCAACGTTTTCTCTTTTGTTTATGTGGTTTCTCTCCCTGCCGGGCTTGTTTGTGATTGAAATACAACAGCTCCCTTGCAGAGCTTGCGGAGCTTGAGCCACGGCTGAAAATCAAGGTGAACGTGGAGGAGTGGCTCCAGGGCGATTTCATCGCAATGACCGACGCCTACGCGCGACGCGCGACTCGATCCACCAAGGGAAGATCGATCGCGCGAGCGGTTCCACGCCAAAGACACTACTCCGTCCAAGTTGTAAGTCTTTCTCTTTTGTGTTTACGTTCTAGAGAAACAGTCTCATACTCGATCGCTCCAGGGAAAGCACCGGAGAGTTTTGACACCCAGATGTGATCCAACTCTGGTGGTCAAGCTGGAGAGGCTCACGGCGATCGTGTTGTTCCAGCGCTGCCTCCGCGGCCGAGCAGCACAGATCTCGGTGCTGGAGACGCGCGAGCGGTGCATTGGATTGTACGAGCAGCTAAACCAGCTCGAGAGATGCGAGGAGGTGAAAGAGCCGGAGTCGACGAGGAAGGACAAACTCTGGGGCGCAAAGTGCGTTGTGAGCGTCAATCTCTCCAACTGGCTCGACGCCATTGTCATTCCCGAGTTTAAGTTTAAAACGGAATAATAATAGTATCTCTCCTGTAAATCCAAATCCTGTCCGTTGGATTCGAGCGCAATCCCCACCGTTGGCCTCCTGTTAGGGCTCTTATTTAGGGCTTTTGCGGCCACAGAAACTCTAGGGTTTGCTTGTTGCTCGAGGAGAGATGATGACTGGAATGTCGCCCCAGTCCTACTCTCTGTGAGGATTGACACGATTTTGTTTCGTCTGATCTCTGGGTTTCTTTGGGAATGTGATGATGATCTTTCGCCATTTCTGACTTCTACTGCGGAAAAAATCTCACATCGATTTGCACGTCAGTCTGATTACCAGTTTTGATTTTCTTAGGAGCTTCTGGATGGAGTTGGAGGATGATCAAAGTTCATAGACCTGTTCTGAGCTTCTCAGTGAGGATCATTTTACATGCACTACCAGCTGACAACTCCATTGTTCTTGTTTGTGAGTTTTTTTTTTTCTTGGCCGATGATGCAAGCTTCTCTCAGCAAAGAGATCTGATGTTTCCCGTGAGGAACAACTCAAAATCACCATCTTTCGCCTGAGGCCATTCTTGAATAACTATCCAAATCGATGTGAATCGGAATGGTTTTCCTTGCCAATCAGACCATATCAAGGATTTTAAGACCCGATAGAAACAAAAAGAAAACCTCCCTCAGTGATCCTCGATGGCCATGGTTTGAGGTTGAGGCGCGTGGATTGTCACCGAGTCGATCGCGCTATCGCTGTTCTCCCAGCTGGATCCCAGGAAATTGATGTGCAAACCTCTTTCCTTGTAAGCTATGGAGATGGGGCCGCCACCTCGTCCTCCTCCGGCCTTGCCGTCGGGCTCGCCTAGCAGCTCCACAATCTCTCGGCCCGTCATTCCAATCCTGAAGTGGAATCGACTCGATCGACTCGATCGAATCGAATGATCGACTGATCGACTGAGAGGAATTTACGCTTACCTGAGCCCGTGAGGAAGATCGCCTATGAATTGGGAGTAGCCGTGCGTCCCATTGTACACATGAACGGCCTCTAGGGCTGACTCCTCGAAGCACAGCGACACGCCCAGAGCTTCGTAGTTGTGATACTCACACGCCGGGCGCGATTTCAGAGCTGGGAATGCGCACCTGCTGGGCAGTGGAATTCCTCCATCGCTCGCCCCCAAATTGCCCAAGAAAGCCGCGATCGCAGGGTCTCCTTCGCGCTTGCCAATGAGCTCCATGAACCCTAAAGTTCATGGAATTTTTTCAAACGGCTATGTTTTGGCGCGGATTTTTGGAGGGAACATGTAGATTGCGCGGGGGATCTAGGGCAGGGTTTGGCATTCTTGATTGATCGCTCCATGGATTTCTCGGCTCACATCCTCGCGGCCAAGACGGCATTGCATTTGTCTGCTGTTCCTGAGGCTATTCTGTGCCGGAGCGAGCAGATCGATAGGATCATCAAGTTCTCCAAGGATTGCCTGCTAGAGAGAAGGCCAGGCAGTCTCTACGTGTGTGGGTGTCCTGGAACTGGGAAATCGCTGGCAATGGAGAAGCTAAAGGGTCTCTTGTCACAGTGGGCAGTCGAGGTAAAATCCCAAATAGCTAGACACTTGAGTTTCATCTTTGGTTTTCTATACAGGCAGGGGTTTTACCACCGGATGTGGCTTCTATCAATTGCACAACGCTCACAGATGCTACACAGATCTACTCCAGGGTATGAACTTTTTTTTCCTTTGTGCTTGGACGATGGAATGCTCGTTTGTTTCGCAGATTTATCACTCCTTACAACCAGGCGCTGACGATGATCGAAGCGTCGGGTACCAACAACTTAAGAAGTTACTATCGTTCAACAGGGGTGCGAAGAAAATGCAGTATGTTTTTGTTTTCTTTGCCACTTTTTGGAGTCGCTAAGCTTTTCTTGCCAGGCTTTTAATCATCGATGAAATGGACTATCTCATAACCAGAGAACAAACTGTGTTGTATGAGCTGTTCCAATTATCCGTTTTGAAAGACAGCAGCTGCATTCTAATAGGTAAGCTGTTTTCTACGCGTTCTTGTGTGCTGATGCTCTTTTCTTGTCAAAGGAATTGCTAACGCCATCGATTTAACTGAAAGATTTCTACCAAGGCTGAGAACTTTCAGCTGTAAGGCTTGCACTGATGTTTATTCTGTTTGTATCTTATTGTCGATCGTATTGCAGGTAATCCGGATGTCATCACATTTCCTGCGTATACCAAAGACCAAATTTTCGCTGTCTTGCTTCAAAGATTATCGGTAGAAGATGGCAACACATCTTGTCTTTGAGTATTAACATTGCCTTTTCCAGTCTCTATCGGTGGCTACGTTTCATCCTGCAGCCTTGGAGCTGTGTGCCAGAGTAAGTTATGGCAACCACCTAAGCTGATGTTCTAATCTTTCAATGGAACAGAGGGTATCTGCTGCATCCGGGGACATGAGAAAAGCCTTGTACGCTTGCAGGTTGGTAATTGCCTGTGACTTCTTATGATTCTTAACTTTGGTGCGTTGCAGGACTGCTCTTGATCTTTTTGAAGCCGAGAACAAAAGCAAATCTACAGAGCCTGAAGCGACTTGCTTGCAAAGGGATCAGTTTGTGCAAGTTGATCACATGGCAAGGGCGTTGGCCAAAGTTTTCCGTTCTCCTGTCATTGAAACTATTCAAGCTCTGCCAAAACATTCGCAGGTAATACCAGTGTTTGTCATGAGTTATCTGCTCATTTCGTTATCGATGTACAGATGGTCTTATGTAGTGCCGTTAGTCTCTTCCGGAAGAGAAAGAGGGACGCGCCACTAGGCGAGGTAGGCGTTCTTCAAGTGTCAAAATTGATGAGTGGACTTACGGGAAGCTTTGCAGCTGAATAAGCAGTACCTGGGGTTTTGTAAAACAACTGGTATGCGCCCTGTATCTTCTCAAGAATTCTCTGGAATTTGTCAACTAATTGCCGACCAGGTATAAGCTATGTGGCAAGACAAATTAGTGTTTAATCTTCGACATTTCAGGGTCTTCTTGGCCTGAGTACAGCTCGCGAAGATCGTCTCAGAAAGACAAAGTTGCAAGTAGACCATGATGACGTCGTATTTGCACTACAGGTTCGTCTCGCACTGTTTAAACACCACATTCGATATTTACATTCGTCAAGCAGGGAGTTCGCTTCTTCCGAAACAGCCTGTTGTAAATCTACAAAGGAGACTACAGCTAACTTCAACGATCCGCGAGCGTCTCAACTATTGTGAGCACCACACTCGGACATTGCTGCCAGCAGCACGTATGTTCCGTCGTCCTGCGGATTCAACTCTAGAGCTTGCTTCGCTGCTCGGCTTCCACTTCGACCATCACTGTAACTCCTACAAGCGCTCAGGAGCGATTGCCAGTCGACGTCTCCCGGCTTAAACGGCATGCTGGCGATGACTTCCTCGGCTTCCTTCAGATATCCCGCCCGACCAAGCAGATCAATCAGGCTTCCATACAGCTGCTTCGTCGGATCAATGCCAAAGTCGACAGCCATGGACGCGAAGCAGCTCAAAGCGGTGCGGACGCTACCGCCATGGTTGAATCCAACCAGCATCGACACAAAGCAGACATCATCCGGAAGAACTCCTTGAAGCAGCATCCTTTGGAAGTGATCCAGCGAAGTTTTGTACGACATAGTCGGGGCAATCGAGTTCAAGGCCCCAGTCCAAGATACAACGTCACACTCGGGCATGGTCTGGAAGAAGTTGTGAGCTCGAGCGTACAGACCATTGTGGACAAATCCGCCGAGCAGCGCGTTCCATGACACAAGAGTCCTCTCCGGCATCGAATCGAACAGAGCTTTTGCTTCGTCGATGTAACCACTCCTTGCATAGGCCGAGAGCATCGCAGTGAAGGAAACCACGTCCCTGTGAGGCATTCTTGCGTGGAACAAGCTGGTGGCTTTGTCGAGATGCCCGCTCTGGGCATAGCCATACAGCACTGCGTTCCATGACTTCACATCAACAGGCATAGACAAGGCTTCCATAGCCAACAGCGCCTCGTCCAGATGCCCAGAAAGGGCATTCACCGCAAGCATCGAATTCCAGGCCACAAGATCCAGTTCGGGTAATCTCAGTAGTAACTTCTGTGCTCGATCAAACTCCTTCTCTTGCGCGCAAGCGGCGAGAAGAGAATTCCAGCCAGCCAGGCTCCACACCGGCATTATTTCTAAGAACTCTAGCGCCTTTACAAGATGCCCATTTTGGGCAAATGCCGCAAGCATAGCGTTCCATGCAACGACGTCCCTCTCCGGCATGCCATCAAAACGTTCTCTCGACTCCTCGATCTTCCCTGCCTGCGCAGATCCAGCAATCATCGTCGTCCACGAAGCCAGATCCCTCTCTGGCATCGCTTCGAAAAGATACGCTGCTTCGTCCATATGCCCCGACAGGGCATACACAGATAGCAGCGCGTTCCACGAGATGATGTTGCGCTCTTCCATCCGCTCAAACACATCCCAGGCGCCCTCCACCTGGTGGCATTGCGATTGCGCGCACAGCATCGCGTTCCATGACACAAGGTTCCACTCGGGCATGGCGTCAATGAGGCGGCGCGCGCGGGCTAGATCTCCGGCCAGCGCAAACGCCGACAGGAGCGACGTCCAGGCGATCACGTCGTGCTGCGGCGACGAATCGAAGATCTCCAGCGCGCGATCGAGGTCCCCGGCGGCAGCGTACGCGGCGAGCATTGCGTTCCAGGCGACGCGGTTGCGCGAGGGCATGGATTCGAAGATGCCGCGGGCCTGGGTAAGATGCCCGGCTCGGGCATATGCTGCGAGCATGAGAACCCAGGTGAAGGAATCTCTGCAAGAGGGCGGGCAGAGGTTGTTGAAGACGTGGCGGGCGAGAGAGATGCTCCCGCATTTGGAGTGCATCTCCAGCAGCAGATTGCACACAAAGGTGGTGAGGTTTTGGTGGGTGCAAAGGATTTGGTTGTGGATGACCTTTGCATTGCTCGCAGTCTTGCATGACTTGATGAGCCTCTCCAAAGACTCGCTGCATGACGAGAGCATCTATTTAATTCTGGCCATCCTGCCCGGGCACAACATCGTCTCCACTCCAGTGAGCTGGGCTATGGTGGGAAGCATCGCTCTTCGGTCCTCATGATCCATATCCTATGCCAAGACCTGATGCATGGCTCTCGAGCCAACAGTTATTCGAAGAGGCTGAAACACCGCAGCATTGAGCTCTTGAAAGACAAGCAGATGATGGAGATCATCCTGCCAAGGTAAACAAGATTATCTCCATTGAGCTCTTTGGGTCCAATTAAGATATCCTTGATCCTCGGCTTTTGAGAGAATGGCAGCTCCTTGTTCAGGCCATGGAAGCTCCAATCACAGACTAGTTTATGATGATATTGCCCTTCAAATTGCAATGAGAAGTTGAGGAGTTAGAATGCCTGTGGGCAAGCATGCAACCAAGTGAAAAGAGTTTAGTATTGCACCAAGCCAATTTCTAGAATCAGCACGAGGAGACTGCGAGAATGAGATTCTCAACATTTCACCCGTGTTTAATTTTATGCTATGGAGGTTTATGGCTTTGACATGCATAGAGATGCTAAATGTCTTACCACGTATCTTAAATTCTTCATGTGAGAAACTTGTACCAATGGTTACCTGGAGTTTGTACTACAATCAGTTTTAGACAATATCAAAAGTAGATGTTTGTCTAAGGTTAACAAAAGCTAAAGTTTATGTCAGTGGAAGAGAATAAAAATGAGTTATGATCAAGTTATTTGAGATCATCTGGATTTTAGCATGTGAAATGATGTTATTTAGTATGTGTGTAGTTTCATTTAGTGCCAAGTTTATAATACTTTGTCTTGTGTTGTGGAAGGAGGATTAGAGTCAATTGTAATTTTCTATTTATTTGAGTTAGTGGCATTTGATTTGATGAGGCTTTTTCTATTACTTTTAACTATTTGACTTGTTGCATGGAAGTCAGAGCTTTTGCTAATGTGTTTGCAATTGTTATTAAATACTTCCTTTTCAATCAAATAGGTGTTCTAACATTTCTAAGTAGAGTGAATTCTTTAGGATAATGGTCCCATATTTATAGCTAAGGCATTTCTTGTCTTAATGTCTTGATTAAAGATATGCTACACTTTCACAAATGTCTATCATCCATAATCAAATGGTTTGGTGAAAGGGTTTATTCAAACCTTTAAAGGGATGATTGTGAAGTATATAAATTTTCAACATTCGGATTAAGATAGTTATCTGCCATCTCTTCACTATACGTATGTCATAAAGGTGTAAAGTTCTGTTGGTGCTTCACTATATAAACTTCTATATAATCATCCGATACTACTAACGAAGTTGAGTTTACTTTTGCAATTGCCACAAATTACTAATATTAGGTCTTGGGATTAATATTTGACAAGCATTATTCCATTAGTCCAAATAGAGTTTAACCACATACAATTGGAACAATAACTATATTACAACTCCTATTATCATCCACTTATGAAATAAAACGTGAATGACTTAATGTTAATTTATTGTCCCAATCTTATAGTACGTGATTTATCTAAGAGGCTCCTTGCCAAGTGAAAAGGAGATTTGTGACAAATTGGATTGCAAGTTTATGAAATTTGATATGACATCCAATAAACTAATCCTCTAAAAATTATGCATATATAACATTTAAAACATTTTGTACAAAGGGATTAGAAACAATTGTCACCACCTACAAATCCACTAATGTCTCATTTTAATGTTTTTCCAAATCTCAACTCATCCATTTAAAAATGTTAATTGTTTTTCATTATTCTGAAAGGAGGTATAAGGTGAGGTCCAAGTATATAACTAAAATGCTATATACTAATATTAGTGTAATAGGAGTTTAGTAGCTATTGGATCTAGACCACTTGCTATATTTCATGCATTCATAAAGCTTTTCATTTTTTAAATAAATTAATTTTTTAATTCTTCACAAACTGTTTTATTATTATCAAGAATTAAATATATAATGCAATATAGAGTTCATTGTAGACATCATGATATAGTAGATATTGCAAAAAAAAAAAAAAATTCAAAAAATTAATAAAAAATATAAATGTTAAGAGTTATCATATGAAAATATGTCTTCATGAATATCTCGGAATAAATAAAACATATAAAGCTTATAAACTCACTAACTCTTTTAGTATTTATCATAGTAAAATGTGATAGTAAATATGTTTTAAACATTTATTATTATCTATAAATAATTAATATTATTTAGAGTAAATGGTAAAAAGCAAAAGTTTATGTAACAGAATTTAGTGTGTATTTAAAATCCTCAAAAAAGTATAAAAATTATGGAAGTGAAGAGCTTTGTTTAAAAAATTATCCTCACCAGAAGAATTCCTTACCTTTGTATCTGGCTTGCTTGACAATGGCTGCGGCAACCTCATGGTTTTGACGTCCACAAAGCGCAAAGCATTCGTCTTCCAGGAGCCCTCTGCTGCCATTTCCATCCTCGAGCAAGCAGCACATTGCCATCAGGGTCTTGCTAAAACCAGGAGAAGTCGAGTGAAGAGCTCGAGCAATGTCTTCCTTCAAAGGCATCGTTTTCTCTCTTTGACAAGTCTCGTTTCTCAAATAAAAAGACAAGTAAGCCAGGCAGTACGACGTCCGGAGCCACTGCTTCTCGGTTTCTCTCAAATCCACATCCCAAACTTTGCGTTCCAGCTCCACTGCTAGCTCTCCCAGCTGCTCGTGAAACTCCGACTCCACCATTGAGGTAGCATTGAGCAGCGCATCAAACCTCTGGCTTACATCCCGGAGCTCTTCTTCCAGTCGTTTTTCCAGAGCACACCTCTCGCACCGGCATTCCACTCTGATGGACTCCCGCCTCATCGGGTTCCAGGGAGCGAGAGCACTGCCATACGATCGAACGAGCTCCGTCTCGGCCTCCATATCTCTTGCGGCCACCACCAAGAGAGCCTTTCCAACGTAGTGGACACCAACGTTTGGAAGGCACGAATGGTTCAGGAAGCTTGGAAGCGTCCACAAGCCATCAAAGTCTCTGGTGACAAGAGTGTCAGCTGCCTTTCCATTCTCGTTGATGCAGTGGAGGATGTTTGCGATGCGCGTAACGTCGAGAAGGAGCTCCTCGTGGAGCTCGAGAGAACCTGTGTTTGGCTGGAAGAGTTCCATCTCTGGGACCTCGTTCTTGTCGATAGTTAATCCTGTGACAGGATCGCTCTCGGCCAAGCTGTACACTTGTGCCAGAGTCCTGGGAGAAGCTATGCAGGCTCTCAGCACCGCCGTGAGAAGAGTGCCAAACTTATCCACCTCCAAAACCGGGCAGTCCTCGTCTGGAAAAACCATAGCTACCGCGTTGCTGACGAGAAGAAGTTGTCCCACGGAGACGCTTTCGGTGAGAAAGAGGCCCCTCCCTCGGGCATCTCGAGTCATCGCCACCTTGACGGGACCAACGAAGTCTGCAAGTTCCGGGGCTCGATCCTCTTCCACATTTCCTCCAGCTGCGAGGTAATGCTCCGAGAGATCGTAAACTCCACGTTCGCTTTGCTCGTTGAAACGCAGCGAAGCATCGTACAAGCTCCTGTAAGTTGGAGAGGCTTCCACTTCGGCCACCTGCTTGAAGCACGAGGTGGAAGATCCATACTGCTTGAGCCCGAGCAGCGCCGCTCCTTTCACTGCGAGGCTCTTGAAGTCGTGACGATCCAGTGCCAGTGCCTTTTCGACGTCGGCCAGTGCCTCCTCGTAGCGCTCGAGCTTGAGACGTGCCTCGGCTCGCCTCACGAGAGCCACCACCATCTTGGTCTCGTCTCCACAAGCTCGGAGACACTCGAGACAGCGAGTGAAGAGATCCGCCGCAGCCAAGAAGTTTTTCCTCTCGTCGAGTTCCTTGCTTCCCCAGCTGAGATAAACATCCGGCTCGCCAACTTCCATACGAGGGAAGTAAGAGACGATCTCGAGCGAGAGTGGATTTGGCACCCAGAGTGCCAGGCCCTGGCAAAACTCCGCTTCCACCAAGCATGGGTGCTTCACAAGAACCTCCGCGCCCTGTGGAAAAATCCTTGCCACTTCTTCCTGTGAGGAATTCCAAAACAGCGAGTTGAGAGCCAAGACCCTTGCCATTCTTCCACTGTCGTCTTCCAGTGCCGTCACGGCCACATTGGAGCAGCGAAAGGCCTCCACTCGGAGAAACCCGTGAAGAACACTGCCCGGACTGGCTCGGCCGGGCTCCAGATCCACAAGCCCCACATTCTTGCAGAGAGTGGATCGACTCGTGACCAGCGGCACCGGAAAGGAGGGCAATCCGTGCGGATCCATATAGCTAGGGACGCAGCCGCGGTACGTACCCTGGCTCTTGCTTACCGCCTCCATGGCCGCGGACTCTTGGCGGAGCTGTTTGTGCGCGGCGACGACGCCGGCACGGCTGAAGCTCTGGAGCGCCGCCAGCGCCGCCTCGTCTGCCAGGAATACGCCGCCGACCAAATCCTGGGCGTGGAGATTCTCCACCACATTCCAAACAGCCACTCCCGCCATAGCCAGGAAGAAACATTAGGGTTTATCCATATGAGATTTATGTTAAATAATACAAGGTTAAAACATTCTTAGACGATTAGAATATGCCAAGATTTCCCAGAAAGAGTAAATTCTTGAAGACAAAGACTGTACCAAACGAGGAAATGGTGTTCCTAAACAGGATTGTTCGAGCAGGGATCTCTTCCAGCTCCAGGAACAAGATCATCAAATGCCGAGGTAAG